TTATATGAACAAGCAGCAAATTTACATATGTATGTATTTTATTTTGTTTATTGCAAAAATATTCTTTTTTATGCCCCGAATCGAAAGATCCTGGGGGTATATTGTTTTTGTCCTGTCTGTCTGTTTGTCTCTCTGTCTGTTGTCAACTTTAAACTAGCCCATATTTCACAGGTGTTTTCTTGCTGACAAGACCTTTCCAAGAGTACCACCAAATTTGACCTCTTGACCTTTGAGTTTGACCTACTTTTACAAAAGTATACCACACTTTAACCTTGGCCATACCTTTTGAACAGTTGGAGATAGGGCTTTCATCCTTCACATGTGTATTTACTGTGACAAGACTTTTCAGCTGGTATAGATATTTTGACCTTGACCTAAGAGTTTGACTCGCTTTTTAAAAAACTTTTACCTATGTCATAACTTTTGAACAAATAGAAATAGGGCTTTCATAATTTACAAATACATGTATATTCCTTGTAATAAGACTTCCCTTTGAATACCAACACTTTTGACCCTTTGACCTTGACCTTTGGAGTTTGACATGCATTTGAGAGAATTCAACCCTATAGCCATAAGCTGCCATACAGGGACATCAGTGTTTCACAAACACATCTTGTTAGTGTTGTTTCGGCTGTGCATTGTATATTAGTCGGTAAACATGGTGGCTAGAAAGCAAAACTCTTAACAAGGAGCCATTATCTCTATTTGCAAAAACGAGGACATGTTTTACCCTTTGCAAACCTATGTTTACGTGTTGAAAGATATAGCTGTGGTTGCAAGCATGTGCCCTGTAGGATCAATAAGAAGAGTCCTTACTATTCAATTTGTCTCTTTGGGAATGCTCCAGAGCTATGATAGGAACATGCATTCCATCAATAGTTCGGGTCCCATCACCGTTTAGCTCTTGAGGACTTTCTTTTACCTTTTTCAGTTTTTTTAATTCAGGCAAGCTACTCACATACATGTATAAGTTCACCTAACAAGAATTTCAATAAACTCATTGAAAGTAAGTATTCGTAAGTATCCTCCTTGATGCCTGATCCCACCATGATTCTCTTTGGGTGCGTGTTAATTTCCTATTCACATACATGTAAGTAGTATAGCCGACATATGGGGGGGGGGGGGGGTAAACAATGGGGCATATTGTTTGAGAGAACAATAGCTGACCTTTTCGTGACCTGTATAGTTGACCTCGTTCTTGACCGTGACGGTCCAGGAAATATGTCTCCAGGTCACGATCAGATCGTTCACCTTACCCCATTGTTCTTTCCTCCTCTCGACTTTCAATAGAGGGATTACACCCTCTTGCCTACCAAGGTCGCTATGAGGTCAAGAAAGAGGTCAACTACAGGTCACGAAAAGGTCAGCTATTGTTCTCCCAAACAATAGGCCCCATTGTTTACCCCCCCCCCCCCCCCCCCCCCTAATATGTCGGCTATACTACTCATGTATTTGTATCGTTCACAGATTTTTGAGATCGATCACTGTTAGTTCTCTTCATCCTTTTCATTCTCCTAGAAAATACATAATTATCATATTCAAGTAGATATTTTTGATGGCCTCACGCACTTGATGTACATGTACTGTAGATTTCCCAACACCAAAAAGATTTCAATTGTCATATTTCTGCTGAAGGAAATAGATGGCAACAGTCACCTTTTTCTCTACAACCAACGGCTCTTCTATAGTCTTTAGGACCAAGGCAACGATATTTTCCAACATTAAACAAAAATTTTATTTATTTTTTTCTTTTTTGATTGTAAATTCTTATACCATTCTTTGTCCTACATTTGTAAAAAAAAAAAACAAACAAAAAAACAAACGTTATGTTCGGGTTTTTTTGTACCAATAAATCAGTGGATCGGTTCCTTCCCCCCATGCAGTTCTTTGAGGAACATTAAAAAATTAGTCTTATACCCAAACAGTAAGGTAATATCCTTTTTCTATAAAAATTCACAATTCTCTCCTTATTTGTATGAAAATATGAGGATTTACTAACAGTACATAAATCTCGTCTGAACGCAAAGCAAATTAACTTTTACTTATGTATGTAGATTTACTTATATGTAAATTTGCACACATAAGCAAATTTTCGTCGCATGAATGGGGTATAAGTAAAATTGATTAAAATTTAATAAATGCGTTATCATTCAAATTTTCCTTTAATCGAAGCCCATCTAGGACCAATTAAAACATATTTCTGAGTTCGATAAAAAGAATTGACGAATTTGTTAAAACAAATTTTATTTTGTTATAACATTTGAATTCGTTGTAACAAATTATTTTTTTTGAATTTGTTACTTCATCAATTAATAGAAAGTTCTGCTTAATTTTAAGTTTTTTTCTCTGTCTGCCCCTTTTTAAAAACGATGCTATGTATAAAGAAAATTGTTTGATTTGTTTGTTTGTTGTTTAACGTCTCTTTCGAGAAGTTTTCACTGGGATCTTTTACGTGCCAACACCTACTTCGACAAAGGGCCTGGTTTTATAAGGTTTCATCCGAAGGATAGGTCTCCACTTCCCACACTGGGATTCGAACGCCTTCGAATTCGAACACTCCTTGCCTTACGATTCTAGAACAGGCGCTCTAACCACTGCGCCAGTACGGTGAAATTGTTGGTGAAAAAAGTTAAATTTCAAGATTAATTTGTCTGGGAAAGCAGGGAAAAATCTCTTACTCACCTAACAGGGACGATGTGTTATAACATCTTAATGAAGATAATTAGTGAACTTATTTTTATAGACACCCTCTCGCGGGGTAAAACTACCCATTTATCACTAGTTATCTACACGTTTGTGTCGACACTTTATTTTTGTCGTAAGAGCCTGACAACATTATGTAACACTTTCCAACTACTGCTGAAGTCTGCAGAGGTTTTATCACGTTTTCCATGATGGCGTCCTTTTTCTAGATGGGGGTAGTGCACTGAAGGTTAGGAGCTGCGTGGTTGTTTTTGCTGATCATTCAGGGGGAAGGGGTTGATGTTCTTGGTATTGATGGTGAGATTCAGAATACCCTTGTTGCTATAGAGCGCATCTCTTTTTCAAGCTCCATTTGAAGGATTCCTCGGCCTTAAGCAACAATTTGAACTTTGAACTCTACAGACAAAAACACAACCCCGAAATCCTTGTCCATATAAAGATTACAGCTCATCCCCTCTGTTAGCTCGGTATAGGTCATTACTTGAAGTTATAAGGAACATCAAATAAAATCAATATTACAATTTAAAAGTTAAAAACCTATTTTAAACAAGGAAAATTATCCTTGCCGATCCAAGTGCTCCAATTAACCATTTTTTATACTGGAGAATATAATGTTTAAGTACATCTAAAAACATTTCATTGGTCCCATTTCAAAAATAAAGTTTGAAGAAATTAAAAAAAAAATAATTGAAAATTTAATTAATTATTGTTATTTCAATAGTATTGGTCAAAATGGAAATATAATAAATATAAAGTTAAAACCTGAAAAACGGAAATACATTAAGTGGATACTTTTGAATGTATATCGACAAGAACGTACGACTGGTGCCTAATACTTACATATAGATCGAGATATGTCGGTACTTTTACATTCTCATTAGAATAAAGCCCCTTACAACAAAATTTTCATCATTTTTTTTTTTCAATTTCAAAACAAGCAAATGATTGAGTCAGGGGCATAACCCTATCCCCCTTTATTGCCCCTACTGCCCCCTCTTCCTATTTTCAATTCTTCCACGAAACAGAGTTAAACAGTGTACGTACTGAACCCAATATTGCCTAGAAACACAAGGGATTAATTCCGTCATTTGTTGTCCATAATGTAGAGAGGCAATGACCGCATAAACCACGTGATTGAAGTCCATATTTAGAGTCACGTGTGGCAAGTATATCCCGAACACGTGGCGATTTTAAAATTGTGCAGTAGTTATCACTTTTTTGTTTTGCGACAATTTAAGAGCGAAGATATCATTTTCCAGCACGCAATTTGTCAAGGGTCTTTAGTACTTATTTTTTACAGAGTAGTAGAAATGCATTCTTTTACATCGTTATGATTGCAGATTTCAAGATACTTAAAAGACTATGAATGAAACTTAAAAAATTAACGTCTTCTGTTGCAGAAAAATCCAGAATTTTTAATCTACTTTTTCAATAAATGCTTTCATCTTTATTTTGGGATGAGCGAAACAATATCCAGTTGATATAGATGTTAACAGAAATCAACATATTTTTCAAAGAAAGCGTTTGATGTGACAAAGTGCATACTGTAGTACATGTATTTTAAGCTGACATTTAAAACCACTAAACATCCCCTTGATGAACTTCGAATATTACCATAAGGATTCAAATTTATCCACTTTTTTTTAACTTAAAATAGAAAAGAATTCTTCGCTCCAAGTTATTGTAAAGAGAGAAAAAATACCGTTTTAACTTATTTTACAGGAATTTTAATATAACTATCATCCATTCTTCAGAATATTTATGCAGACGGAAAAGGTCTCGATTTATGCATGCTATTTTTTTTTTTAAATGAATATATTCAATCATCAATCATATTGTAGCGAAGAGTATAAAATTACGATACTAATTATATTAATAGTGATTGATAATGCAAGAAAATAATATTTATATAGCCAGTGCCAAAGTTATAACTTTTATTTGTTCGAATATCTTGTATAGATATAGATATCCACTCTATGATATCTATACGTTTCATTTCGCTTGATAAGAAACTCTAAAAATGGTAGAGGCAGTTAAAAAAACCTCACTGGTAACTAAATAGTTCTTTTTAATCTAAGTAGATACCGATGCTTATTGTATTCAAGTGATGAAACCTAGTTTTTGACCAATGTCCATACAACTTTGTGAAATGCATTCAGGATTAAAGACAATAGACTTGAAGGTACTTTCTTCCTGATAAACAAACTACTTTTAATTCAATTGTCCACTTGAACCAAGCCTCCCCTCCGGAAAATGACAATGACTATGTCACTCGCGGTATAATCGCATATAATTATCACCCAATCCTTACAGCGCGGGATTTCTCGTGAACTTTCTCGACGCCCTGATTGGCCGAATCTCGCTCCATAAAAATAGCATCTCTCCGACGCATCTTTATTCACACAGAAGGAATTCGACAAGGAGATTATAATATTTCTGCAGAATGTGAGTAAATTAGTAATGTTTAAACAATTATACATATCTAAATTATATTACTGCAAGAATTAAATTTAAAAAAAAATTATTTAAGTTCATTAACATTTTTGTTTTAATGATTTGATTTTCCGAAAGTAAAATAAAATCAAACTGAAATGCGAGCAATATCACCGCTTGGTAGTGGCCTTTTTAAATGTTTGATTTAAAAAAATCTAAGCAGAAGACTGTTTTACGAAAGAGCTTATAATTAAGAAAAAAAATCAGTCGATTGTAAAACTTTGCAAAAATAATGATTCTGTTAAAAATCGCTAGCGTTAAAAACCTTTCTACATTTCCTTTTAAAATACATTAAAACTTTTTTCAATCAAATGTAAATTAGAAAGTTATATGCAAAACTAAATTTGGGTCTTAGTCGTAAGTTCTTTTGTAAAACGGGCATTGGCTCCTTCTAAAGAAAATGAAAATTTGTGATGCTGAATTTTTCTACATGACAGAGTCCTCAAAGAATGGCGGATAATACCTCCCTAGCTGGCTTTACGGACGCTGGGGTACGGACGGTTACCGAGGCCCCGAGTGTAGCAGATGACGTCATGGCGGTAGCGAAGAAAATGCATTGGGTGACCAGTACTATATTTGGTTGCATTTTCGTCATCGTGGGACTCGTCGGAAACACTCTCTCTATTCTCATATGGAGCAAAAAATCCATGCGATCTTCCACAGGGATATATCTCATTGCGCAAGCGCTGGCGGATATGGGTCTCCTGATTTTCTTCTTCATCACAGACAGTCTGCCGATGATGGCGCCCTCTGTCAAGTCTAGCTACGCGTTCGGAGTGTTTTTCTCGTATATTGGGTACCCTATTTTCTTTCTGTTTGTGGTTTGGAGTATCTGGATGACGGTTGGGGTAACAGTAGACCGATACATTCAAGTTTGCTGGTTCACGAAAGCAAAGGTAGGAAACTGACGTAACTTTGAATGGTTAAAAAATGTGTATCAATGAGTACTTTTAAGAGCCCACATCCTTATGTTTAGGGCGGAGATCCAAATATTTGTAAATGAATTTGATCATGTTTTACGTAATTACCAGTATCAAATATTAAACATCCCTCTTACAATTGTTATAAACAAGCTTCGTTATTTGAAACTTGCTATTGATCTTAAATACCTGTGATTTTTTTAAACGACTGGTAAAAACTGCAATAATAGTACTTTAAACACAAAATGATAACCTAGGATCACAAAAGTTTAAAGTTTACCTGCCTCATATTACAGGAGATGTGTAGCGACAAGAGAGCCGGTATTGGGATCGGGATCATCGCTCTTCTTTGCTTTGTGATCAACACGCCCCATTTTAAGACATTTTACCCGATCCCGGAGTCTGACAGAAATCCGGAAGATGACGCCTACTCTCACACAGAGTTTGGGGCCAGTGAGGGAAGTAAGCGCTATGAATTCTGGGTACACTGCATGTTTCTGGTCCTGGTTCCATGGCTTACAATCTTCATCCTGAATATGCTTATCATCTGCCGCGTTGTCAGGGCCAACAGGGGCATGTCAACCAGAAAGAGCATAAAAGGACAGGAGAAGGCTAAGAGGGCAGAGAACCAGATGACTCGCCTCCTTTTGACCGTGACATTCGTTTTTCTCATCCTCATTGCCCTCCAGTGTATAACACAATGCTTCTTCATGATGCAGCCAGAAACGGTGAGATGAATTATAAGTCCCCAGTTAGTTTCATTATACTTGTTTGAACTTGAATCGTTTGAAAAGTATGGTCGGCCGCGCGGGAGATCTGTTGGTAGACCACGTGACAAGTGATGCCAAAGTCACGTGTTCGATTCTCCGATTCAGCGATATATTTTCTTCTTTTCTGTTGCAATTATACTAGTATTTTGTTTAAGATATGTCTTTTATTCGTTTCAGGCCGATCTGCGTATTGTTGATGAAGCATTCTCAGTCGCCAAACTTGGAATCGTAATCAACTCCTCCATCAACTTCTTTCTGTACTGTCTCAGTGCGCGGAAATTCCGAAAGGAGCTGTTCCGAGTGATTGGAGTCCGTAAGGGTGAGAGAGAGGAGTCCTTCTCCAGCTCCACGGCCTCTACCACCCTGTCAACGTCCAAATTCAAAATGTCCTACAAAGCCTGATCCAGCTCCACGGCCTCTACCACCCTGTCAACGTCCAAATTCAAAATGTCCTACAAAGCCTGATCCAGCTCCACGGCCTCTACCACCCTGTCAACGTCCAAATTCAAAATGTCCTACAAAGCCTGATCCAGCTCCACGGCCTCTACCACCCTGTCAACGTCCAAATTCAAAATGTCCTACAAAGCCTGATCAGTGGAGAAATGACGTCACATGTCAGCAGTGCTCAACACGTTCTGAAAGTCAAATGTGTGAACTTGCAAAAATCTCTCCAGAAGAAACTTTCGAAATCATGAAGATATGCCCTCTTCCCTATTTCCCACACTGCACTGATAAAATAAGGGTCCAAGGGAGAGCATGGGTTGGCATTATAATTGAGAGTTTGCTTTTTATTAATAAAATCCAATAACAGTATTGTACAATGAAAAGTATTTACTATTGTATATATTTATTTTCCCTTGTCTACATATGACAACCTATTGGTTTCTTGTCCAGAATACTGCAGTGATTTTTCTTTAACTTCTGTTATGTGAAGTTTTGTTGTCATAAATGCATCTCGATATTTTATATATTCGATACACCATTTGTATTTATATAATGTTATTAATGTTTTCCTACTTATAATCATTCTTAGATCATGAAAATGTTGCTGTTTAAAAGGTTGTGTTAATAAAATGTTTCAGCTCTTTTATGTTTAATTGTTAATTAATGCTTATATAAATAGAGTACAAAGGGCTAGAACGGGACTGTGTGCTTTTAATTATTCTTCTTGGGATAACACTTTTTGGGCATGTTATAGGAGTATTTTTCTTTCATTTTGTGTGTGTGTGGGGGGGGGGGGGGGGGGGGGGGGTGTGTGGGGGGGGGGGGGGGGGGGGGGGGGGGGCGGTGCTGCATTCTGCATTCGGTTTTCAAGATGACATAGTTCGACCCAAGTTATTTGAATCTTGATGAGATAATATACTGATATGAAAATGATGCAACCAAATAGTTTTAAGTATGCGCATTTAGCCATTTCATTAAATAGGGAGATGGGCGAACAAAACAAGCTTTAATTTATGAAAGTTAGCTTTAAATTAAATTTGTCAAAGTTCGCCCATGTGTCAGCGTCTGCTCTAGAGTCGCGGAGTAAGGAGTTGATCTTTACGTCAATTTAAGGATTCGAATCCCAGTGTGGGACGTGGAGTCCGTAAAAACCGAGGTCCCATGTTGCATTTGGTGCTGGCACGAAACTCCGACGATGGGCACGAAAAAGATCTTTCACTGCTCATGGTCCAGAGTGCCGCGTAAAGATAAAAATTTGCAGCACTCCGCCAGGTCTGAGAGAAAAATTCTCGAGAGGGACGTTAAACAACAAACAAACGATGTAATTAGTATTTAGAGTATAGGTACGAAATAATGACTAAACTTTTTTTCCGCACTAAAGTTTGGCTTATAAAAAGGGGTTGATACTTCAGGGGTTCGAATCCAAGTACTAAAATCATCAGTATCATTTTTTTTCCTTTGAGACTAACAAGGTAGCCATTTTTTTTTTTACAAAAAATATATAATAATTTGACATGAAATATAAAAAAAAATTTATCACAATTGAAATATACTTTGTTTTCATTTTTGTTGCAAAAAGGCATTTTGAACGCCATATTCGCCCATCTTCTTTCTTGGCAAGTAAACTCTCCTTAGAGTATCTAGGCCAATGATATTGTATACTTTACTGAATGTAAGTAATTGCAAAATTGTATCAAAAAAGGCTACTGGAACAATGGAGTGTTATATATGATGAACCAAACAGGTGAATCAACTGATACACATATTTAATTATTTATACATGTTGATGATTATTATTTTAACATTTCCTTGTCATGAAGTTTATAAGTGCGAATTTAATTTTGTCTACAGTCCCAAATATAAAAAATACGATTGCTAGGCTGTTACAACACATGTTTGAAATCATTAAGGAATAATTATTTTTTTTAATTTTCAATTAAGACGCGATACAGAAAATGAAGAGTCTGTACTCTTGATGAACACTATTTGTCCATTTCTGGAATGAGCTAAGGACATGTACATGATATATCATTAAACACCACAGAAGAGGATCTACTTACATTGGATGGAAGAATATGACCCTCTCCTCTTAATTCAATGATGTTCAGTGATTAAGTGTTAATCACAGGGTTGATTGATACATATTTACATATTATTGGTGTTCGAACTGGTCATTTTTCGTTCTTTTTTGTTTATTACTTTCCTGTTTTGTTTTGTGTCTCCATTTTTTTTTTATTTTTTTTTAGTTGTTTGGTTTATTTTAAAGTCCCTGTTATCAAAGATTCGGGGTATAACTTTTCTGGTCTGGCTGTCTATTTGTTCGTAAATATTAACCTTCTTAGATCGACTTTTTGTTTCATCTGTGTTCACCTTGTGACAAGACCTTTTTTTGGGTACCAACATTTTCTACGTTTTCATCTTGACCTCAGAGTTTGATACTTCAGTCAACCAAACTGTAAGGTTGCTAATAATGTTTGTTAGTGATAGAATTTTTATGATTCTTTTGTTGATTCCTTCCATCAATTCTAACACCTTTTACCTTTTGATTACTAGTACCCCGGTATAACCTTGATTTTTACCTACTTTTGAAAAATTTGATTTTGGCTTACTTGTGAACGATTATCGCTAGGGTTTCATATTTTACATAACCTTCTTTTAAAAAAAAATTTAACCTTTGTCATAATTTTTGTGTGGTTGCTGCTTTGGCTTTCATTTTTCAGGTGCACTCTTTGTCACAAGATTTTCCCTTGGCTACTCACAATTTTGACCTTTTCACTTTGACCTTGGAGATTTGCTTGCATTTGAAAATGGCAATAAATTGTCCTTTGGGAAAATCAGTGTTTCACAAACGCGCATCTTGTTTGTTACCGGGTACATTGTAACGGGTTGCTAGCAGGGCAAACGGCTCCACATTCTTTGTTTATATTCATGTATGCATTTTGTTTGGTACATTTACTGTCTATATACTGTATATACACATGACTTCTGAAACAGTGAAAATAGTCAAGGGATTTTTGTTTCGCTTATTTTGAGTCAATATGCAGCTTGCACTTGATTTATTTAACTTGAAAATGCTTAAAGTTCTCAAATATTTAGATTATGTATTGTCCGGCTTTTTAAAAAAATGTTCAAATTAAACTAACCTAAAAGATACTTATACTTGTATTTAAATGAATGCATACTTTAATTTTTAATAAGCACATCAAATAATAAGAAGATAAAATGATATAGTAACACTAACAAAGAAGCAAAACATAACAATATAAAGTATATAAATCCGTTTTCACCAAAGAAGATAAAAACAAATCCATCATCTTAAATTTAAGAGAAAGGATATTCTCGGACATGTCAGATTATGGGAAGTAGTCTGAAATATTTTACATTTTCCAGATTTTTTTTTTACGATTTTGATTTTTTACGTTACATGTGCCATTATTACGAATACTGGTTGTTACGCCGTCCCAGTCGGAGTTGATTTTCGATGCTTAACCGAACTAAACGCCGAAATCATAATTTATCAATATCACAATGCTTTTAGTACTCATCAATATCGACGTAAAGAAAATATAACTCCACTTCGTTACAGGACTTGCAAGATTTCAAAATCCACGAAATGAAGACAAATTTCGACAGTCAGTCTTATTTATTAAATGTTTTCATCGCATTGTATATTTTATAAATGAACCATAAAAACGATATTGGTAAGTTCTAAAAGCAATGTAAGATATTTCCACAGGCACCTGACGTTACTTATTTTTCTTTTAATAAAAAAAAAATATACACCTAATAATTATTAGGTGTATATTTTTTTATTAAAAGAAAAATAAGTAACGTCAGGTGCCTGTGGATATTTCGGACTTCATATGGGAAGCAGAAAGGGTACAAAAGAAGTAAATTATAACTAACATATTTATCATGTTGTAAATTTTGAATTTAACCCCCCTCCCCCTCCGTAAATTCAAAATTTACAACATGATATATTGTTGGGGAAAACATTGTGAAATACCAAACAAGCAGCTTACAATCGAATAAAAAGACGCAAAATCAACAGACAATTTTGTGAGACGAAAGTTAATCGATGCCAAACCAACAGAAGCTGCTCTCTTCCACTATATGGCATACATGTACTGTACATGGCTGTAAACTTTCTTGGATACTCAGTAATGTCTTTTTTATCTTTGAGAACGCATATGACGCCGTCTAGAATGAAATCATGGGCTGCAATAGCATTATATCGGAAATTTTGAAAAATGATCGGTTATCATTGTACCGAATATTGTTTATCATTGTACCGAATATTGTTTATCATTGTACCGAATATTGTTTATCATTGTACCGAATATTGTTTATCATTGTACCAAGTATTGTTTATCATTGTACCGAATATTGTTTATCATTGTACCGAATATTGTTTATCATTGTACCGAGTATTGTTTATCATTGTACCGAATATTGTTTATCATTGTACCGAGTATTGTTTATCATTGTACCGAATATTGTTTATCATTGTACCGAATATTGTTTATCATTGTACCGAATATTGTTTATCATTGTACCGAATATTGTTTTTGTTCTTTCTTTAATTTCCTGTAAACTGCATAAAATATTTATAACGAAAAATCAAATAAGTGAAGAAAAAATTGCAATCGCATGTAGTAATGCAGTGACCATGTATCTGGAACTGTGTCACGCTCACACTTTGTTTCAGTGGAACTGAAATTCCCATGGGAACTAATTGCGCCCCTTATAAGCAGACCTATTTTTATATTCACATGAAGCAGAATTTGTCCATAATCTTATACGTGAAAAGAAGAAAACACTTACTGTGGCCTTGAACTCAACATTTAGATATATCGACGAGGCATTGTCAATTAACAATGGTTATTTTCATTCTTGTGTCGATACGATATAATCATTTAATATAACATTTTAAAGCACAACAACAATATGATATGTATGTATTTTTATTTTTAACACAAATTACTGAATTTTTTTGTTTATCTACTTATTGATTGCCTTTGTCTACACATGTACCTTTCATGCCTCTCTGGGGGCCCTTAATTGGAAATAAAATATTGTCTATTGTCTGTTGTCTATATATCCTGGTGAGCTTGAAATAAAAGATACCACAGAGTCTGACGCACCTGTTTCATATTTAGATATTTTAAAATTAACGTGAAAAAGACGTAAATGGTAATCTAACAACCGAGCTTTATGACAAAGGAGATGACTCTATCTTTTAAATCGTCAGCTTCACTTACTTATGCAGCAATATACCTTCATCACCTGCATACAGGGTTTACATTTTTCAGCTGATTCGATACGCAATTTTCGAGGTAAGTTATTGACATACAATTAAGGTTTCGTCAAAGGTCAACATGTCTAAAAAATTATTTTTACAATAGCTCCAAAACTATGTGTGGTATAAAGTCAAGACGTTTACAGTTTATAAATATATCATTGATTAATAGATAGAAAGTATCACTTGGTAACAAATATTTTAAAACAGATATTATTTGAGAAAAATGTATCAGAAAATGTGCATATTTAAAGAAAAATGCACCTGCTTAATTCAGGGTTGTAGAAATAATATATGTTTATCTTGAAGGGCAAGTTGGGCGTGAATGGTCTCTGAAAGGCTGTTGTTGAAAGCATGACATGTATAAAGACAAGACCCCTATAGAATCGGCCATTTGCAATGTACTTTCACTTTCAAGTCTTGACATTTGGACAAAATAAACAGGGAAAACAACTTTCCAGAGGCTATCCAAGTCCAACTTGCCCTTCATTGATAAACATATTTTGTTTCTGCAATGATTTTTCACTAAGAGCATGGAATAAACTAGGTGTATTTTTTTGAAAATATATGCATTTTTAAGAAGAATTTTTCTCAATTAATATTATTCCAAGTATTTTTTTTTTTATAAAGTGATACTTTCTTGTTAATCAATGAAAAAATTATAAACAAAAGTTTCAATATCAATAATAAATTTTTGGACATGTCAAATGAATATCATAAGATACAATGTCTTTGTCAGCAAAAACAATCAATAATTTAGTCAAATGTTGACCTGTGGTCTTCATACTAATTGTAAGGCCATTATATATACACTGAATTTTCGACGGATTTTTTTCGTTCATATCAAGGAACACACGGCGGGTGTGACCGGTCGGCAGGGCATGCTCACTCCTCCGTGGCTCCTGATCCCATCTCTGATGTTTTGGAGGTTTGCTCTGCTTCTATTTTTTATTGTTTAATGGACTTTTGAGCTTGAATACTGTGCGTTAATTATTTCCATATATTTCATTATTAGAATTATTGGGAAATGCCAGGTTGTTTCATCAAAAATCCGGAAATATCCGAACAAGGTTATTTGTCCTATGTACTCGGAATCACTTTAGAGTTTTCATTAAACCATAGCGAAATGAAATGCCAAAACTAAAATACAGTAAGTTTTCTTTTGACATCATCTAGTACTTTTATTTGACATTGTGGATGCTTTCAATTTGTGAAATTAAATCAAGGTTAGCTGTAAAATATGTCGAAATCACGACAATGCCAACGACTCTTACGTTTCATGATTTGACGTTACGTAACGTTAACAGAGTGAAGCCAAGGGGAACTATTTACCAGTGTTTACACTATTATGACTATACTAGTATACTACAATAGATGTGGCAAGAAGTTATACTAATTTTTTAAGTGACAATTTAAAGCCCAAAGGTACTCCCATATTGCCATAAAATGTATCCATGACAGCAACTATGACTGAGTATGAACATATATATAGACAATATGATGAATATCTATAATTTCTTGTCAATCTGGCAGTCAAATGGATTAAATTGCCAGGGGCTAGAGAGCTCAGTTAGTAGAGCACCTGACTGGAGATTCAGGGGTGTACACGTTCAAGTCCCAGTCAGTTGCTTGTTAAGTTTGGTGCTATATGTCACTTCCTGGAACTTATAGGTGAAAGACCTGCTAGAGAAGAGCACAGGATACTCATAGGTGTCTTTAGGGGCAAAGACCTTTCAGAGGAAGGAATGTGACAGTCAAAGGGCTCAATTGCCAGTGGCCAGTACATCTCAGTAAAGCAGTGACTCGGGAGATTTAAGGTCCTGGGTTTGAATCCCAGTCTGGTCCGTCACATTTTTCTCCTCTCCAGTTACATTGCATGATCTGTTTATTGTTTATTGTGTTTACATTAATTGTTACCTATGACCTATGTCAAATCAGAAATGTGTAGATAAACACAAATTGTAGGTGGGTAAAGTCAGTCAAGTCACAGGGGTCAGAAACTGGTACAAGATATAAACATGTTATAAACACTTGGCTAATGGCTATAGTTCCTGTGGATGATACATGTATTTATATGCACTACAGTACATGTTATTTAAATGTTAATGTCTTTTGTTAGCTTTCATCAGGGATTTTCCACTACCCCGAAGGGGAAAAGTTCCCAATTGCAAAACCTCTCCCTTTAAAATGAACTCTCTGTTCAATTTTTGAATGTCTCCCTGTCAATGTGTGACAAAATACAAACATGGTCAGGTTTGAAATTTGGGTGTGTGAGGGTGTGTGTGTTTGATTGATTATTATATATGTTACCTCTTTTAACTTTATCCCAGCCTGTGTTGAAATGCTTTTCAATAGTTCAAGTTAAAAATTATTTTCTGCAAACTGATATTTGTGTGTGTGTGTTTTCAAGTTTTGTGTATTTTCACTTTGAATTAAAAATTATTTTTAGCAAATTATTAGTGTTTTGTGTAAATTTCACTTGATTTAACTTGATTTGGTTTGTCAGGAATCCCAAGTTATGTTTAAATGTTTCTATACTTACTAGTCATTAAGGGTTAGATATACGACAGTTTTATATGATATACAATGTCATGTACAGTGGAAGCATAATTATTAATATTTGGGAATCATTGTGTACATGGAAAAGCAATATTTTATTGTTTCTGTACAGTTCATGGGCAGAAGAGCAATATATAATTTATTGGTCTTTTTCAATTGTACAGTGGACCCCCTGTAATTTCAAATTATCTAGATAACTCATAAGTCAAAATTTGAAGATAGTCAAAAAGAAACTTGTTTATTATCAAATATCTTGGTGGAAAATATTTTTAGCATAATCTGAGTTCATTTAAAGTAAAGTTGGAAATTTTAGATTCTTTGTTTATTTTTTTTTCAAAATATTTTTTGAAGTTAAGATATGATATTAAATATTACAAAGAAAATATCAAAATAACTGCCCCCTTTTCGCAATTTTCTAAGCGCCCGGGGCGGTTAATAGGGATTATACGGTAATTGTTATTAATGGTGATGTAAATTTTGATGTAAAGAAGGTGACACAGCATATATGCTGTGAAGGTTTTGTGGTAACATTTAACTGTATCAGTGTTCAACAAAGACTGTGACCTATGTGATGTAGAATGACTTTATATGATTTTTTTTCCAGGATAAAAACTAAGGATTAGGATATGTAGATAAACACCATGAGTGAGAGGCCTACGTTTAGACCGTACACAGACTACCAAGAAAGACAGCGGCATCTCCTCGCACACAAGGATGAATTCGGACCGAAGCTGTTTAAGCAGATGGTGGTGGGGTTTGTGTGTGCTGGACTGCTGGGGGTCGTTTTTCTGATCATGGGTGCAGTCTTTATGAGAGAGGCTCTTGAGTCAGAGTATTCGATATCAGTGATGCTCTGTGTGTTTGGAATGGGTAAGAAATATACTAGTAAGGTATCAAATGTGTATAATTTGTATTGTTTGTGAAGTGAAATCTCATGTCATGGATTTATGTACATAAAATATTTTCTTTATTTAAACATTGTTACAATTTTAAGTGTTAGTGCAGAAAGATTTATAAGAAAATTTGCAGTAGTCTGTTGCTGGATAAGTTGAGATTTACTTGTTATGTCAGCCAGCATAGCTCACATGTTATCTAAGCTTGGTTTTTACTGTTTTAGTCATATAAAGGACAAAAATTTCGTAAGAAGATTGCACACATTATCTTGGCTGTCATCTATATCTTGGAGTTATCATTCAGGTATTTTTTTCAGTGGCGGGCCTTATCATCATTGTGGGGACAGCCATTCTTGGTAAACTGTCAATTTCCAGGAAATGGCTGAAGGCTTCACCTGCTCCCAGAAACTCACAGTGCTTTCAAACTTGCTCAGGTAAAAAAAAAAGAAAACATTAAAAATCCTTTCAAAGAATTTCAATGAAATTTGAAAGAATCTATGATAAATAAAAAAAACCCCAAAAAATCTTGTGATAAAAAGTCTTAGAAATGTGTAGAAAACTTGAATTTCTTTTACATCCAGTTGTGTACACACCTTCGCAAGACCCTATAGGAATACAGGAGGCACCCCCTGCATATGATACGATCATGCTCGGCGAGTTAGTTCCGGGGACAGTGTTGGAGACGTCGCTGGCGGGAATGCTGCCTCCTAAGTACTGCGATGTAGCCTCACTTCCAAATTATGGGGAACCTGTCTAATTGATTTGGTCAAATGCCTTTTTTTCAGGTTTTACAAAATGATTTATATATTATTTTTATATGTGTATAGAGTTATTTTTTGTCATGCATATCAAATGTTCAATTTCAAATTTTTTGCCTTTGCAGGAAAAACTTAATAAATTCTATGCGAAATGCAAGTTTTATATTTAATATATATATTTCATGATTGTTTATATAGCATTGTATTGTATTAAGTAGCCAAGAGATATGTAGGTTGTTTCATGTTTTTGTGTTAAAGACACAATATGTATATAATTTATAAATTAGTACCGTATATCCCGTTATTTTCGCGATGGTCTATTTTTCGCTTTTTCTGCGACCATTTTTAATTCACAAAATATAAAACACGCAGAAATTATATCAACTTTAATGTGACATAAAAACATTACCATTTTAAGAAAAAAATCTTCAATCGTAAAAAATAACTTACGCAAAATAAAAAATGTACTAATATACCCCTTTTTCGCAAAATTTCCAACAAGTGAAAAAAAAACGGATATAAGGTATTTTTGTTAAAGTTTTATTGTACTACCTAGTACTTGGCATTTTGTTTTACACACATAGAGAGAAATGCCAATCATTCTGAATAAAGTTTTTATCCTTGTTTGTGACGTCACAATGTGAAAATGACGTGTACACTTGTGACTAAACAAACGGTCTGATATAAAATGTCTGATTTGGAAGATTGTTTATCAAAACAGATAATTTTACCTTTGAATAGATATGTGTTTTTAATTAAGCAATTTGCTATCAAAGTTTTGAATTAATATTTGAACAGATTATTAAATACCTAAGTACACTTTTATATTAGTAAACTGGTGTTTATTCGCCATGCTTATTTTTGGAAAGGATATTCTATCTAGTATTTGTATTAATTCTTAATAATAATCATTTGTGATTAATGTATGTATGCAGTGTAATTGTAACAAAGTTCAATCTATTTCAGCATGCATTTATTATACAGTTTTATTCATGTATTACACATACTCTATACTAGTAGTGTTGTAAAAATGAATTGCTTTTGATTTAGATTGTTAATTAAATTTCATTCCAGGAAATTAATAGTTTGTTTTCCCAGGTTTTAATAACTTGTTGTCTTTGTGAAGTTTGCTTTTGAGTCTGTGCACAGTTTTCTGTTGATTAATTTTATTTGTACAGGTGCTCTGTTCTCTGTAAACATGTTCCTTTTCTATAACACCAGAGATGAACAAAAACAGATCTTTATGAATTTTTTTAATCGTATTGTTATAGATATATTTTATATCTGTTTTCTAGTTCTATGAAGATTTTAAGTTTGTCCATGAAATTAGTGCTTAATTTACATAACATGTACTATATACTGAACCAAGACTGCAACTTTTTGATAATTTTTGGTTAATTAAGATTAAAAAAAAACAAACAAATAAAGGAAAAAAAACAAAAAACAAAACAAAATTCTGTTAGATGTTTCTGATTGATAGTCTTTGTTGTGATTCAGGCATTAATGATGACAAGGAGAGTTATCTCCCTTTGAGATTTTTAGAGCTACTTGTGAATTTACATTTTCTGATTTAAAATGTAAATACTCAGGTCTTGAAGAATTAAATCAGTTTAATTAAAATTAGCCCCATGTTTTATTATACCACAGCATTACAAATACTGTAAAATCACTTTTGATTTTGTTGAGTCAAATTTTCTGGTTTGAGGGGAAAAATTGATTTGTGGGGATTTCATGGATAAAGAAGACAGTGCTGTGTTGTTTTCATATGTTTGGAATTAAACAATTTGTGGAGGACATGAAAACAATGAAAATTTACACCTCCCCCATTAGTAAATATAAGTGATTTCTTAAAAAGAAATAAAAGAGGAGGCTAATTTTAAGTATACTGTAGTTCAGTGTTCTGAATTTCTTGTCTTTAATGTAAATGTATTTTAAAAATAATTTGCTGTGATATTTCATGTATATTTTGTTTATATACAGATACATATACCCGAGGGTATGTTTATATATTGAAAAACACAAAGTAAATATTGATCTGCTTAACTTATTTGTGTTTCATTGAAAGAAGAATAGCTTTTATATGAAACAGTCTCAGAAACAGAGGCAATTTGCTTATACATTTTGTGTTGATTTTAACTAGGCATATATGAAATTAGAGATAATTTTATCTTTTGAAGAATGGAGTGAGAATCAATATATGTAAGATTTTTAAAACTGAAATTCCACTTGCGATTCATTTTTTTTTAAAGCACTCCATAATTTTTGCAGATGCAAATCACATGGAGATTATGTGTAATTTAAGTCCTCTCTCCCCTACCTCTAGATGTTAAGATTGACACAGATTATAAAATGTTACAGTGTGACAATGCTAGGATCAAACCTGGTACTAACACTATGCACCGCGCTACCGAGACTGATATTTAAAGGCCATTCAGATAACTTTAAAGTGCACACTTCGTCATACTGTATATGACTTTTACATTTTAACAAGTCAGCATTCATAGGTAGGCAAACAATAGTTATGGGCATTTAAAGCAGTGGATTTTAAGTCCATATCCTCCTAACTCTTCCTTATAAGTAATGGAACCAAGGCTTATGATGATTACTAACCTTTTATTACCTTTTTAACAATTTTTCATACTCTGTGTGCTTTTAAGGGATGAGAGTGTCCCACTTAGGGCATCTATCTACTTTATTACGACAGCTATAGAGACTTAAATGTATGATTTTCTGATCATATTTTCTTATATTGTGACCCAAAAATCCCTCAACCCCCACCCATTCCCCAGTTAAGCTGCAGAATTTCCCTATAGCCCTGATAAATAAAACTATATACATATATAGTCATAAAGTGTTGTCATTTTAATCATGACGTATAAAAAAAAGGAAGAATGTATTGATAAAGAAAATTGCTCCCAATGTCCCCAATTTTCAAAGTGGACATTTCTAGATAAAATTCCCATTACAGATAAACAACACTGTAAATTCTGAGACATTTATTTTATTTGTATACATCTTTGATGAGCTGTATGTTTGGTACAGCTTTGTATTAAGACAGTAACAATAACATAACACAAAATAACAAACTCCAAATGCTCCTGATAGCTTCACAGCATTCTCCCAGGTGCTGAATATTGGGATATTACAATTTTGGCATTTATCTCCCTTATCTTTAAAACTACCAGAATTATATCCCCTTAACATAATAAAATACTATCAGGCACTTAAATAATGACAGCATAGTAACTATGAATGTAGGAAGTAAGTTAAAAATCTATATAAATAGGAATATCTGTCTAATGTCATGTCCAAAGAGGATCTGAATTGTAGTCTTGCAATAGCACAGAAAAGGTAACATTTCAATACATGTATAAATAGAAAATATTGATAAAAACAATATTTAAGTTTTTTTTATTTAGTAAACAACAAAGGTAACGAAATAAAAACCAATAATTCAGTTCAGACTTGTCTATTTAGTTCTTGTATGAAATGATTATATTCTTCATATAAAACCTATTTTGTTGTGTGACAAAAGCTGGTGTCTTTGAAGTCATTTTTCGACATAATTCCCTTAAAATATTTATTGCTGATGATCTCTTAAAAACTGACCAGTGGTGCTCAACTTATAATGTTCAGCTTAAGTAGCTCATAAAAACCATGTTCCCTGAATTATGTTGAATATGCAGTAACTGTTACACTAACTGAAAATGTTTCAAAAGAATTGGTGTACGAAAATAAGGCTAGAATGACCGTTATAGCGACTACACACTCTAATTTCCTTATAGCTAAATTACCACCACTATTCTCAATAAGAACTGAATATAACCATTGTGCATTCCAAGATCATAACTAACATTATTATGCCAAAGATTATGTCACAACCATACAATCAAACAGTGTCAGAACTTATTGCAAAATGGCTGAACATTGAGAGATCACAAAATACAGAAAGATAATATTTTATAGGATTAAATGAAACTTAACCCTTTTATAAGTCCTTTTGAAAATCATTTTTTAGAAAAAAATAACATGACAGGAATAAACAGATCTTAGATGGTGCCATTTACTGCAATAGCATTATTTCCCAGAGTAAATATGCCTTAGACATTCAGTGAAATGCCGGTAGATGTGTAACAATTAACTGTACATAGATAATACTGCATAGTTTATTATTTGTCTCCCATATGAAAGTATACATATGATTAAACCTGACACTACATGCTGAAAGAAATACTTGAAGGACAAAATTTGTCATTCAAAATGCATTTAAAAAATAACCAAACTGCAGAAAAGACCTAAATTTCTATGGAACATGAAACAAAGTCATACTTATGTGGCAAATTAAGGCATGTACATTGACACTAATATTCAAAGATCTTTAGCACAGTATAAACACTTAATATACAAGAAGTTATCACAGGCACAATAAATACATTTCCTCATTGACATAACTGACTAGGTTTACAACTTAAAATAGAACATTTTAAATTAAGACATGATGCAATGGTTCAAAGCACTCGCAGAAGCACGGGGATGTTTAGCTCTGTACAATATAAACAGCTTCCTGACTTTGAAATTATTTGTTTTTAAACTTCTCCTTATGAATGACATCACATAAGTATTAAGTCTGTTTCCCTAAGGAAAATACATGATGAAATTCACACCTCCTCCAATGAAGCTTTGTGATTGGCTATTTTAAACAAGCCTCACCATGTCCAGCCAATGAAATTAAAGAAGACATTCTGGTAGTGATGAGATGATGTTTGAAATGAAATTCCAGATGACTTATAATGAGAGCATAATATATAGTTTTTGAAGAGCCCCATATCTTTTTATAACTTGTTAATAAATAAGATGTTCGAAATGAAATCCTTGTTTTCTTTCCTGTCCACTTTGTTCAATAAACCGTGACAGATTCACTCGTCGATTTCTAGCTCCTCCTCCAACATTGCGTCTAATTCCTCTGTCAGGCCTTGTAACATATTGTCTATATCATTCAACACATCTTCATCCTTCTTCTTACCACTGAAAAACAAATCAGTTTAATTTCAAAACTGTACCTTATAAAGTTATTCTATAGCATTTTCCTTAAAAATACTATGAAGAATTTCACTTCTGAGACTGAGTAACAGATACATGTCTCAATTTTCTAGTTTAAATATGAAATCTGATTAGGTGTTTGCTGAAACTAGTTACCAAATGAAAACCCAACGGACTTCAGAAACTTAAGGTAAAAAATTCAACATCAGTTTTCTGATGAAATCAAACTTACATTTTTGGTTTGGTTGGCACTGGTGGTGAGGCATTAGGCTTCATAGCCACTGAGGGTCTTGGTCCTGAAATACATATAGTGGTACATTATCACCTATTTACCGTAGTTATTTATAGAATTTTTCCTATTTCTGTCCCCCTGCCAAAATGAACCTTACATTACTACCTAATGTCTGAATTCTAGAGCCAGGTAAGCAGTGATTAGTTACACATACTCGGAGTACATTAGTTGAATCTACCATTATACCATATATACAGGTACTCGCCCCTAAATCAGCTGTATTTTAATTTTCAGATTAGTTTGGAATTGTCATTGTCCTGATTATCAGTAAGATTTTTGTTGCCAGAATCTGTTCCAATTTTCAGTTTAATATTCTGGGGATTTTTTTGTGTTTCAAAGAATGCTTAGGGGTATGTCATCAATATTTGATTTTTTAACAACAATTAAAACAGATATATGATTATTAAAATCTGTGAGCACTTGAGTTTTATAAATATAGATCTTCCGTTCCTTTAATAGCAAAAATATACAATCTATCTGAGATCTTACACTTTAGGTCTATGATTACATGTATCAAATGATTTCAAGACTGTCATTACTCATTAAGCTATATTAGATCTTTAACCAAAATCCCCCCTTCCCTGACCAAGTCACTAGAATGAATTTAAACCTATATTTGTTGATATTCTATTCTGTTGCTTCCTGTTACACATTTATTTAATGCTTCCAGCCTTCCACCCAAAATGCCAAAATGTTGAGGCTTGAGCCATGTACCATGTTTAGGCAATTTTTTTCAACAACTAAGTTCCTGAATTAAAAAGCATTTGTACAGAAAATTGTGAGAATCTGGCAAAAGCACCAAGTACCAAAGGAAGCAACGAGAGAGATATTAAGCAGATTCGTGGATATCTGTCCAATCTACGACTGCCAAAGCATTAATTCTGAGAGATTAGATAACGTGATGTGTACTCATCAGCCTTGAATTTAAATTCTTCTATCTCTAGAATATCTGCAAAAACATCATGCTGCAACCATAAAATACAGCTTTTACGAGGAAAGGGATTAGAAATTGATAGATAGAAATCTATATATAAAATTGCGTCACACAGACCTTATCTGTGTGTAAAAAGATTATCAATGAATGCAGAATTTTTACAGTATGCCACTTGTTTATATTAATGATTTCAAAATTGGCTAATAAAACTACATGCTAATATATTTTAGTGCAGAACATTGTGAATCATGAGTTATGGTTCCTTATTGTACAACAGGAGTTATGGTTCCTTATTGTAAGAGTTATGGTTCCTTACCTTTGTTTGGTGTCTTGAGGTGAGCTGGGATGCTCGGTTTCTGTGGAACACTGGGTAAGACTCGTTGATGGTCGGGGAATCCCTGTCCGTTACCCTGAGCTGGACTCTCGTTGATTGGCACTATGGAGGGCTTGGCTGGAGGTGCACGTTGTTTTATTGTTCCTACATTCTCATTGGCGAAAGGCAAGGTGTTCGAGTCTACACTGGAGGCTGACACTACAGAATCGGAACTCGATGTCGAGTCTTTTCTTTTGAGTTCATGAGAAACATGTTGAACTCTGGGAGAGGTTTGAACTTGGTCTTTTGATTGGGCAGTGGTAGTCACATGATTAAGAACAGGGGGATTCTTGGTAAAGTTTGGCACCATGGAGACTACGGGAGGTGATGGGTTCTCTTTGACTGTTTGTAGAACAGGAGCTTTATAAGTGAATGAGTTTGGTTTATCATTAGGTGTGGGGGTGGGGGGCTGCCCTAATTTTCCCATTCCCCTTAATTCACCTGGTGTTTTATCATCCTTGCTGGGGATTCCATAGTTATGAATTTTTGGAGTGATAATGTCCATGGCTATTGGAGGAGGGGGAGGTGGAAAGTCTTCTCCATCAGAACTGTTCACATCCTCTGAACTCTTCTCCACTCGTTTACTGCCAAATTTGACTGAGAGACTTTGAACACAAGAAGCAAAAGCAAGTTGTTTCTGACCATCTTCTATGGACCCCCTTCTGGGAGTTTGTTGAGAAGAATTCCCAGTAGGCATCGCTGGAGTCTTCTGAGCGTTTTGATCATTATTCTGTAAGGCAGACTTGGGAATACTTCCAGCATACCTGGATGAGTTTGTATCTTGCCTGTTGGAGATTGAATTAGTGCGTTTGGGAGGTGGAGGAGGGGGAACTTTCCGACTAGTTGGTGAATTCTGTGGCTGTTGTGAACCATTCTGATTTGAGACTGAGACAAAAACCGGTGCTGTTGTGCTGGCAGGGAACGGATGGGACATCGGAGAATGTGTGGGAGACTTTGGAGATTTAGGAGAGTTCTGCATTCTCGGTTGATCATAGATGTGATCAGATTGTCCCGTCTTCTTCAGCATCGCTGCATTGAGAAGGAAGGCTTTTCCAGGACTCATCCCCATTTCGTGATTTTTCTGTGCCTCGTATTTCTCAATGTCTATAATCTCTGGCGATGTCTCTTTGCTGCTTCGCTTTGTTTTGGCAATGATCTTGGCTACTGGCTTTGGTTTGATCACAGCTTTTGGCACCGAGGGGGCAACAATGGGAGCAGGCTGCTGTTCCATCTCCTCTTCAGCTGTGGGGGTGCTGTCTCGATCCTCCCTTACAGAAGTCGGTCCCTGAAACGATGAAATCCTAGCACCAGGCATGTCCTTCGGAGATTCTGATTGAGATCCGTGTCTTTTAACCTGAATGGCCACGACGTCCGGCTGATAGCTGGTGTTTGGACTGTGAGACACAAACTCCAGACTATTGTCACTATGCTGTGAGAATCGGTCACTCTTTTGTGAGAGACGGTCACTGTTTAAATTGTCCCCAGAGAAAGATTTCTTTGTTTTAAATGGTGAGGATGGAATCTCGTGGATGTAATCCTCCCCTGACCATCTGGTGTGGCCCAGGGGTGGGGGTGGGTCTATTATTTCACTGTGTCCACTCCTGTCCATTGAAGAAAGTCGTTTACTGTTGGCATTGATTCTTTTCAGACGCTCTATAGCCAAAGTTATTTTCTTTTGGTGACCTAAAGAAAAACAAAAAGTTCAGTAAAAGAAAACACAATGAAGAGGTTACACATGTACTGATATATTGCTAAGCTCTAATGTAAAAGTTGTTTAAATTATACTGCATTTGTAAATTTACTAGATTATGAATGGTCTACTGACCTAATTTCTGTAAATTAACTAGACTATGAATGGTCTACTGACCTAGTTTCTGGATGCCTATTTCCTCCAGGTCCTCCCAGGTTATGTCCGTGACCTTGTCAAGGTCAGTGTAGCCCTGCTGTGACAGGGTGTTGTAATACTGTTCTAATCCTAGCATGTGGAGCCACTCCATCATATCGACCTAAAATCAAAAGGTCAAGGTCAGCAAGTCTTGTGTATCAATAGAAATAGAGGATCAAGACTAATCAAGTGAAAAATCTAGTTTAGATTTTATTTTAATATTTAAGTCTATTTCTAAATTTCTCCTCTGTGAGTGTTCATAAAATTTTAATATTATTATCTATCCTCTAAAAATAGAAGCAAAACTCATGACTGGCTTTTCTAACAGTACAAAGCTCATTTAATCATGGATCATATAGATGCAAATTCACTTGAAATTGACATTTTTTATGTTTTTTCACAAGACTACAGCACATCTGAATGAACAAATCTAATAAGATTTTTTGAAAAAACAAATTCAGGTTTATACCAACAAGACATTTTGATATAGCCTTCTCTAAGATACACACTCCCTCCTTTGAACTTAGATGAAGGTTCAATGCTGGCAGAACACCCTAGTTAATTACAGTTATCAATGAGTTCTACTTTACCAGCTGTATTCAAGGTTCTATGAATAATGATATAAATCATGTAAATTACGGGTTTGAAATCCGGGATCCCATCATGAATATTCAGCCGAGCTATTTCTGCCTTCAGTCGTTTCCTGTGTCCGGGCTTGGTAATCCCTATAGCAGATAAATCCTGTAATGGAAAAAATCACAATAAGCTGATATGAAACATGGGGGTGGGGTGTTAAAATTCATTTTGCCCCATCTTTGTAATTTACCCAATAATGATTTTTTTCTTTTGTTCAAAAAGTAATCACTATGGTTTTTTTCAAAATGAGAACAGGGCACAGGCACTTATTTATTTCAATTTTAACCTATAGTTATAAAATTATTATACTATGGCTTAAAATTTATTTCCGAAACAAGTGCTTGGAACAGGGGGTGGGATTGGGGTGAGTTCTGATAAGGAAGTGTGACAAAAAGTGTAGTTACAATCTGGTTATAATTCAGAAAATAATCACTCTACTAATATTGTGGAATTTTTTTTATGTGTTTAGCCTATGTAATGAAAAACAAATATTGTTAATTACTTTTAACAAGATAAACCACAACTACAACCTGAAACATTAAGAGAAAGAAATGCATTTTAGCCTGACCTAGCTACAGTGTTGTAATTTGTGTTCTTAGCACTCAAATGAGATGGAAGAAAAAAGCACCACTCAACATGGGGTAATAAAAACACAAAACAGACTCATTTGTAACATCACAATACAAGACAGAAGATATGGTACACCTGTAGTTACAGAAACACACACTAATTACTCTACTTCATCACACCTTGTAGGTGCAATGACGCGATTGTCGAAATATAGAGACATAAACAAAGATGTAAGTTTTAGCCGCTCATAAACGCCTTTTCTAATACAAATTATGTTTTAGCAATTTTTATATTAATTTCAAATCACTGGTACTCTGATTTTTCTTTCTGGCTTTGGGATCAACATAAACTGGCATCATTAACAAACTGCTTGAAATATATGCTAGTAAGAGAAGAAGAGGAATTGTTAGGCTAAACATAGAAATATAGCTTTAAGATAATCTTCACCACTCAATGGCAGGAAAGGACTCCATAGCAGATTAATTTTGTCACACGTAGGTGAAAATTGAATTAGGCATGCCATCCAGGAGTAATTCAAACGAATAATGAATCTCCACCAGATTTAAATAAGGATATAAAACAATAGTTGAAAGAAATTAAAGACCACACACTGCTGCCCTTATGTGGGAGTTGATCACTGATTTCATCATTCAAAGTTTTTCATGTTCTGTTCAATGAAATCCTAAACAATTTAAACCCAAAACTTGAATTTACTCTGCTTCTCAATTTATACAAGACTGCAACATTTATTGAAGTCTATCATAATGTCTAATACTTATAAACTCTTCATTCAATATGTATTTATAAACTCTTCATTCAGTGTGTGTGAAGATAACTTAGCCTGACACCGGAGAACTGATAAGATTCCACCAATTTACATACAAATATCTGACAAAGATGAGAGTTACAGAGATGACCGTTCAAACTGACAGTTCTCAAGACTGACCAAATTCCACAACTAAACCAATTTACTTAAACAATCTCTGAAGGTCACTCTGACAAAACACCAGTTATCTTGTTTCTGCTTCTGTTTTACCAGAATGAAATCATTATTTCAACTTCAATGTCACACAAGACCAAGCAAGAAAACTTCAATAATAAGTGTAAAATTCTTGCAATCAGAGTAATTAACTTCAGAGTAGAAATTCTTGGAATCACTCTCTAGTTTATTAGGTATGCCATGCCACGGATATCAACGATAGTTGAGACATTGGATAATTTGCATAAGGGGAAATATTATTTTTTACACAATTTTGGACTCTTTTGCTGGTGAATAAGGTTTGTTATTCAATATAGATATCAATTAAATATGGCTTGGTTTATTATAATCATACCTGAGGTGTCATGTGGGAGATGGTAGGCATGTCATATCCTGCCTGGACAAATAAGATACAATATTCCTCAAAGCGGAGGTCCCTCAGCCAGACTCTCATCACCTCATGGTCCTGAAAGACAGAGATGTACTCATAATACAGGACAGATAAAAACTAGGACCATTCAATTAACTTAAAGTATCTAAAATATATTCCACATATTTCTGAAAAAAATTTGAATTTTTCTATTTCTTTAATTAAAATATTGTTAAAATTTGATCATGTCAACTTCTGAATAATCAAGCACAAAATATTTATTCAATTGAAAATTGGCTATACAAGACACTCAATCAATATCGCATATACCATACTCATATATGAGATAAGTATACATACAGGCATGCCTGCCCTGAACAGTTCGGCGACGTTGATGGTGCTCATTTGTCCCGATTCCTCCAGTCGGTCGAGACTGCCCACGCTGGAACTGGACGTGCTGTGATAACTCTGTCGCGACGACACCCCAGACTCGTAACTCTGACTGGACAGTCGATTGTTGTTGTTTATCTGGACATTGGCAAAGTTATGCGGTGGCTGAAAAAAAAAAAACATAGATATAGATCATTAACCTAAATCACCTAAATCAACTTCAACTAGATATTTAGAAACTCAAAGGAAGATCAAAAACAAACCAGATATTAACTGGTAGCTGCATTATTTCATGTTTTTGCTTTATTATAAATCAAATCATATCTGGAGATTTGTAATTTGGATGCCTACCAACTTCTGTCTAATGTTTCATTGTACAGACACAGAAAAATATAAGATTAAAAATAAAAATCTCCAAAGATTCTACCATGTTCTAATAATGTTCAGTCAATTGCTGTAAATGTAATCAAAATAGAATCAAAGCCATAAAAATCAGCAAGATCAGCCAACATTCTATCTTAGCAAGTGAATTTGTGCATATCCCAAAAGTGTGGTAAAAAGTATGGTAGTGAAGGTACTGGATTTTATGTATTCACGATCTGATAACAACTAGGGGATAGCAAGATAATGTTTTCAAGAAAATGATTCAGTATGGGATATAAACAAAACCAATACTAAAAGAAGATGGTCATTACTATAACAAGATACTCAAGGAATTTCCAAAAAAATCTCATTCTTTTACCTTTACTTATATGCTAATTTTCATGTGCATTATATCACCTGGAAAAAGCTTAACAAGGCTTGATTTTTGTAATGTAACAATTTGTTAGGCAAAGAAAATGAATATTATTGTGCAAATTACTGATTCTGTTACTTAGATTAAGAATTTCAATGATCGATTTATGTGACCAAGACTATATCTTTTGAATATTTCCACATGTACTGACAAAGTTTTGATATCAATTTGAGGTTATTTTGTAAAGTAACATCTTTTATCGGTGATCAATGTTTTTTTTTTTGGTCTTCTCTCTCACACCATCTTTCTGGAATTCAGGAATTAGATATATCAGTATTTACCAGACACAACTCATTTACATACACAAAACCAGAAACTCATTATTACCCAAACTGTTTCCATGCCAGCTTGTCATGTTTTCTATCTGTCGTTAGCGAAGGTCCTTACTTTGTCTCTCTCTCCAAACAATTAACAAGCTAATCATCTTTTCTTAAACTAAACAATGATGCTTCCTTTTGGGTGAAAAATTATTCGATAGTCTTTTTTTAAAAATGAAATTGTTGACAAAAGAGTTTTTTTTCACATAGAATTCACATTTAAAATCAAACAAATTTGAATCTGATCAGTCAGCAGAAATGCTCTATTTGCCTGGTGCCTGGGGAAAGTCTCGATATAGAATTACTTGAGGAATCTTAAGTTCTCTTCCATTTCCAGGATAAAACTACTTTCTATCTGAATTAAGCTAAAACCTCACTTTATAGATACAGGAGAAATTGCTTTTAGTGGTGACATAAAAAATAAAAAAAATCTATATCAAGAGAAAACTCATTTAAAGGAAAATGGAAACTTTTCTGCACTAGGGAGATGAATTTTAGAGAACTCTTCAGCAGCAAGGTGATTTAGGAATACAGATTGCAGGAGGAAAAGATTAGTTCTTCCTGCATTGTTCTGTCATGACAAACACATGTGCCAACTATGCAGTTACCAAAAAGCTGATCGTTGATCATTTCTGAACTGAACAAACAGTTCCATACAGAATTATCTAAACAATTACTCAGAATGACAAACTATAACTTCACCACTGTCCCAAAGGCTGCCCATTTCTCTTTGCTGATAGCATAATTGATTTTTTCCCTCACTCTCCAAGCTTATGATATCATTTGTCAGAAAAATATGATAATTGTGTAGAAATTAAGTTCTTTTTTTTTCTTGTCAGAGATTTTCCAGGTGCAAATGTCCCAGCATACCTTCAGGACTTCCTGTGTTATAATGCCCAAGCATGATAAATTTTGACTATTGATTATTTTCCATCATTTTACTTTTATATCAGATTTTTCATTGTAATCAGACTTTGTCAATTAGCGACTAACGTTAATGATCCAAGGTTGACAGAGTACTTCATCAATGTTTATATTCGGAGGGATTGACACATAAAAGGGGGAACTCTTAGGTCTTTATTGCCAGATTCTGATGTTGACTTTGGTTTTCACTGCTCTGAAACCCAAGCATCCTTGAGAAATAACCTTGATTCCATTCCCACTTAGTTAGACAAAGTATTGGGAAATCAATTAATGAGTTCAATATGATCAATTGTTCCAATTTTAATCAAGAGCTCTGGTTAAATGAATAATTAAATTCAAATGGAGACTCTTTGAGGTGATGGGTCACAGGCTGCATTTCATTTCCGGAATTTTTGGTAATTATCTACTTTTCATTTCCGACATTTTTCATTTTTCATTTCCGACATTTTTTTGTTTTCATTTCCGACAATTTTCAAAAACATATGTACTACTTTTAGTAACAGATCTTATGACTTTACTTATGATAAATTTAAAGAAAAAATCATAAATAAATCATTGAAATACAATAGCTGAGTTTTGTAAATCTATCAATGACTTGTACATAAGTGTGGTGCTGTCACTGACATTTAATTTAATGCATATTAGATGTGGTGAAAAAGTTTATGCTCATTGAACTCTTTTACCTAGACTTATTGCTCAAGAATGCTTAAATGTGTTGATGTTTTTTTTTTTTTATTTATTTAATTTTTCATCAATATTTTGTAATAAATACTTTTAAAATTCCATTTCACTTAGAAAACATTGAATTACCGCACAGGTACAGTTATGAACCTTGAAACTTAATGACATAATTACACACACTGGAAATTTTAATTGAATTTAAAAAAAACTTTCCAGATATTTTCTGTAATACATATCTAACTTACCAGAACCCTGTATCTGGACATCTTTTACAGTGTTTAATGTTAAGTGAGTTGTTGTTGTTTACGTACCTTAACGTTAGCGTTGGCGTGGTCTAAATGTCCTGTACTATATCCCCGTCCACTGTCGCTGCTGGCCGCGCTGTTACGATTACTGTTAGTCGGGCTTCCTTTTCCATGTCCTGCATTTCTTATGTCACTGGCAAAGGCAGGAAGCGATGACCACTCACCCACTTGTTCACCATTATGGTTCACAATCCGGCCATTCAAGTTCTGAAACGTGCAAAAACAAAACGTCATGGAAATAGCCACAGAGTCTCGATTCCTTAAAATATACTGTCGATTATCACAAAGTCAATGCATGCATTGGGAACATTCCAAGAAATTCACTTTACAGGATTCAATCAAAATACATGCTGCCTGTCCTATAAATGTTGAATTTTTTATATCATTTCATCACATCTTTTCCCATCCACTTGCATGAGATGTCAGTTAAATTTTCACAGAAATGACAAGGGAAAATCAAAAAGTTATTATCTTGTCAAAAGCAGTCCCAATACTGTTTTGTTATCACTTCCACAAAATGTAGAATAAAGCTAAGTATTTATGATCTCTATAATGTCTTCAGAACCCAATGCCTCTAGGTCCTGTGTAACAGTTTAAAACATAATTGCATCCTACTAGAATGCTGATTGACCAATCAATAGCCTGGAAAGCCAGGAGAAACCCTCTCTGGTTCTTTTATGCAGTCTCAGATGTTTCATTTTTATCAATAAAGCTCTTAATACGCGGCATGGCTCATAAATACACATATCAGAATTCTATATCACTGAGTATTGATGGATGAAATGACCATAAACAATGAATTAAACCACAAATTACCACCACTTGAGCCGACAAATGGATACAGACTCATTCTGGATCAGGTTGATACATGTTTACCTGGCCCCAAAAGAGACTTGGGAAGGGTGACTAAGACATATAAATTTCAAGTGCTTCACAAACTGGCCAATTGATTACTTCCTACCCCCAAATCCTTATATTGTAAGAATAATAGGTGGAAAAAAAAATCATTTTTTTTCAAAAATAGATATCAGACTTTTGAAGTAACACAAAAGTGGAGAGGACAATTGCTAGACTGTGGAAAGAATAGCCCACCTTACTGAAAATAAGAATCATCAGTAAAGGCCCCCACCCTTTCCCCTCAGTTTTTCACCCTTAGCTGGCACCTCATTGACCTTGAATACAACATAAGCAATAAAGTGGAGATTGTTTTTCTAACCGACAAATCTCCAAAGTGAAAAAAATCAATCCTTATTTATTTGTCATATCATCAAAGTCTGAAAGTATCATCTCTTACAATGCATTACACTGTAATTGCACTTTCCTGTGTTAGGTTCATCTTTCTATCTCTGACAATGATCCAAATTTTAATGTTCTTAAAAATGCTCACATTTTTAATATTAAAAATTTACAAGGCTCAGAAAAGAGACATAAAGATGTCTGTAGAACCGGCCCCTGATGAAACGGCTTGGTGTAAAATGCGGAGGATGGAGTCTCCACAATGACTCCAAAATGGAGGGTCAGAGAGTGCAAGGGGTGGAGCCTCTTGTGTCAATTTTAATACATTTGCCCGTTTTATCTTTCAATCATTTTAGAAACTGAATACAACTGGGTTGCTTGTAGAGCTCTCCATCAGTGATAAAAAGTGCCTGTCAGAATTAATTACTGGGTCTAGATACCGGTATGTCCTAAACATTTTATTGCAGATAATTATGTCATGCATAACACACCGCAGATCACTTTGTCTGCAAATAATCAACAATTAAAAAATATATTTCAAATTGCTGTAAAAGCTGCAAAAGCTTCTGTATGTGTAAACCACAAAAAGAAGATACAATTAAATGACAACTGAAAATGAAATTTAGCAAAAAAAAAAATAACATGACTTTCAGTTATATCAACAACAAATGAGGGGACAAATTTGCTTCTGTACACTAATATATATTTTTTTTATCTTTCCCTAGAAGTTTAGGTAATCTAGCCCTTAGCAATTTTAACATTTTTCCCTTCAGATATTTGATACCTATACTAATAAAATCTGTCAAGACCTCATGGGTTACTGCGAGATAGCAGTGTGAATCAGACAGTTTTCATTGCAGCATAACAAAATTTAAATCAAAAGCACAGGCTGCATGCCCCTCAATTATTTCTCATATCTATAGGTCATTTCAATTCTCATTTTGTTGTTTCTTTATCATGTTGCTTGTTTCTCATTCCTTTTAGAGCAATAAAATAGAATAAAATAAAAACAGTTAATGGCCAGAGTTCTCTAATAAAACAATAAGTTCATTTACTGAATCTATTAACTAATTATTTTTAATTTTTCTAAAATGTTTTTGTGTGCAGTAGATAATTGGGATAATATTTCTGAGTGAATAATGACATCACGGCACATTTCCAACATCGGACAGTGTCTTCGACAGCAATCAGATATTTCAGATGGTAATAGGTGTTTTGTAATGAGGCCGATATTCATCGACACCTTTATTTACATATCAGTCTATTAATATATATCTGTATGTAATATCACCAGAAGATAATAATTTTGATGCTATTCTGTTTCAGTCAGTCTCTATTATCTTTAAAAATTAGATAATCAGCAAAGCTGTTCCCCTCGTTGAAATGTGGTGTTCTTTTTTTTTTTTTTTTACTGTTTCCTGTTTCTTTGTTTCTCATTTAGTATTTTATGGACTTTATAAACAAATGTCATCAGATACTGTCAAATGCTCATCACAAAATAAGGTTGGGAGATATAACTGAGTTTCATTCACTCAACTTCAATGGAATTATTATTTTTTTAATTGTTTGGGTAATGTAACACTCCAACACATTCTCACAGAGTATCAGAAAATGAGATGACAGATCTAATAAGCACGTGCTAAATTTACGACAAGCACTATGCTCCACCTCTTGCATCATCTAACACAAGAGGCTCCACCCCTTGCACTCTTTGACCCTCCATTTTGGAGTTTTGTGGAGACTCCATCCTCCGCATTTTACACCAAGCCCTGATGAAACGTCTCGAGATTAGAGCACAAAAATCCTCCTGCACCTGTTCCCAGGAGATAAGCCGAACATTTGGGGAGGCATGACACACTGTTAACTAGCCGAAAACACAGCAATACAGGCAGGGGATGCACCGAGAGATCACCTAATCACATTCCTCCCCGCTATTTTTAGGTTCTCCCCATGAGCCATTAAAAAATATTGTGACATCAAAGTATGGAGCATTAGTAGAAGAAAGTTTGCCTGATTTTACCAGACTGATAAGGCAAAAATCAGGCATCGCTGACGGCATGCGAGAGACGTATAATCAAAGTAAAATTAACATGTACAGCTGTTGGGGTCTTTTTTAATGCATTCAGATTTGCAGATTTATATATGAATTTGTCCGACTTTGATTTCAGATTTTAATAAATTTTTCCATCTATGATTCATCAAAGAAGAACTAAAATTAAATTTGTTCAAATTGAATCAACAATATTTTTTATATAAAACTTAACAAGTACCAGGTACATGTATTTCAATGGTCTAAGGCAATTGAGCATAAATGAAGTTGCATTACATTGTAAACAGCACTAGTTATGTATGGCACCTACCATTTCCATGTTTAGAAACTTTTACAACACAAATAATTCCATCATGAAATAAGTAGTCTGCAGGGTTTCAATATCCTTTATATTGCAAAAAACACAAGTACTCCACATATCACACTTAGAACTTGACAAACTCCAAACCAATCAGAAAACTTTGTGTCATAAACTGAAAGAAGATCTATCATCAAATACACAAGGAAAAGGAGTAAAACACTAAATACAAGTAGGTCAGGAGGCAGGGCAGGATCCTGCAAATGTTGTTGTCAAAGAAAGCTGTGGGTAACGAGAGCATTCCTGGTATAACACAACACTCATCCCTGGTTCATCCCCGCTACACTCGGGCTCGACCCTCGACTCATCAGCTCGAGCTGTCTTATCTTTTTTACAGGGGAAGATGTTACTGGGGCCCTTTTGAAATGCCAGAGTAGATAACATCAGTGATGCAGAACGTGGCTGTGTTTTTCTGGGAAGCTGTGAGGGCCCTATCTATGTATATTCTCCACTTGATCAGCACCAGTTAGTATACAGCTCTCCCATCAGGGGGTTCCCCCTCAACAGGCAGGGAAGATTCTGATGAATGGGTTATCTCCAAAAATAACTTTTTTATGAATATTAAGTACTACAGAAACACCTCAATAGATATTTAATGAAAAAGATGAAAAATTCAAACAGGATGCAGATTATGTAGCATTTTAGATACAGTTATGAACCAATAGATATTAAATAAACTTGTTGAAGTAGTTTTCATTAAATGCATTGTAACATACTGCATGGTTGTTTTGATATCACTGCATCATCAAAGTGCAGAAATTACCCAGGAGTACTGCCATTAATAATTCATCAATTAGTTTTGTAGAGGAATTATGATTGTTTCATTCACAAAAATTGGCTTTAATGGAACGATATTTCACTATGAATTACAGAGTTGGATATTTTATCCTTTGATTCAGAAGCAGAGTAAGGGAAATGAATGGGTGTCCATTTCACCCAATGCAGATTCCACTTAAACAGTCATTACAAATTCCAAATGAGCAGAAAAAATGGACATTTCCAGAGATAATTTCTCTGACAAAGGGCTATTGCTTCACCCAAAACAAACCCATAAACCCGATCAATGGAATTCAATACTACAGAAATCCCAAACTTGTACAGTCCTCTAAAATAACACTTTACACCAAAGTCAAGTCGAGCTTTTAAAATAAATGTGATTGACCTAAGGTCAATGGTCCCCAATCGATGATTGGTTTCAAATAGCCGACCACTGAAGTGAGAGAAGTACTTGATATAGAGTATTTAGCCGATATTATTGATAGAACAATGGTCAAAAGGGGACAGTGCCCTGTTAGATGTAGTTAGTTCATAGAGAGGGGGATTACTCCTGAGATATGTGATATTATAATGGAATTCATTTCGTTTCCTTTGAAGTTTACTTGTATGTCACACTGTTAAATGGTGTGGTAATCATTATATCTATTGTAGGATACACAAAGAAAACAATCATAGTAATCATATGTATTAACCAGTCCACTTATAACCGATTCTTTTGATGTACAACAAGGCGAACAAGCAGCACTTTTTTAATCATACTTGCCGAGTGAAAGCCTGATTCCCGAAGAGAAATGTTTTATTACTTATCTTCTAGAGAAATTGTCTGTCAAAATCCATCAAAGAACTATATGCGGTATATTGCATATGTTTGCCCCCACAAAAGTCAAATTTTGAAAACTTCCTGAAATGTGCTGAATTCAATAAATTGTACGAGAGAAAATATTATAGTTCCAGAGCAGTGTATTCACAATTTCTGTTTTTATGACGTCACAAACTAGTCCGATTTTATATCCTTTTTCAGAAAGAGGACAAAATGGACAAAATTTCAACAATTTAAGCTTTAAAATTTATAGAGCGCATGTGTGTTCAGGAACAATATTGACATATTTCATTGATATTATCATTCTACACATTATATCAAAATATTTATCCTGAACACACATTCGTGACTTTTAAAAATATCGACGAAATATGTACATTTTTCTGCAAAATTCATAAAAAACTGAAATTTACGTCATATTTGTGACGTCATTACGTACATATGACGTCATTACTTATGAAATTATTCAGTGCTTTGAAGTCAGCATATACTCCCCTGTTTAAGGACTTAATTAAATATTACTCCATCAAAGTTTGATTTTGGGGGGCAAATGTTGGTTAATACCGCATATAGTTCTTTGTTAGTTCTCCTCTAAAACAATTGCTAAAATAAAGTTCCAATTCATCACCTTTAGTTCTAAGACGTGTTATGAGGTTAGCTTTCCATGAAATTCAGAATGCCTTCATAAAGACAACCTCATGTAACTAGAAGCTTTTCAAGACCCCTTAGACTCAAGTAGAAAACTGTTTGGGAAACACTAATAGAGATGAATTGTCATCAATTATTCATAAAGTCTGTAACCAGATAAAGCATCTCTAAACATTCCAGAACTTTATAGCATGCAGCAGGGCGGCCATTTTGTCCTTTCAGACAGATGGTCATAAGAAGCAGCCTAATTAAAGCTGTAGAATACTAACTAGCATCAAATTATCAGGGCAGGAGACAGACTTAATCAATCAGCTGGAATCTGAAGTGGTGTAAGACTCGAACTGACCTGAAAGATAAAATAAATCACCCAATACCTATTCACTGGGGAAATATCCCATTTCCTCTACCTTAAGGTCAATTCATCACATTTACAGTATTCTGATCTATCCATCAATACCACAGTAATCAACAACTTTATAGAGCCTTATTATATGGTTCTGAATCTAACTGACCTTAGAGGACAGAAATGCAGATAGACAAGTGTTCTAAGATGCTACTGTTACTCATCAATGCCAGGCATGCATGTAGGCAAAGGAGATCTACCTCAAATGGTATACATCAAATGATGGGAAGAAAGAAAGATTCATAATTCCATTGAATAAAATGATAGACAAACAACACTTATCCATCAATGTTAGTGAATTACTCAGAATTTTGATATACCTCATCAATTGTACTTGTTATATTAAGACAAGCATTAATCACCCTCTATAATGTGTTGGCATTCTGTACAAATCGTCCCCAGATGGACCAGATAACTTCTGCAGCCACTCAGACTGGGAGAGAAGGAGATAATGTACCCAGTCCAGGGGGTCACATCACACAGCATTAACTCAACAGATAAAGGCAATCATTGAAATCCCATACACCAGGGCAGGGGATTAAGTTTAAGGGAAATAATCCATACATGAAGAGGGTATGTAAGTTTGTTGGATAAGAGTTACTTCAATGTCGGACTGACATGAAATGTTCAAAGACTCGGCTAGCTTCAACATTTACAGGCAGGGGACGTTAACAGGTGCTCCTTAGATGTCAGCAATCCTCGTTTACAGGTTGTGATAAAAATAAATGAATTGCTACAGTAAAGAATTTGTTTGTTTCAATCTCCAGTTCCTCTCAGTGAGAGATTTTACCTACGATTTGGCAAGGATATTTATACAGGTTCATTTATAGATCATTTGCCAGATCTCAGACACCAAACTGGTCATCTCAGTTTAAAGATCAAGCACCTTGCTGATTGAGATGAAAGGCTGGGGGAATCCAACAGGAAGCCGTTTTTTTTTTTTGGTGAGGGTGAGATTAGGACAGCTGTAGGGGAAGACGGGAGTGATATAACTTGTGTTTACATAAGAGTTCAAACTTCTGGAGCAGGGCCAGATCAGCTAAAATTACCCAACATGTGTAAAAAGATGATATAGACTGACAGAGATCTATACACAGGTGAGGAGAACCTGTCAGAAGGTACAGGGCATCTGTCTACTGAGGTGTTCTATATACCTATGTACCGTTATATATCAGAACTGTGGTCAAGATCGTAGGTGCTACATAGCTCTTAGCCGCTAAGATCCTGAAAGACATGCTAGCCTTGAATTGTAAATTTTTCATTTCAGAACATGCCATTATAAAGACAACTTTACAGAAAAATTAATTCACATATTGCTTTAAAAACAACCTAGATATCTAACTCAGCAGCAAGACTGGATGCTAGGATCTTGGATGCAGCCCAGAATTGAGCGATGGAAAGAAACCTTTGAATAAAACAAGCCCAGGGTGAAGCTTAACATTTCTCTCCTCAGATTAATCAGAGTGTAACCTTCTGTTCTTCTACATTAACATGATTAATACATTGGTAGAACTCTTCATTTTCTGGAGGAGCATATGCATGCCATGAAGAAAAGGTGTTAAAGAGTTTACCAGACCAATTACCAAATTAATTTTTCTGAGATCATTCCATCTGGTACGGTATATAATATCACAGTCAGGAACTGTTTTATCACAGACATAATCAGGTTCAATGACTTAATACAACTTCCAAAAATACAATTATTAATGGATTTTGGAAATGTCAAAATATAAAAATATAAAAAAAAAAATAAAGGCCATGTTACTTATCTTTGTGAAGGTCTTAAAAACATGAACAAGAAATAAAATGTAGTAGCTAAAAACAGCTGATTTTCCAACCCCTTTACTTCTCATCTACAGCCAAATTTATCAAATTTTGGCACTTTAGCCAGATAAATGTAATGAATCCCTGATATATTGTTTAAAACGTCAGTGAAGCAGCATCATTATTTTACCCATCTTATTATCTGCTTAGGCTAAGTCTAGATAATATCTGTTTATAAAACACTCAGCATGAAACTAATTGGCTGACATCATTATCAGCTGCTAAGTTAATTCTAATGTTGGGATAATTAAGTGTTACATTTCCCCCCTCCCCCTGAAACCAATGATGAGGCCAGCTGTTTTGACCAAGGTCAACAGTATGAATTTCCTCTTCGCAATATGAGCCAGTCCTGAAAGCTGGGGTCTCTCTAAGGATTCCTGTATCTAATGGTGGCACTAATGACAGTACAGTTGTCACTTCATTATGCTTGTTTCCTTACATAAAATATTCTTCATTTGATGACACATTCTCCTTAACCAGTTTCTCTAAACTTTAATGTTTATAAGCATTTAAGGGGATGTACCTATGTCTGAGAATTTAATAGGTTTGTGTTGGTTTTAAAGTCCCTAGCACTTAATAAAACTTAAAAGGTTTAAAGTATTGTGCATAGACATGTAAGGATGCTACAAGACATAATTAGAGATACTGAGTAATTTTATGCAACTTGTACATACACAGACAGGATAAAAACAGGAAATTGCTTAGATAAAAATACCTAACCACAAGTCCTGGTTCAGAGTGAGAGATAATCACTTATAAAAAAAATCTTAATCAAACACAGGGATTAATTAATCATAGTTAGGAAAGAAACCAAAGATCAGAAAAATACATAACACACATTGATTTTTTGTAAAGTGTAAAATTCTAGACATTCCATGATTAGATGATGTTTTAAATTGAGTGAAGAGAAGGTACATACTGACAGAATCTGTACCAAATACATGACATACAGAATAGAATTATACACAAGAATGAAATTTTATTTAGTTGTCCAGTTTTTATGTCAAAATAAAGTTCCTGCAAATAAAACTTACCTCTGATGAAGTGTTGTACAGTCTGTAGGTCTGAGGTGGTGAAAACGTAAAGGCACTACCTCCGTCCCAATCTGAAACCAAGGACAGAGAAATTATCATAACAATATCATATTTACATACACAGACATTTATAGATAATATTCTCGCGCCTAAATGATACACACCCACAACTTAACAAGAAAATCCTTTTGCATGTCAACAAAAAATTAAAAAAAGATCATGCCCCATCATTATTAGATGATTAAACTGTCAAAACTCAGCAACATTCTTTGACTTCATAAAAATCACTCTTCCATAAAAAGATAGAGTTTCACTTCTCTTGAATTTGATCTTTATGCAAATCCTGATGCATTAAGCTGCCACGGTTAGGTTAAATAATCACATGTATTAATAGAGCTTACTCTCAGCATACTCCTGACAATATAAATCAAAAACAGGTCACTAATTTACATGTGCTAAAACAATACCTGCCAGAAAACCACAGCACACAGACACCTGTAACTTTTACCTGATTCAGGTGGGAAGGTTTCACTTTCAATGAGCAATTAATCAACACAAGTATCCAGCAACAGAGAAACGCAGATCTCCAGAAAGGTGTGATGTAAGAAAATTAATGCTTTCCTTCCACATCACACAAAAACAGCCGGCCTCCCAAACCTCCTGTAAACTTCAGAACAGACCTGATTGTCTGGAGTAATTATAGACTATTTCCCACTTCTCTAACACTGAGCAAGAAACTAATTAGCAGAGAGTTGTCAGAATCCAAACTTAGACACACTCTCTCATCTGTCTTATACTGGCATTGGGTAAAAATGTGCATTGTAAACAGAAATTATCAATATATCTAAATTATCGTTAGGAATATACCTTAAAATTGCAAGCCCTACATTTCCCTTCATTTCAATTACATAATGGCACTATCATGTTAGTGTATAATGATAGTGTACACATTCATTTCACTTAGGAACTATAAGATACAGCTTATATAATGTATCAAGGGACTTTTCCTCCTAAAGTCTACCAGTAATATTGGTTAGCATTAACCAATCAATTGGGGCAATATTTAGTTTGGTAGCCAAACTCTGCCTGAAATGATGAATTGAGAACAATATTAAAACTGAAGTGATCATGAAACTGATCTAGATTCATGCTGATACTGGACCATAAAAATTTTACTTTTACATTCATCAATTCCCTTGGTAACACTAAATTCCACTTTTTTCCCAACGAAATTTGGATTGTTTAAGCAGAAATCGTGTTACGGACAACAGTTCTGATATTCCACAGATGAATAATTCTAAAGGCATACATTCAGCTTGCTATTCTCTTGGTATGAAATTTCAATTTATATGAGGCTCTCATTTATTATTTCATAGACTGGTACACAAAAGCAGGAAATGACCTTGAAATATTTTGAATTTTTTAATAATCTTGTATAAAACAAGAACTTTATCTGACATTAATCTTTGATAAGCTACAAAGAGAATTCTGATATCCGAACTTTTTTCGATGGTTATCCAGGATTATACATGTAACAACAGTCATGTGACCTACCACCTGTCCACCTGTTCTTTTGTTTATTCCCTCCCCCTCTTTGACCACATCAGTACCTGAGATGATTATACATGTATTGCCTTCCCTAATAGCTTTACCCCCATCTCCTGACAGACTCCACACCTAGAGTCAGGAGATGGACCCCCATCCCGTGCAGGTAATGACAGCCAGGTAGGTAACCTTAGTGGGCCATGAAAACCACATAATACGGGGGTCTGATTTCAATACACCTCCAAAAGTACTTACAGTCAGGGTGATCATTGAAATCAGTAAAGGGGGAGAAAAGCTTAGAAATATTATATCCCGCTTAGCTATAAACCACATCAAACACGACCTTTACGATTTTTATGACAGCATTTAATTTCCCTCTCATATAACAATAGAGAAAGAAGGAAAGAGAGTGTTATATTAACTTTGTTGCAGCAATCCCAATGTTTTTTGTCTCCTATATTTAACATATGCTGGTTAGCGAGTACACTGGTGTTTTCCTATTTACTACATCTGTGTACAGACTTCAGATGTAACCTGTTAATTAACCCTTGTCTGGTTTCTCAGTGACTCTGGGTGTGGGACTATTTCAAAAAGATTACTACATTGCATGCTATCCAATTCAACAACAGATAGAACTTGACAGGATGTTTCTTAATCCAAAAGATTATCATTTAAGCCAATGAAATTGAGTATTTTGACCCTTAAAACATAGATGAAACACCTGGTTTGATCAAGTTTAACAAGGGATAACTCCAAACAAATGTTATTGACATCGTGTGACAATCATTTAAACCCCCTTTTTTATAGTAAGAATGTCTTTGTCTCTATTAGCAGCAAATACAAAAATAGTGGTTAAACATCAAGTTGCCAAAGAGAAGCAAAAAATTTTTAAAAACCTACTTTCAATATTTTCTTTGAGTTAAGATAATATACCTGTCTCTTAGAATTCAACTTTCTATAACAAGATAATTCTTTTCTAATTTTTAAACACACCTTCTTCTATGAAATTATTGATTGATTGTGTACTACACATGTCTTTTAAGAAAAATATAATATGGAAATGAAAGGGAAAAAACCGCCTAATTTTATATGAGTATTAGCACTTTTACTTCACTTTACATTGTATATAATGTCACCAATTACAGTTGTATTTTATTTTAACATTCCGTGATGCACATCAATGGCTGTCAAACTCAGCAGTAAATTTAAAATTTAAATTCTCATGAAAATATTCCATCTCACTGGAAACCCAACAGAAATTCAGAAATAAATTACTCCTATTGGACAGGGAGACAGTATTCATAAAAAAGATATTTATGAAGCAAAGTCTTTTTGGTCCAGTTTAAATCCTGCTGAGAAATGTAATGAGAATTGATGAATTCATAGATTAGGGTCCATCCCAAATGATGTATCATGACCACTCAGCAGAAAATTAAAATTCAATGTGATGCTTCAGCAAAAATAAATAAGTACAAAACTGATTTCTACAGTTTCTACATATATTTATCTATACATCTAGAGGCTAAAAAAATTCCACATAAAACTATGACCCCAGTAACTGCTAAACTACTTCCTACATGTGACATGATCAACTACCAGTTTTCTCACAATTTAAAACAATAATTCCTTGACATAATGGTCTTCATCAAAGAGACTGGAAATTAAACACTTCAATAAATAGAAATCCACCCACCAGATCTTTTACTTTTTTGGTTCCTATTGCCAAGGGATATCATGACAACACCAAACCAATTGCCATCAACATCATATAAAAAATAATGAAATAGGGCTTTTCATAGATATCTTCCTTGCATTTTTATACTGAGTGAGAAAATGTGAATATATAATTGCAATTAGTCACTGAGTTGTGATGGCTTCAATCCAATGAAAATAACAAACAACATTCTCGGACCCAGAAAACAAAGACCAAATATTAATGTGAAGGAAGATGTATATGACATAAAGATCCGAAGGGAAAAAATGGACCTCAATCTGTTTAAAACCTTGGTAAAAATTTCCTAGTGTTACCCATTAAGTGAAAAGAATTAAGAGAATACCAATGAAAACACACAACAAACATAAAATAAATGTACCTGTATTAAATAAAATTTTAAAACAAATGTAAAAGGAGGAAATAATTCCTAAAATGATAAAATATGCATACAATTTCTTATTCTCATTGACCAGAAAATACTTTTGCTGACATTCATGATAAAATTCTGTGATCCCCCTCTCAAAACACATTTTATCAATACCACAATTTCATGATCCGCTCCTTACCTTTTTTATAGGGTGAGTTGGGTGAGAACATGGCTGGGGGTGGAGGAAATGAGTGGTCCATGCCGAGGCTGGTCTGTGATTGGTGGTGCCCGGGGCTGTGGAGGTACCCCGAGGGTGGGAGGGTCGCGGAGTTAAAGGGGCTCCCTAGGCCGGTCTGAAGGTATCCTGGGCTCCGATTCAGTAAGTCGGGGACGCTGGGCATATGAACCCTTTTTCCTTCGATAATGTGGCTGGGGTAATGTGCTAGAGTGAAAAAGGAAAGCAATCAGTTTATTCATTTTGAAATATTATGGGTCAGACATGTTAACATGAAAGGAAACATTGTCAAAAGATGACATTTTGTGAAACAAGAGACCATTTTGCAGTGAATGAAAGCTGTCTGCATTCTTGACTTGTTTGTCACAAAGTTGTTCTTCGTACAGATACTCCTTTAATGCTAGTGGAGCCAATCATTAAAAGTGCATTTATTACCCTACTGTACTCTAATGCATTATTGTAAGAATGCCAACAAATCACCCTATCAGACATATCATTGTTTATACCCACTCATTACCAAACTTTTGTCTTGTAACTTACACCATAGTGTCGGCAAATCAGTTAAAATGGCACCAAGCATAACCCCAATTCTTTGAGCTAATAATTGTCAATAATATCATTCCATCTACTTTTACAAGTGACTGCAATGGCATTTGCCAAGGCTTTGTGTAATGAAAGTTCTAAAGCAGATAGATGAAAACCTCTATAATTAATCTGATGACCTTGACCATAATCAAAACATCTATTATTATGTTTGTTTGTAGTTAAGTTTTCAATACATAAAATATTTTTAAGAAAATCTATTTTACCTTTCATATCTTATCACTTATCTAGATATAATAGAATTCCCGTGCAAGTTAAAAAAAAAGTATTAGTGACCTTTCAATGTTTTTTTCATGTTATTTGTAAAAACTGAATGTCTCTACTTTTACCCTAGTTGTTGAAGTATCTACAGAATATTCCACAGAAAAAAAATTAACAAAGAGCTACCGGAGTTGTCCAATAAGACTACAGCATCTGGAGGGAAGTATCCAGGTTTGGCCATCCGCCCATCACTGATCACCACCCCCTTCCAGGCATCGTCTCTCTGTTCTAGCACCTGTAAAGACAAGGAAGAAGTCAGTATCACAATCAGCAATCTGTATCACCGGAATTTATAAGTACTTCATTAATTTTGTTCTAGCTTCTATCAATATTATACCACAATCCACTCTACCATTCACAAAATGACGGAGAATGTTTTATTACTTCCTCACAATTTCATCCTGTATTAGATCACACACAGAACTTCAAAGTCTCCTGACTGATAACAGTCCATTTAATTTTTATTCCACTGTTCAGTAATAATTCCTCAGTGAGTATAAGGAGCAGGGTACCATGTGTCATGCGATACGAAGCCTGACTGGTCCGCTCCAATACTCTACATAACAGAGAGACTGCTAGCCAGGGATCCAACTCTCTCCAGGGAAATGTTATGGAGATTACCACAAATTAAATTTTCTGGAACATTAAATCTATTATGACCATGATAACCTAGATAGCTAGGAATCTGTAGCAGTCCCATTAGCAGAAATTCCAGGACACTTAATTCCTCAAGTCTTATGCTGGAGTCAGAATGGTATCACAACACGAATGTGGGTGTTCTGGTGCAAAGTCATCAATGTAACAGTGCATGACAACTCACCTCAGGTGTGCAGAAATATAGGATCTACTTTACATATTATATTACTGCAGGTGAAAAGTAAGGAAGATCCAGTTCGCAGAACTCACTAATTAATCAAATTATATAAACTTATCAAATCTTTAGTAAAATGACTTCAGACTCCCCAGAATGAAAAGTATGAAAAGCATCATATAAAACATTATTTCCAATGATTCTATACATGGCCTTACCTCCATATTGCTTTCAAAAAACTAAAAGCAGAGCGACATATCTAGATATTTTGTAGTAATCTGCCTAATGGTCGAGTGTGATTGGTATCTGTTGGTGTTAGATGTAAAGTGTATGTCAGATAAATAAGGGAGTCAGAAGATGAGAGGAAGGGGAGATAATCAGGTTATACCATCAGTGTTACATCATGGTGGCAGCTCTAGGTGTTATACTTCTCTGTAGATCTAACACGGCCGCTCACGGAAATGTGGGGTTTGTAAAAGGAAAGTAATCACTTCTGACTGATCTGCCTCTAGCAACATTGTTAAAAACAAAGCGAAAACCCACACTTGGTGAGCAAAAGTGAAATAAAATTCATTAGAGAAATTTGAACAGCAGGTAAGATTGACACAACAACAAATTATAACAGAAGCACCTACACTTTCAATGCTAAAACAAACATTTGTTCAATAATCTTGTATCCATAATTCAGGTTGACACATTATGAAAACACCAAAGCAGAAAGTGAATTACGTAACTGTGTGTAACTGGTCTACAATCTTAAGCATCTTGTGAGTATAATTCAGTTAGCAGCTTAAAGGAGCAAACAGATGGAGGGAGCAGTCATTATTGTCCAACGACAGCCCCATCTGTGAGGCAACCATACATAGCCATAACTGAATTATAGAAAACCAATACCTGCAACATGTGGAGAACTGACTGATTTAATAAACCCAAGCAATGAATGGACATTTCCACTGACTCAGTGAGAAAGTAACTTGATTTGAGACAGTAATAAAGTTATTACTCTCAGATACAAGAGGCCCATGGGCCTTATAGGTCACCTGAGCATTATGCAACAACTTTCCAGTGATTGAATTTGATTCATGTTTTAATCCAGATGCTATGGCATTCACAATTTTGAAATAGGCACCATTGATCATCATAACAATACACTTAGCAGTTGCTTAGTTTGTTTACTTAATACCCATAGGCAGGGTAGGGGAACAAAAAATGCATTTCAAGTAATCAGCAATATTCAGCATGATCAGTAATGCCCCAATCACACATGAACCCCTGACCCTTAGGCCTAGATCCACACATTGCACAATTTTTGAAAGGCACCCTTGCTTTTCAAAAATATTTGATAAATACCAAGGAGCAGATTTCAAACAATTCATCCAGTTTCAATATATAAGTACAGCCCCCCCCCCTCCTTTATGGTACCCCTGACCCTGGGGCCTTGAAATTCACAATTCTGGAAGATTAGGACCCTTACTCATCATAACTACATAGGTAGTTCATCTGCTTAATACCAAGGAGCAGAGAAGAAAACTTTCAAAGATTAAGTGTATTTTCATTGTATAATCAATAAAGCCCCACCCTATCACTAGAATCCCTGATCCTGGGGCCATAAAATTCACAATTTTGGAAGAGGCACTCTTGCTCATCATAACTATGCACTTATTTTGTTTATTTAATACCCAGAAGCAGAGAAGAAGATTTTCAAAGAATTCATGTATTTTCACTATATAATCTAAAGAGCCCCCCCCCCTACACCAGAACCCCTGACCCTGGGGCCATCGAATTCACAATTTTGGTAGAACCACTCTTGCTCATCATAACAAAGCACTTAGTTAGTTAATTCAATACCCAGGAGCAGAGAAGAATATTTTCAAAGAATTCATGTAATTTCACTATGTAATCTATAGAGCTCCCCCCCCCTTACACCAGCACCCCTGACCCTGGGGCCATAAAATTCACAATTTTGGTAGAGACACTCTTGCTCATCATAACTATGCACTTAGTTAGTTTATTTAATACCCAGGAGCAGAGAAGAAGATTTTCAAAGAATTCATGAAATTTCACTATATAATCTATAGAGCCCCGCCCTAACACCAGAACCCCTGACCCTGGGGCCATAAAATTCACAATTTTGGTAGAGGCACTCTTGCTCATCATAACTATGCACTTAGTTAGTTTATTTAATACCCAGGAGCAGAGAAGAAGATTTTCATAGAATTTATGTATTTTCACTATATAATCTATAGAGACCCACCCTAACACCAGAACCCCTGACCCCGGGGCCATGAATTTCACAATTTTGGTAGAGGACTCAATGCTGATTACAATCATGCAAACAGTTTGACTGCTTGATGTCCAGGAGTAAAGAAGAAGATTTTTAAAGATTGCACTAATTTTAGTGGTTTTTGCCCCACCCCCAGGCCCCAGGGGGGCAGGGCCCATGAAATTCACAATTTTTGTTCCCCTTCACCCATAGATGCTATATGCCAAATTTGGTTGAAATTGGTTCAGTGGTTTCAGAGAAGAAGCTGAAAATGTTCAAATGTTAACGCACGACGCACGACGAACGACGAACGACGACGGACGAAAAGTGATAGCAATAGGTCACCTGAGTTTACTCAGGTGACCTAAAAACTTTAAATTGAATTGTATTGATTTAAAAATACGTTTTTATACAGAATTGCTTTTGGAACTGGATTTTTAGATGTTTTTGCAGCAGCATTTCAAGCCATACAAATTATTGCCCTATTTCTTCAATATCAACACAGAAGAAAGCAACATCTCAGACTGTCTAACTCCCTAATTCCAGAGATTCTATTTGTATGACTTTGTTGAAAAACAAATGAAATTAATTTCACCTCTCTTGACTTGCCACACTTTGGCCAAGCCTAACGACTTGCCCCTAACACAAACCATCTCAGATCATTCCCCCTCCACTAGAAATCCACGATTCCTGCTGTATAACAAGACCGAATCTGGTGTTACACAAAAGTCTGACACATAAATCACAATTCATTCAAGTACCCTCTCTCACCCAGTGTCTAAACAAACATTTGCTGAAGCAATGACCCCAATTCTGGGCTCAAGTATCAGATCGGAGTGTGTTTCTTATTCTTACTAACCCCCCTTCACTTTACAAAGCTCACCATACAAAGCTTTGGAATGCCTCATCTTAGAACCACCCAGACTTTGAAGTTCAGGATTTTTGTATCTGTTCAATAATTACATCTCTGTCACATCTCTAGACTTCAATGAAATTTAAATCTTTGATATCTTATTAATTGTGTCACCCCTTTATACAGTGTATATTTAATGAGGGTAAACAAGTCTTAATAGTTGGGTTTGAGGAGTATTCTGCCAATGACCACATTTTTGATGCTTGACTTTTCTCCTCAGCTGTTTTGATATCACCAGAAAAGTTCAAGCAGAATAAAGTACAGTCTACCAATTTACAGATACTGGACTTTTAAACCAACTTTTAAAAAAAGCTTAATTCAATCTGAAAATTATTCTTCAGGTTTATTTTAAAAACAAAATACATGTACAAAATTTCTTAACAATTGCAAGGAGGGCAAAACCATCTTACATTAAAGAGTTATTATTCAGTAAATAAACTTTTGATTAGGACCATTACAACTCTTTTTTTCCCCCAAAGTAATCACTTCAACATACTTCAATGATAATTCTAAAGTCTACATTACCACAGACCTAAAGTTTGACTCGGGCTTACTAAAAAATCTGTTATCAATTGAAGAAAAAAATCTAGAATTAGTCATCACACTGAAATTTCACTTTCAGGTGCTAATAAATCCTCCCAAATTCAAAAAAAAAATTTTGTCAAAAGTCACAAAGCCACTGTATGATTGAGTATAAATCGTTATACACTTTATGTTAACTGTGAGACAGAGAACTGGAATACGAGGACTTCAGTATGGGACTCTATCAATGCGACAGACTCGACATCATACATAAGTAAACACACAACCTGTAAACATGAGCACTAGGCTAGTTGTGATCTCTATAGACCAAGATTAATGACTAATGGAAAATGTTTTTTAACACCCTCTATAGATTCAAAAAAGTTAAATCCATCAGAATCTAAACATCATATACATTATTCTCTTCAGATACGTTTTCTGCCTTTCACTTTCTTTAAAGAGAAAATGCATTATGTCATTATCCTTCAATTCAGGAGATAAACAAGAAAAATTCTTTTTTTTTCGGCAAAAATTGTCTTACCTTGATGATATCCCCTTCTTTAAATGCCAGGGTACTCGGGTCATAAATATTACAATAGTTTTTGATGGCTCTCGCCTGCACAGCGAAACTGGCCTCTGTAAAAAAGAAATGTCACTGTTATAGAAATATAGAATAATGAAACTGTATCCACTATGTCTCTAGCAAAGAATATTCATAGACTGAAAATTATATGCTGGTGGCATTTTAGGAAAAAACGTGATCAATTTTACAGTTGAAGACAAGACATCAGAAGTCATTATTCATGTAAAATACAAACCAAAGTCTCCGAAAGTCACAGACACCTTCCCTTGTATAACAGAGAAGACATATATATTATCCTATTTTTATTACACGGTGTCAGTTTTTAACTCTGACACACAGAGTCAAGTTCATATGAAGTGAAACCACAATTTTTTTCATCCTTGTATGATAAACCAATAGCACGAAAAAGGAATGAGAAAAAAAGGTAAAATACAGTAAATAAAAGGAACGTACCGGTATATGTATATATACAGAGTGTACGATATACAACTTTATCAGGTGCGTACATTACAAGGTCACCATTGCTCTATATCACAGAGAGAAAGTAAGACCTACCTGGGGAGATTTCAAACACTTGATAATTGAAAACAAAGTATCCTATGTAAAAATCCTATGGCTGGTATTAAACTCCCCCCAAGTTTTTATCTATGAGGACACCAAGGAACAACACACCATTCTAGAGATGACCGCGATTATCAAATCAATTTTAAAAGTAAACTGTCACTTTGGATCTGATTAATCGTGGACCTGGGATGCAAATATTAACCGATTCCTGATAGAGTTCTATATTACCTGAACATGCATGGTGTTAAAATCTTACTAGTTCAAAGGATGACCTCTGGATTTTTCCTGGGCAGAGTTTTACATAATTTTCACATTTAAAATCACTTCAATTACCTGCTTGAATTCCTAGCCTACCATTACACTATCTAACCCATCTTAAATAGGTAAATAAAATATCTAACATGCCTTTCTAATCAGAAAAACTCGAGAGCTTGATACGTAAGAACACAATGAAAATCACAGGTATTGAACAACCAACAGCTCTTCAGAGCCATGGTGAATTTGAAGATCCTCAATACACTACAATCACAGGTATGTCTGCTCAATGGGAGCCATGCAGGTATACCAAAGACAAGAGAGCAAAAATTTACTTCTTCTTCAAGAAGTCAACTTTAAAATTCCTCAACACTTAGAATCTCCAGTACAGACACATAATCCAGGTATAATCCGATTAAGATGAACTCTTTCTTGTTTGAAGGTAAAATAAGTGATAATTACCCCTTGATGTCAGATGAGGTGATACAGTCACAACAAACTAAGAAACTGACCCCCTGTACCACAGGTAAACGTAACAAGACACCTGTCTGGCCTATCTCTTCTATTAACCTTTGTTGACCACCGTACACCTCGCCAGACAGCTAAGGTCAACAAGAATTAATTTCTCTCTGCTATGTATAAACAGATCTATTGCTGAAATGTTTAAACGAGGTTCCTCAGCCTGAGTTTTTTCCCTCCCTGTCATGTATAAAAATAATCCCAAGCTATTTTATGATGGATTTTCTGTATCAATTTCAAATTTGTACTTTCAGAAGATAATTCAGCTTTCTTTTTGTCCGAATTTCAATTACAGAAACTTTTTTTTAGTGTATCAAATCAAGAGTTTTGACATCTGATTATAAAAACAGTAACTAAATGCTAAATCTCACAGAAGAACAGCAATGACAGGCACATATCTGTGACAGGTCTCCCCTTAATAGTAGTGTAACATCCAATGGCTCTTTACATTACTGTCTTGGAGACCTTTCCCATTTCATCAGCTGGGGTAGGGTCTACATTTCAAACCATGTGACAGACAATACCCACCCAAATTATCAGAACTTTACTACTAAGCCTATTTTTCTTCAAAATGTAAATTGTACTCTGACACAAAAAACTTTTTTTAGTTAAAATTTGCATTGATATTCCTATAAAACATGCCAATGACCTGGCCGGGTCAGAGATTCTGTGATATTGCCGTGCCTTGACCCTTACCTTCCTGGGGCTCCGTTCTGTCCCCCTCCCCTGTGATATTGCCGTGCCATGACCCCTTACCTTCCTGGGGTTCTGTTCTGTCCCCCTCCCCTTTCTTCCCTCCATCACCACTACATAGAGGCACACACAGCATCCTCTCCTATAGCCTGACCATCCTCCCTATAGCTCCTCTGAGTCTTCCTGTCTCTGAATCGTCTTAGTTCTACATCACAATACCAGGCTGACAATGTCATGCATTATGCATGTTTTACCATTGTCAGAAAACCAAGCTAAGCTCCCTGTACAACTTACTTCATGCCAAGAACACAGACACTAAACAGGACTCTTTATATCAAGCTTTTTTGTTTACATTTGTTTTTTTTTTCCTTCCCTGACCTCTTTTAAAATGGCTGTATTTGAGCCTGTTTTTTGGGGGATCACTATTAAATTGAGGGAGAGCTACAGCCATAATAACAGGGCACACAGGTTATAGGTTTTATAATCAGATGTCAGGGGACCCTCTTTTGAGTGCCTGAATAATAGTGCATAAATCTTCCTCCCCCTTCTTCCTGGGCTGACAGTAAAAATGATGGGAACTGTTAGTGATTGGGACTTCCACTATGAGGTGCTCTATGGCTGTCTATAATCTACTCCAAGTGATAAAACTGTCAAATAACTTATGCAGGGTGTTTTGTTCCTCATATATTCAGAATACTTTTGTATTTTAAAGGTGTCTTGAACTTAATAAATGTTTGACACAAAAAAGTCATGTTCCTTATGTAAAACTTGAGCCCTTGAATCTATTATCCTGCAAGGACCGGAAAAGCAATGACAGAAGCTTGATCCTCTCCCCTTACATCTAAATTAACCTTTTTCTGTAGGGTGTATGAACTCTAACAATCTTGGCAGAGGCTTGAGCCAGTGGTAACATAAACAATGTAAAAAACAAGAGCATTCTGCAAATGTTCAGGTATAAAACTTCAAAAACTGATGATTTTACGGCTATTTACTTCACGAGTTTGTCCATAAAAACAATATTGATGGTGTTATTGATTCTTCGGCTGATTTTGGTGTTTTCTTATTTCTCCTCATTCCTTATGCTCATCCTTAAACTATTTACACCGTGTTCAACATTTAATAATCTGGAACTTCTTCTTTAAAAACCATAATTTTTGCTGTTTTTGATAAAAAGACATGTAAACGAATGCTAATTTTGATACTGCTTCCCTTGTACGTAAAAGATAGGTCATTCTGACACCTACCTGAACATACATTGATTTTTTTTGGCTTTGATAAGAAATTCTGAATTTCCTGTGTTTTATCTAAAAACATAGATATCAGAATCATATAGATGAACAAGCCTATAGGGCTCGGAAATGTCAGAGAGAACTAGCGTGCCTGGAAATCGTTCAGCATCTTACACGCTTCAGAGAATTCCTCTATACGTAACAGGTGGTGGTAATAGTACAGCACAAATGGAAAGCATAACAGTGAAATATGGCTATCCGTTGACTACAATGAAGAAATTAACACGGCAAATAACTATACTTCCCCCTCCTTATACATATGGAAGTCATTCAATATGATTACTAACTGCCGGCAGTTACTACACTCTATCACTTCATATTAATGAAAATGGATTACAGGCTAAATAATATATCACAGATTTATTTTGAGAGAAAGATAATTTACTTTGTCTACCTATAAATCAAAACAGAGTGATTATTTTTACAGATTTCTCTAATCTTTTTCTGCCTGGCACAAGCTTGGAATACTTCTGTCAGGTGAATCAATGGACCTTGCCTGTAATTTGTACAATGTCACACTATGCAATGAGTGCAACAGGTAAAATATGGCTTTATAGAGACTTTTACCTGTCAAATCACACTAATTAATTATCAATCAAATAAAAAGTATTTATAAATAAATTATAACCTAAATGTCATTTTCTTTTCATGAAAGGAAACTTGTCTCCAAAACTGTTGACTTCAATTCAATATTTTCAGGCAAATAAAAGAAAGGAAAGGGAATATGGCTACATGGATATGAATTTTTACAAATTAAAGTCATAGTCCATTCTCTGTGTTGCCATAAATTGTGACTTGTTTTTAAATCCATGTCCCATCTCTTCCCTATGGTCAGTTTAAAGATTAAATACATGACATGTACATAATTCTGTTCTTTAAAATACATAATGCATCCCCACCCTACCCTACTGATCATAATTTAAATTTTGAAATCTTACCCCATGATCCTTTGGGCACATATGTTTCAGCTTTTTTGGCCCAGTGGTTCCTGAAATGCTTTCACAAAATTTTTCATATATTTCTATGTAAAACTTTGATTCTATTTGGCTTAATAACAAATTTTCATAAGTGGCTTCACTTTTTATAGTTTAATGACAAAGATTTTTCCTATATATTTCTATATAAAACTTTGATTCCCCATTGTGGCCCCGATTATTTGAACAATTTTCTACATTATACCAGGATGCTTCCATAAGTTTCAGTAGTGGTTCTTGCAATATATATTTCTATGTAAAACTATACCCCATTGTGGCCCCGCCCTTCCCCCGGGGGTCATATTTTTGCCACTACCCCAGCTTCCTAGCTATGAGTGCGACAGGTAAAATATTTCTATATATTTCTATAAAAAAACTTTTACCTGTCAAAACAATCACATTAATTAATTATCAATCAAATAAAAAGTATTTATAAATAAATTATAACCTAAATGTCATTTTCTTTTCAGTGAAAGGATTTTCAAAGATTTTTCCTATATATTTCCAAAACTGTTGATTTGAACAATTTAGAATCTACACTACCCCAGGATGCTTCCACTTTAATTCAATATTTTCAGGCAATATATTTCTATATAAAACTTTGAAAGGGAATATGGCTACATGGATATGAATTTTTACAAATTAAAGTCGTAGTCCATTCTCTGTGTTGCCATAAATTGTGACTTGTACCTCTTTAAATCCATAATCCCACCCCAACTCTCTTCCCTAAACACACATGGTCAGTATGAAAGATAAAAAAAAATTGTAGAAAGGATATCAAACAAACTGCCAACTTTAAATAAAGAAATTTGTTCTAAGATACAAACAACCCTTGCTGCTCAAGTACTGGGAGTGATTTTAATGCTGGTTAAGGAAAAACAAAGAGATCTGTACACTGTTAGTTTGTGGCAAACTTTTTTGTCTTGTTTGACTTTTTTCAAGAGCCAGAGGAATTTATTTGTACAAGAGTAAAGGGATGATTCATCTTGACCTGGAACAAATTCAGGTTATTTTGGGAAAGTTGGACGACCTTACAATTAATAACTGCGAAATTAACATTCTAATCAAGATTGCGTGAATAGGTATTTTCTCCCCAAATTTAAAAAAGATGCAATTCATCACTGCCTTTAACTATGCATTTGCCACAAACCTTTATGAAAATTTAAAAGCATGTTGATTAAAAAATAACTTAATACTGGCTTACTTTTTATATTCTGGTTAAATTTCTCTCCTTGTGTATGAATTGCTTCACAAATAAAACCCTGAGGAGCTGTCAACAGCATGTTTCAAAATATCTCCAACTGCAATGTGATACGACAAGGTTGATGCAGAGGAGAAGGGAACTGAATAAGTGAACCAGTTTAACCCGAGGCAATCTGATATTAAGTTTCTGACCCTCCATGCTTAACCTTGATAAGGGTGATATCTTTTAATGAGAATAAAAGTACTGAAACTCTTTTCAAATAGTGACATGGTCTCCTTTCTAACCAAAATATTTGTGGTTGAACGGTCTCCGATTTGATGTCCCTGTGAACATGGGTGTGTTCTTGTCATGAATTTGACAGAAAATGTCTTGGTTTTAAAATCTCTGGTGATAAGAATCTTGCAGTGAAATTATTTTAATGACAGTTTTGTTGAAAAAAATATCTATGTACTTAACATCTATAAATGACAATTTGTATAATGTGTGGGAGACATTAGAGATATTCAAACCATCCCAGCCAATTAAAAATCAACCAGAAAACGTAAATTGAGCTTTTAAAACACGGGTCCTGATTTATAAAGGTACAGACCTTCTGTCTTCTCCTCAGGAATTCTTTTTAAAATTACATTTTGCTTTTTAAAACATCTGATTTCCTTATAAAATAAAACACTAGCTGTGTCGTCAATCTTTCTCAATGTCTAGCAAGAAAGTGTCAATGTAACAGTTAAGTTAACCAGTTTCATAACAACTATTATGAAACTTTAATTTTTAAAATGTTACAAAGTGAACACAAATAAGCCATATATACAGGTGACTCTCGATGGCTCGAACTCCGATCTCTCGAAGTTCTCTAATCTCTCGAAGTGAACCTCCGGTCCCGTTTTTTTTCCTCTATATAATTAAGCAAATTTACTCCTGATCTCTCGAACCTCTATCTCTCGAAGTTCTCTATCTCTCGAACCAAAATCTGGGTCCCGTTACACATATTTCATTGAATTTTACTCTCTATCTCTCGAAGTTTTGATTGCGCGCGTTTATACACGCCAATCAAGCGTAAAATTGATGCAGTCTGGACTTATCTGGAAACAATGAAAGCCATGGGCTGGCATGGAGGTGTTAATTGGGTGTTTACATAGATGACACTACACGTGTGGGTTGTCCGTGTTTTTATATAATTAGTTGGTTATTAATTACAACAACTTATTTCGAATTGAAACTGAGACGATAATTTTTAAAATTTAATTTATAGATGTTCGTTTCAGTAAGTCCGATAGACTATGAACTTTTATTATGATTAAATAGAGTCTAAATAATTCCAGCATGGCAAATATTGCACAAGAAAATTCCTTTCTCAAGGACTGAATACCGATTAAGAAAAATCTGTTGAACATTGGTGAAGGTCCCGATCAAGCCGCGGAATAGTCAAACAGATAATTGCTATTCGGGTTTCACGTAATCATGAAATAACAATAAATAAATACTAAAACATTAGAAATTAGTTTTATTTATTCGAAATGCAATCATTGTTGTTGATATCACGTAAATTTCCTGTCTAATACGATTGAAAGCGTGCAATGACTTTATTTACATATACTTCCGGTATCTATAAAAGTAGAACTTCGGTGTGAACACATCTCTCGAATAAGCGGTCCCTTGATATATATGTTGTTAATCCATTTTTGAAAACTTCCATAGACATATATGGACCTTTGTTTTTTGTTCTTGTAGAAATTCCTTTATAACCAGGACACGGGCAATGACAATGGATCCACTCTGCCTTTGACCTTAGAAAATGACAAAGACATTGAACTCTAATGAAATCAAATCTCAGGTGTGCTACAAGGATTTATAGGTAAATGATTGAGAACCTAATTCATAACTAGGTCTTTGACAAGCATTGACCTCATTTATAAACTTACAGGATTTGTTTTGTAGGTCACACAGAACAAGGTTAGATCCCTTTGAACCCTTTACATACAATGTAAGTATCTCTCTGATTAACATCAGACAAGAGGGATCCAAATTGTTACTAGATTTATCATCCTTAGATCAATAGTATATCCTTATATTCAGATTCCATACACAAACAATGATCTTGATAATAACTCATTGAAGATGAAAACCCAAGTCAAAATACACATGCAGCAGCTCTTTGAAAGGGATCTTTCAAAACAAGCAAGTCGACCCAAACAGATATGGCCGAATTGTTTGTAAACTCACAAGCATTTAGTTGGCAGTTTGTACTGTATGTTAATTGAATAATTCAGGTTATACTGTAAATTGATATATCTGTATACTTTACTCTTTATAATAGTTTTGTGGATCTTGAGATAGAGTAAAAGCTGTAATTGCTTTATATATTAATTATATATACGGTACCTTTCAGTATCTGCTTTAGATCTTTGGCGGCTCTCGAGGTAGTGTAGGAGTTGACGATGTCTAATGCTGTCTGGTCGTAAGAATTCGCCTTGTTGACATCTATACCACACTACAATTAAGATCAAAGGATTAATTACTTCATCAAACAAATACAGTAAAACACGCGCTTATAACAAAGTGCCAAGGACGGAAAATTTAGCTTACTTATAAGCATAGTTTGTTATATCCGTTACGGTTAGATGTTCAATATATTTTTAAAGTCAAGAAGAATGAAAATCACTTCGCTATATATAAGTGTCAATTTGTTATTCGCTATATGTGTGTTTAACTGTAAACTGAAAAGCATAAGGACTTGATTATCATTTACATTTATCAAAACTTTCTTAAAGTAAAGTTGGATAATTTGATTGAGAAATTTCATCATCTATTGCTGGATGAATCTTAGTACATGTATCTCTGATTGGATAAAGAATAGGCTAGTATCTGCATGTTAAAACTCTACATCAAGTTTTGAAGAGTAAGAAAGGAACCTAATAATTCATAAGCAACATTTATATGCTTCTTATATATATGCCATCCTATTATGATTCACATGTTTTGAAGGAAAAAGAAAAATAACAATTTCGTTAGTTATAATTTCAATTCAGGTAAAGGGTGGAGTGAGAATCTTATTAAATATAATCTTACAGACATAAACATTTAAATACATTACATAACAAGTAGGTGGCATTATCTGTGCTATAAAGGATGAGGTAAATTTACCTATCAAATCTGTTTTCCTCCCATTTTAAATGAAAATCATGATGCAACATGGATCATAAAGTATCATTATAATCAGTTCACAACTTCTAGGGAGAATGCTAACCCAAACAATTACACATTCACATCACGAACACACCGATTCAGAAGTAATAAATGTTCCCTGGTGTCACAACATTTAATAACACATAATATATGGCACATAAATTTGCTTTTTTTTTCTCCTTGATGAAGAAAAAAATGGATATAAAAGAAAAAAAAATGTAAAAAAAAAAATTATTAAGCAAGAAATTATGATACAACAATAAATTCCACAAAAATGCTGATTAGTCATACCTTTGCCTGGGAAAATGAAAATAAGAGAAAAATATTGCTAAAAATATTTCATTCAATTCTCAATGTACTTAATTTTGATATTAATATATTAATTTTTTTTTTCAAAATAATACCTTGTACATGTCTTATGGTTTCCAGTTTATACAGAGTGTTAGGTCAAACACCAACTACAGATTCTTATCACAAAAACACTGAAAGACAATTCCACTCGGGCAAATTCCATCCAAATTATCCAAAGCTAATTAGAAAGAGATGAAAGTTCACAAATTCTTTAAGAATTTCTCTTGATAACCGACTTTTTTTCACCCAAATTTCAAACTTACATTCTCTAGAGCATGGGCATTCCCAATGGTCAGGCCTTGCACATTCCCTTCACTTTTACACCGTTTAATTCGGGGGCGAGGTGATTTGGGATAATTCATTGTAATGCATCCAAGAATACAAATGGCTATTCACTGGTCAATAAAAAAAGGTAGCCCTATCTACCACACAGAGAATGTATCAATGCTGGTGAAACTGGGCACATTATCATCAGAGCATCAGGAGGTACTAAGAGAAGTATGGCAGAGATTTTGGCCATGTGCCCCAGAAACTGGTACCTTGTCATAGTACCAAAGGGAATCCCCTGACATCTCCTCATCACTGTCACAAACCATCGGAAGACCCCTACCTGTATGTCCAAAAATAAGTTCCAAGGTCTAGTAGTGGGTCCTACATTGTAACACAATGACCCACTACTGCAGATTTACAGAACTATAGAATTGCAGCAGCAAATTTTATATTTTTTTTGTTCAATTGCATTGATTAGTTTTCTGCCTTAATTTTTAAATACCTAAATATGCTTATATTTTATGCCTTTTGTACACTCAGACAAAAGACATGTCTGAGCTAATAATGCCAAATATAAACCCTTTTTAATGACCCTATCTCTTACATATGAAGCATGCAGTGAAATTAAAAAATATATGAAGATTTTTAAAAAATGAAAGCATTTGTTAAGTTTGAAATATACCTGTTTGAGGATAATCCAATTTCAATTTTTCCCCCAAAACAAAAATTGCTTTTAAAGTTAAGCTCAGTGTGATGGTATCAAATAAATAAAGTATGTTTAGGATGGTGAGGCTGTTATTGTAGGTAGATTTATCACCTCTCATACTAAGGTACAGTTAACAATCAACCCATCTCCTGGGTCCATGCCACATAACCTGCCTTACGATTGGACAAAAATCAATAGCTATCAAAGCAATCAATAATTATTCCCCCCATAAAACACAGCACCTGCTTATCTTCGACATCAGGAAATAAATGTAAAGAGAAGTTCCCAGATATTTCACCAATCTTACAGAGACTGAAGCTGTACAGAGTTTGTATGGGAGATAAGTTATAGCTTACAGAACAGAGAGAAGCAAAGAGCGATCCAAATTTATGTATTATTTCACATCTACTACAGTAAAACATCTAGCGATACATTCTACCTTAGGTGGACAAGATTGGTACACAGAGAAACAATATCAATCTTGATAAAGAAAATATATAATATAATGATGATACAGGCAGGGAAAAAACTTCTACTGATACATAGGAACATGTTAATTAAGCAGTACACAGATTAACAGAGCATGTTCCGAAACCACAATAGATGGAGACTTTGGAGAGGGTAACATACAACGGCTTGATTATTAAAGAATATTTTCCAAAAGGAAAAAGATATGGAGGATTGCTGACAATTAATAGTTTTCTCTCTGACAATGGGAAAGAATTTGCAAAATATAATAGTGTCAACTAAAGACAGTGATTATATTGCATATTCCACGAAACACAGATACTTTATTACTGACAACTTTAGACTGACTTTATATTGACAACTTAAAGGGTTTTTATCATCTTATCAAAAAAATTGTAAATTGCACATAATTATCCTTTTAATACATGCTATAATTGTTTTTCGGTTTAATTAATCTAAAATAAGGAGACTGATATTTTTTTTGGACAAGACTGATATTATACATGTATTGAGAAAACATATATTATATTGAAAACTGGAGACTGATACATGTATTACATGACCAACTGAGACAAATATCAAGCATTCACTAAAAACAGATAAAAATGCACCTATAAGTTAAACAACATCTTCACTGACACTATGGTTATGCAAGCCAACAATTTATCAACACCCATGGTCAACCAAAACACCTTACAATCTCAAATAAAGATACCGTATATATTCGCCTATAACAAGAGATTGGTATTTTTCTGAAGGCTAAAAGATAGTATCTTATTTGCATTTCCGACGATTATGGAAGAAAATATCTGGATATATATGATGATTTATGCATTCTCAGATTATATATGTAAAGTACAAGTATTTACATATGTTAATAAATGTATTTGTATTTTAAGTGAGCATTGCCTTTTTGTTTAATAATTTAAGATTAAAAATCAGTGTCATTTAAAAAAATATTAATTGAAATCAGGTTAAAACAAAATGAATTTAATTGAAATTGTCACCCGATTTGGGCAAAGAATTGTACCGACTTATAAGCCAAAACACCAAAATAACAATACAACCGAAATAAAGATATATACGAATTCAAAAGGAGTTAAGAAAGGTATATTGTGACCTTGAGAATGTCCTTCGAGCTTTGGAGATCTTGTGTTTTTGTGGGAGGGTGTGGTTATGTATTGAACATCTTATCTGGGTTTTTTTGTGTTTTTTTTTATAAAGAGGAATTGTCTGCTTCCAGCTGTTAAAACATCACTTTACTGATGTTCTCAAACATTTACACAAAACGTTCACCAGGGAATGAAGATACTCCTTTCCTATCTATTTTATGGCCATTATGAAAAATTGCAACACCAATATTTTTGTTATGAATATCTCTTAAAAATGCACATCATTATATAATAGTGTGAATGCAATAATCAAGAGATATATTTCAGAGGTAACAAAGATTTTATAAAATATTGAATTTAAAGTCGTTGATCAATCCCTTTTTTGTGTGTGCAAATTTCAATCTGTGCACACTTTAAATAACAATCAATTTAAAGGAAGAAATTCTTTTTTCTACTTTGTTGCTGCAAAAAAATCCTTATTTTTGCATGTGACATAAGATGATGGGGTTCAGTACAAGCTAGGTTAGATCATACAATTTTCCCCAAATGCTTAATGTGTAGATTTACTTACATCCAATAAAAGTCGTACAACTTCTATTTTTCCACAGAGTGCAGCTTCATGGAGTGATGTCCCCTTCAGCGTACTTCGGTTGATGTTCACGCCAGCTTGTAGCAGGAGTCTACAATATAATGTCATATACACTTATATTAAAATTATAAAATGCCTTTAGAACTTATGATTATCTATTAGAGCAAGATTGAGGATTTCCAATACTGTAAAATCACATATTTCCGTGGGGTCAAATTTTCGTGGATTGAGGAAAATCTCTTGATTCGTGGAGATTTCATTTTGTGGATCAAGAATTAATGATTACTTATGTATGTAACATTTTACATTTCGTGGTGGAATGAATTCGTGGGTCTTGTCATACCTCGTAAACCCCCAGGAAAATTTGTGATTTCACAGAATACTTTTAGAGGTACATAAAAGTTCAGAAATTTACAGTGCACTGGGGTAGCACCATGAATTTTTTTAAATACACTGAAAAGTACCAAGTGTAAACTTACAATATAGGAGAAAAGACAACATAGCAGGAGATACAAGTCAAATACTTGAAACAAGTTACTGAAATCAATTGACAGCTTCGGACAAAATTATGGTCTCTGGTCTGACAAAAATATTTTTAATTTGACATCTACACTACTAAAACTATTGTAAAGCAGATTTTACTCATCTCATTTCTAAAGTTGGATTTTTCTCCTTTTTTTTCAACCATACAAAGGGTACAGACCTACATGAAGCTGCCTACATAAAACTTACAAATTTTCACATTAAAACAGTCATACTGGCTGTAAAACTTAAAACCCTTCATCATCCTTCTAACCCTGTGTAATCACTAGCCATGTAAACGGCTGTTATTATTTAATAAACAACTTATTATTTACCGCATATTACATACATTTTTATTTTGTAAAAAGAAAAATAAATTGTTTGGTAATATATCTATGTTTCATCAGTAGTGTTTGTACAATCAATTTAAGTGTTCTTCAAATGTTTTAAACTAAAATAACACACATATTATTTCTAGATTAAAAACTTGTATTATTGTGTCCATTTTACTAGTACAGTAAATGTATATGTATATTTACCGTATAATTTCAATGTGTCCATTTTTAGCGGCCAAATGTAGGGGGGTAGTCCCGTTTTCATCTACAAGGTCATCAGGACTATCCATCAACAAAGAGGCACACAGGTTACTCCTGAGTAACAAATCTACAACCTACAACATGGGGATACAGGTCAAAATGTACCAATTCTAAACTTTTCTTATTTATATTGTCAAGATTTTCATAAATTAAACAAAGTTTATCTGCAGTTTTGATTTTTTGAAGAAAAAAAAAACGCATGCCAATTTACATAATTTAACAAATATTGTGTCATATTTTAAAGATTCTTGACAAGAAATATTTTGACTGGATGCTTTCTCAATTGTTTGAAAATTCTTGAGACCTGAACCTCAATACTCAAAATCATGTGCTGAGAATCTGTGGGCAAAGGGAGATAACTTCACGCAAAGTACAAATTAATAAAATCATAGACAATTGAATTTATGTGACAGTAAAAATGATAGATATGTATTATATTCTTACTCTGTATCTTCCGAATTCACAGGCAAGGTCTAGCGGAGTTTTCTTGTCCTTATTCTGCATTGTGGGGGAGGAGTTATGAAGCACCAAAAGATTCACCTGTAAAAATAAGAATACAAGAGTTATCTCTCTTTACACTGTTCAGCATCCCTGTAGGAAGTTTTCATTTCTGTAAAATGAAGGGAAAATAAAATACTACAATTTATTCAAGCCCATTTTAATTCAATTTTATCTAAAATTCAATTTTTTATTAATATTAATAATCGAAGATAGATTTGCAATACTGCATGAGCATCTATTAAGAAGCTGCAATTTCTGAGCCCTGTCTCAAGAAATTCTAAGGTATGTATAAGATACAGGACAATGAGCTTAGTTCGTGTGAACGTGATCTATGAATGAGCTCTGAGTGACACTTAATACACAACCAGCTATCTCTCCTCTCTTACACTTCATCTATAATCACTGCAACAAAGGGCCATCTTTAGCCGAGATAACTCTGATTACACACCTCTGGTTATTGTCTGGAAATACCTGTGCTCGCTCAGGTACAAAATTAGGTCAACAGTCCCTAACTCACCTAAATCGCTAGAATAATAATTTTTATTCTATAACAAAACAATAACACCGACACATTTTTTCTGCTGATTTAGCACAGACTTGACTCAGAATATCAGGTCTTCACGTTTAAAAACACACCTGAATAGGTAACTGTGTAAAACGCAGAAATATATTTCTGTTTTTTGTGTCAATGTGTTTAATAATTAAAACAGAAACACAAATCCTATACCAAACTTGCATAAAAAAAAACCTGTTAAATTTGATTCATCCTCAAAGAACTGTACAGATCTATCCTATAATCGTTTACTCAGGGATTATTAGCGTTCTTTTGATCTCCTGTGTAGGCAATTCAATGTAACAGTTTCTACTATCTCTCAGTTGTTTTGTTACCTTTTATTATTGATTACAACAGAACAGAAATTGACGTTGACCAATTATCTCTTTTACAAGTTGACACAGAGCCCTGTACAATAGTGGGAGACTGTGGGTGGTCTTTGTATCCCCCTCCCTGGAGTTGGAACTCACAATGTGAGAAGGGGACAGGTGCCAATGGCTTTTTGCATCTCTAGGTGTACTTGAAACAATGGAATGTGTGTCAGGTCATAAGAAGTCTCTCCCCTCTATACCACAAGTTCTCTTCTCCGACCGGTACCCAGTGAATCACTGAATCGTAGAACCGGATCAGCCACGATCAAATGATTTACTATCTTAGTTTTTCACAAACCCTGATGGCAAAAAATTTGATTGATTGCATCATTTGGTTTTAGTATCAGTATTCAATACAACATTTGATATCCTGTCATTAAAATGATTTAGGATTGACATAGTGAATGGAGAGTTTGTGAGAAAACAATTCCAGCTCTCATTTCACAAAAATTTAACCTAAAATGAAGATGTTTCTTTAAATGCCCTAGGAATTGTATCATATTTAGAAAAGCTTGTATATTAATTTCTACAATAAAATAGTTATGTAATACCAAATACTAACAAAAAGACATGACCCAGCAAATATCCTTTTCATAGAGCTGAATTCAAAAAGACTTTCAGATATTATATAAAACTCGGTCAAAAAAATTAGTATGACACATCATATTTGGCAAATGCAGACCGAAACTACCTTTTCTATAAATATCTATTCGAGTTCTTACTTCTTTCCCTCTGAAAGTTAATATTTACATGTCTTATGTACTTAAAATGGGCTGAAAAGTTGTACAAAGATCTCAAACTTATCAGGTATCAATATAACAAAAGATTGATTGAAATCTACTTTAAAAGAATGGCATAAGGTCACAGGCGGAAACCAGGGCATGGAATTTTCTCTTTCTGCAAGACTGAGCGTATCGTGGACTCGAGACGTTTGTATCATCCTTTCCGTAATCTCTTTGAAATCTTTTACATAGAAAGTTTGAAGGGTGTACCACCATATGAAGTTTTTGTTAGCTATACCTTGCATAGACACAGAGAATTGTTAAGCTACAAAGCAAATACATTTTCATTTCTGCTATGACTTGTAAATATGACTTATGTGACAGGGGGTTAACCATGACTAGTGACTGCTCATTTTGAAGGACTATCTTTTACCAAACTGAACAAAGCCTGCAGAATATTCCATATCAATCATTTTCTTATCATTTGGCATTATTTATCAATTGAAATTCAAGAGGATCTGTGAAAGATTGAAATCAAAATGTACTTTACATTTCTATATGGATTCCATTTATAAACCATAAATAGCCATTTAATAATTATACACCCACTCCCGTTTTTCTCACCACAAAAAGGAAAAGCCCTCAGAGCAAATATTTGTTATTCTAGAGTCTTCTTAAACCATTTTAATCCCAAACATTTATAATGGCCAAGAATGACCAAAATTGTTCTGTACATTATGCCTTGGAATCACTGTATTTCATAACCTAACGAGTTATATGTACTATCATAACCCCTAGACTTTATTTCAACTAGAAATGATTAAACAGTAACATATTTCATGTTCAATTTTTATGCTATGCTCAAATAATTTCATTTGAAAGTGAAAGTTTACAAAACAAAACCAAAAAAAAGAACATTTGTTGGATTTTTTGGTTATAACTACTGTTTTTGTGATCAGGACCTTCTAAATTGGTGATTTTTTTTTTATTTTAAATTTTTGTTAAATTTTTGGATAAAGTTAGTCAAAATAATTTTTTTATTATCAAACAAAGTTTTCTCCCTAATATATGTTTTTTCTGCTTCTTCAGAACACTACAGAGTCTGACATATTTTTATTAATTTGGTTCACCTTTAGGAGTAATCAGTAACTATACAGTTACCACTGCATAAACCCTAAACCTACATCAAATAACCCTATAGACTTACCACATCAAAATGTCCGTGCTGACAGGCCAGATGTAGGGGGGTGTTCCCGTCCTGAGAGACCTCGTTGACTGGGGATTTCCACTGGAGGAGGGTGTGGACGGGATCAGACAATCCCTGCCAGGCGGCATAGTGGAGGGCTAACATACCTACAATATAGGTGTACCATTGAACGAAAAGCTTATCAATTTTTGTTAAAGTCGAACTATTAACACTTATGTATTTTAATAGAAACAAAAAATTACTGGGTCACAATAATTAACTGTGTCACCTGTCCATCCCTTATGAATAAATATGTAGATTATGGAACACTATAATATCATAGTCATCAATTCATTAATGCAATATGGCTTCAATAATTTTAATTTAAGCTTCATGTTAATTCTAAAAATTGTAGCCATCTTTTTTACAACTTTATATATTTCTTGGTATTACACGGTAAATAATTTGACCCCCTTTTGCTGCTCCACCCTAGCCCAGGGGGACAAGATTTTAACGCTATGTGGTGTTGCTTTGATTTAAACTGTGACAAATTTGTTGTCCATACCATTTTTTTTGCATCAGATGAAGAAAACTAAGCAAACAATTTGTACTACATGTTTATGTCTGTGATCCAAAAGGACCTTCAAGGAAAAAATAAACTGCATATGGACTATTTAGTGTAAGCTGTTTATGATTGATTGATATTGGCAGTAGACAGGCTGGTCAGGTAAGGACACGGCCAGGCATTTCAAAGATTATTATAATCCTGGCACCTAATCTCTCAATACACCCTTATAAGACGAAGACTCTCAAACATTCAATCTTTGTTTTTCGTGGCTACAATTTATAATCAACACCGTAGATCTACAATGCCCTTGATACATGTTATACAGGATTACGAATATAAAACCCGCCCAATTCCAGCTAATTTTCCAAGGAATCATGTCATATTCATAACTTAAGATCGGAGAGGAATGCTAAGTGGGATCAGAAAAGGCTCGGACAATGGTAACAGTTGAAGAGGACAGAATTAACGTCCTAGAATGTATACACACTGTTACATACTTTCTCATGATAAAATGAATCATTGGTTTAAGACTCGGCCCTCAGGAGTACCCTACGTTTGACTTCATTAAAACTGGCCCTTACAAATACCCATGGCTGAACTCCATTGTGCTTGCCATTGGGAAAATGTTAAGTAAATGAATCATAGCTTACAATGCTTTATTTTATCTACAATCATTAATTCTTACACACCTCAGGAAAAAAAATTATCTTTCATATTTGTAAAACAAGATCAAAAACAAATTTAAAAACATTTATTTTTACAGTTTGTTATTTTTAATTCATCGACTGCCTCTGGTATAATTTCATATCAGGCCGAATTTTCTGCATTAGTAATTATATACGTATACTGAAGTCTACACAATTCAGAATGATAATGAAGAACAAACTTCTCCCAACCTATTAACAATTGCAACTTTTTTTTCATAATTTTTTTTCCTTTTTTTATACTTGGTAGAGCTGTGATATTTATATTATTCTCCCAGAGAAAAGAGACCATCTGTATATTTATAGGACGAGACATATTTATGTTTGTTTTAACGTCTTTTGTCAAGGTGATTGGTCGGTAGGGAAAAGAAACCTACACGCTAAAAGCTTTTTTTACAAGCACATAAACATGGGAATTTCGGCACAATTACATATCCAGCATGAATCATTTAAACTTTTGGTTTTTATATGGTGATGTTTCTAATGTCACTAGCGTTAATATAAAAACATGGTGTCATTGAAGCAAAATAATTAACAACTGTCATTAAATTTCTAAATAGATATCTCTTTTTTTAAGTGCACGTCCTCATTTTTGTGTTAATTTACTAACATTACTAAATGTGAATCATCATTTTCTGACCTTTTCATTACAAATGAAATCAGAGTGTTTCAATGCAAACCCATATGATGGTGAATCAAAGTGAGATCACTGTAAAACCTTGACATTCACTTGACCTATTGATCCAAAGGTTAAACTTAAATATGCCTTTTTTTGTTGATTGACAATTTCTCTTCTGAAGGTTCTCATCCTATCATTTGCAAAAAAATTTCAAAATTTAATTACCTGATAATAACAAGCTAATTACATTGATTTCTGTGGAAAGTAAATTTACACTTCTTTTTTTCAGCCTGTTTCACAAACTTTTGATCGCAAAACAATTTACACCTGGTTTAAACTAACCTACATATGGCATAGTAAACTTTGAAAGAATTTTGTTTTTTACAGATATAAAAAGAGATATATACTTCTCGTATTTGTTTTTAAATATCTTATTTAACAATTAAGAGGTCAGATTTTACAATCTCTGAGTAAGGGGTGAAGCTGCACCATTTTCACCCTTTGTTTTGGCTTTGACACGAGAGCTCTAACAACAAAATTGCTCCCTCGATCCCGAATCTTGTCATGTCTGATCAAATTTCACATTTCCTTTTTCCCTTTGTAAGACTATCCAGTAGAATTTCAATAATAGGGATTAGTCTTGTATTGTGGAAGGTGTGTCCTTATAGCCCCTGACAAAGCCCCCCTGACAGTCGGACTGTTGCTCTAATCTCCCCACTATGACCATGATGACAAAACTAATTTCATTCACAAAAAATATGCATTTCTCATTTCAATCAATGTGTAAATGATAAATTTCTTTAATAATGATTTTGCAACAGCCTTTTTTTGAGCTTGTAAATAAATTTGATATGCATTAATCATTATCCATCAATTTTGAATTTTTTTTTTTTTGAAAATTTCAAGAATTGTGTGAAGACTATTTAAGATGCAGCAATGAATTTGCTCATTTTTTTCTTCTAAAACTGGGGTGCAAGAACAGGTACATGTATATTGACACAATGGCAGTGTTGCCAATACAGGGTAGAGCTTTTTTTTAGGAGATAACATCACCAAATATTTAGTCTGTTTAACATTACAACACAGGCACTGACCCTAGACATCTTTATCTTTTCTCAAACACTGACAAAAAAATGTGGACACGTGAATCAATAGCATTCAATCAGTGTTCCAAACAAAGACGAGGCATTCCTGCGATTCCGAAGAAACTCTATTAACCCTCTTCAAAAAATCTCCACTCGGGCAAAACATGACGGTTAAATAACAAAGCGCCTAAAGCTTTGCAACAAGGCTCTCTTTTTCTCTCAGCATGACCCTGCATCAGACTCTAAAACAGGTGTAATGTTTGGGTTTGCACTTTGGTGTGAAAGTGCAGGAAGTGAAAACCCCACCCTTCTTTGTATTTCTTTATATTTTTTTTTTACTTTTGTCAGCATTTTTCTGTCTCCAACAAGTTAAACCTCCTTGTCTTCCAATAAAGAAGTCAGAAGTAGTGGAAACAATTGTACAGATATTGAATTAGAGGTGGTTGCCATCGTTCTTTAAAATAGACAGTAAAACTCGATTATATTAAGGAGGTCACTGTTACCCCAAAGTTCGCTTCTTTTTAACTAAGATTCTTTATATCTTTATATTATACAGAAAATTAGAAAATAAAATAATGAAAAGTCTTATAAAGGATTCTTTAAAAATTCAGTATACCAAGACTTCCTTATAAGTGAGTTCTTTAAAACCAAGTTTTACTGTACCCTTATACCAAGTTTAAGCGAAGTCATGAGAAAGTGATCCAAACTTCTCTGCAGGTGATCTCTACAGTGAACATAATGAAATGAGGGTGTGAACTTTATGGTCTACAACTATTTAAAATGTGTTTACTTTAAAAATACCAACAAGCACTTAATTTTTTTTCTTTCCACTTGAAAACCTATTATGTAATGTTCAATACCCTGTGTCCCACCATGGGGATTGTTTATCTACCTAACCTTGGAAGAAAAAAAGACTTCATTTCTATTCATGAGGGACACCAAGGACACAGAGCCTTTAAAAACATGAAACTCGGATCTTTCACACAATCTCTCTCGAACCAAACAACCCTCTTTCAGATCTTGTAATTATTTGCATTATACTTCTGAATTCCTTTCACTATATTCTTACACTCATAAACACGACATAAAATAACCATAATACATGCATTTATATGTGCATAACATTTCCCTTCGTATAAAAATCGGCCCATCTTTTTTTTTTTGGCAACAGGTACGGTTCCAATTTTCCTTTTTGTTCTGGGTTCCCTCATTTTTTGCAGGGTGTTTCACCATTTCTTTTAACTTCAGTTCTGCGATTCTCTTTAAGTTTCGATAATTACCAGACATTGTACGCTTCTTGAGTGATTTTGTTTCTACTTTGCACATATCCGCATGTGTGGCACTGACAAGTTCCCTTCTTGCCATCAGCTTCACTCTTTATAATGGCAGTCAACTGTGTATCTTATCTTTTACAGGATTTACTGACAAATATCTGTTGCCGTCTTAATTGTTATTCAAAAACCAGCAGCATCTGTTTTTAAGCCATTATTCATTTTGAAGATCCACTTGACTATAATCTTCATGCCAGAATGATGTTCTCCTCATTTATTCAAATGAGGATTAACAGAACTCACATGTCTGCTTGAAAAATATTAAAAAGCTCATTTGATAAATCTCAAAAGTTGTTTTAGATTAAAATACCTGTAAGACAATTTACAGGTCTTTCAAATCTTGCTTTACTAACAATTTCCAATACGTCATCAAGAAACCTAAGGGAATTTGGACTCTGTTTCTTTTTCCCTTGGATGAAGCACACTTATCTTCTACTGAGATATAAAATAAACTATGCCGGTGTATGGTTTGGGCTGTAGATATTGGCCTGGGTACAGTGGTCTTGGGATGCAGGGGTTCTGGGTCCTGCCATTAAAACATTTTCTCAATTCCTGCTACAGATTTGGTGCCTTTGACCACCTCAGGACTTGCAGATGAAAGCTCTACCAAGAGCATATTAAGAGATAGGGTTGCAAAAGCAATTTGAAGAGGAAGGAATGTAATGGTTTGGGTCATGAATAATGTCTAGATAGCTTAGTCAGTCGAGAGCTTAATTAGTGATGCAGGGGTCCTAGGTATGATTCCTGGCCCAGCCATTTTCTACTTTTGTACAGGGGACCCCAAAATAAAGTCTAAATAGAGTTCCTGGCCTTTTTGCTACCTATTTGGACTCTGAAGTCTTCTAATATACTTGTTATGCTGTTCCCCTATATTAGTCAAGTGTTTGGCTACGTGTTCAAATCTTTTTTTAGTTCAATATTTATATGTACTTGTAATGTGGCTCAAAAGTAAATATATACTCACTATCAATCGTATTATTATGCTATTGGCTGGACATTGATTGTGGTAAAAATGACAGATAGGTGGAGACATAAGTCTATTGTCACAGATTTATCGTTTATCGGTCTTACCTTTGTTGTCATGGATACTGACGTCGGCATGACACTCCAGTAACATTTGCATCATTTCGACATTCCCCATTAAGGAGGCCTGGTGCAGAGCTGACATTCTACAAAATCAAAGCCATGGTCAGCACAGATTGTCAAACAAATCATTACTGATGTTAAAAGGGTAAAAAAGATATTCAATAATAAAACAGCAATGTACGTGTAAATGTTTGTACAAATGATTTTTACAAAATACAGAAAAGTTTTTAAAAGTTTGAATAAAATCCTAAATATGCTTTTTGCAACCAATATGTTACAATTTTTTTTTCTTTTTAGCATTGTTGTTTAGCAAGTTAGTTACTGAATGGATGTAACACTCATATTAAATTCAGCAATGAGAGATTGTTGCTTGCAGTTTCTTCTGACTGGCAACATTTTAAAACTGAATCAAAAGATTTCTACTATGTTTTCAAAATGAACAATGATGGGTACCTGGTAAATAACTACAAAGTTGTGTAAATTTGTCAAAGTGTTCATTTACAAATTGTAATATTTTTGTATCAGATCAACTTTTTCTATCAAATTAACTTCATCCCCATCAGATGCTGGTGTACTGTGTAAATTCTTCAATAGGCACCGATTCAGTGGTCAAGACATGTTCAGCTATTCATGAGATTTTCGCTGCCTATTGATTTTTAATCTGGAGATCCTATTTGGACCTGACTTGCTATGGCCTCTTAAGACAAACTCTGTGAGGATCAGAATTAGATTCCTCCATTAATCTCTAATTCCTGACCTTTTCACTCCAGACTTGTCTGACCCTATCTTCTAACAGAACTACAATTCAAACTCAAGATCTCAAAACTTTGCTGCCTACTGGATTTAGTGTTTGCTATAGTTGAATTTTGACACTTCAGTTTCTAACTGGTATATCAATAGCCCTTCTTTTATAATGTTTAGAAATGTATATTTAGAACTGGAGAAGAAAAAAATGACTAATTACCGGTATGACTGTCTTTGCAGTTCAATTATAATTTAATCAAATTAAAGTCTATAAAAACGAAAAATCTCAACAGTGGACAAATTTGAAAGATGATTCATAATACTTGTAAAAATTTATATTTGCAAATAAATGAAATTTAGCAAAAAATTGTGCCTCTTAATTTTTTATGACTTTTCTCTCTCTCTCAAACCACTGTCATTACCCATACAAAAGTGAACTAAATGAAATATTCACACTCTCTCATGCCTGGTCTTTTGGTCAGTTGTTGGTAGTCTTGATTTCTTTTAAATCTGTATAAAGCTATGTCAGACTGTCCACAAACACATATGTCAACCTCTGATTCATTATGAAAACAACATGTGCACCAACTAAAGAAGCTGATTAAAATAACCATTAAAACTGTAAATTAAGGTTTATAAGCATGTTGTTTTAATAAATGTAAGTCTCTCATTTTTTCAAAAAAAAAAAAAAAAAAATGAGAGAATAAATGTAAGTCCAGTAACTTTCCAATTATTTCTCATATATGCCACTCAAGAGAGCTCAAATAAAATTATCAAATGTAAGAAAGAAGATCAATTTCATTCCAGACATTTAAGACATTAAAACTCTACTTCCAGACAATTATAACTATCATTTTGTCATTTAGCTGTCTGTAAAGCTTCAAAATCAGGGAGTTATAAGAAAAATAAAGACTTCTGAATCCATTAGCACTTAAACATAACCAATCCATTTACATGTACTAAAATCTGATCAAATATGACTTTCTGGTGCCTTCTTGTGATAAAATTTGTAATATAAAGAGATTAATGAGAATTATTCACACTGGAGGGATATTTAAAAACTCAAAAATTCACCCCTAGAAGAACAGAGAATTTTATCTGTTCATCAAAAACCTATAATTGTGACTAACTAGACAGTGAAAGTTTTTTTATGACCTACTAAGTATTTAAACACAAGGCTGTTAATTCATAAAGCTTGCTTTTGCTCTTGAGTCGAAGAGTAAGGTCTCATTGTCCATATATAGAAACTTATTCACACATAAACAATGTTATTATACTTCTGTTAAAATGTTTCCTATATAAAGTTCAGAAGGTAAAATAACTATTCTTCATAGCCTGAAAATTTCCCCGCATAGAAAGCTATACCCTGGGGTATAGTTTTTGCTACCCACCCCTCGGAATATTTTCATGCAATTTTTGCCGCCAGTTTTCATTTCCAGCGTTAAATCCATAGTCTGATGATGTCATAATGACTTCAATGGCATTGTGACGTCATCAGGATTTCAGCTCATCCTTGCAGTATTATATAACTCCAAAGAAAATTCAAATCTTAGAAATATAATATACATCAGTATAATAAAACACTTATCCACTGGTTATGAGTGGGATAGCTCTTTCATCAAACCCTTGACAGGAACTATTCCCCTCGGGCAAGCCCTCGGGGAATAGTTCCCTGTCGCGGGTTTGATAAAAGAACTATCCCACTCACAACCATTGGATAAGTGTATACTATTCTGGTAAATATAGAACTCAGTCTAATATCAATCTCTATCATAGTATACGTAGATACATATGCATTTCTATACATCTCCATTCTGTCATCTCTATTCTTGCATACATATATATACAAATCTCTATTCTGGTATACAGACATGTATACAAATCTCTATTACGGTATTCTGGCAAACTATACGTATCTCTATTCTGGAACATGTTACACACATACAAATTTCTCTATTCTGGTATACACATACAAATCTCTATTCTGGTATACAAACATGTATACAAATCTCTATTCTAGTATACACACATACAAATCTCTATTCTGGTAAACATACATACAAATCTCTATTCTAGTATACACACATACAAATCTCTATTCTAGTATACACACATACAAATCTCTATTCTGGTATACAAACATGTAAACTTAGTATACAAATCTCTATTCTAGTATACATGTATACAAATCTCTATTCTGGTATACACACATACAAATCTCTATTCTGGTATACACACATACAAATCTCTATTCTGGTATACAGGCATTCAAATCTCTATTCTGGTAAACACACATCAGACCTCTTTTCTAGTATACACACATACAAATCTCTATTATGGTATACAGGCATTCAAATCTCTATTCTGGTAAACACACATACAAACCTCTATTCTAGTATACATACATACAAATCTCTATTCTGGTAAAGACACACACAAATCTCTATTCTGGTATACATGTATACAAGTCTCTATTCTGGTATACCTGTATACAAGTCTCTATTCTGGTATACCTGTATACAAATCTCTATTCTAGTATACACACATACAAATCTCTATTCTGGTATACATGTATACAAACCTCTTTTCTAGTATACACACACACAAATCTCTATTCTGGTATACATGTATACAAGTCTCTATTCTGGTATACATGTATACAAACCTCTTTTCTAGTATACACACACACAAATCTCTATTCTGGTATACATGTATACAAGTCTCTATTCTGGTATACATGTATACAAATCTCTTTTCTAGTATACACAAATACAAATCTCTTTTCTAATATACACATACATACAAATCTCTATTCTGGTATACATACATACAAATCTCTATTCTAGTATACACACATACAAATCTCTATTCTAGTATACACACATACAAATCTCTATTCTAGTATACATACATACAAATCTCTATTCTGGTACACATGCATACAAATTTCTATTCTGGTACACATGCATACAAATTTCTATTCTGGTATATACACACATTCAAATCTCTATTTTGGTATAGGTATATACATGTAATCTCTATTCTTGTATACACATGTAATCTCTATTCTGGTATATATAGACACTCACCCATCTCCATCTTGGTAGTTGATGTTAATTCTTTTACTGCTTCCTATTAACTCTGAAATAAAGAATGTAATGGCATTTAAAAATTTATGGCAGTTTTCGATTTAAGACAACTGCGTCCAGTAAAAGACACTTCTTTTCTAACACACATCTTCCTAATGTCAACTATAATCTTCTTTTAAACCTTTTCTGTTTTCACTCAAAAATTTGTTTTATTTTCTTAAACTCTTCAATGATATATCTTAAATTTAGGGGATATCATCTTCTCAATTGTTAATTGCAACTTTCAATGCTGATTTAACGTAATTAAACAAAGAGCAATTGAAAAGATTTCCTTTCTTATGGAATTTCTGCATTTTGTTTGATGTTTACATCTTATTTTCCTGCATTTTGTTACATAGTTCATTTCAAGTGCTTCAAACATCAATTTATTAGCCAATCAAAATGCTTTTCACAAAACAATTGTATGAGAATAATATTTTAACATGACCTGAAATTATCCATAAAGAATACAGATCTAGAGTATTAAAGTAATTCAATTAAGATTTCAAGGCTGAATTCCTTTAATATCAGATACATCAGTTTGTCTTACATTGATATCTTTTAGCAATCACGAGCTATGAAAATTCAATTATTATATATCAAAATCAATTCATACAGATTAACGAGCACTTTGACAACATCTTTGTTGCATGCTACTGTGCACGTAAAATTAATAAAGTGCACATATTCTAACAGCTATTGACCATTAAATCCCAGCTCTCTAGAGGTTATTTGTACATGACTAATTAGGGCTGTAATTAATGATTTCTGATAGACCTGATAAGGTCATTATACACCTTTGAGCATTCCTGGCAAACAACCCTGACACATCAAAAACTCTTTGCTTCGTCCTGCATGATAAATCAAAATGAAACATGACATCATTTGCAGTGATCTACCTATTCATATTGCCCTAGTGATCATATTGTCTTTTATTCAAATTAAATCTAATTGGGACACGCATGCAACTTTCCCATTTGATTCAATGGGTACCATCAATAGGTGTTACACAAAATCAAAAAAAAATTTCAATCATAATCATGATAATTGGGTAAAATATATTCACAACCCTTGTATAATATTGAAGAATTCATAATCTAAAACATTATAAAACCTTCACATCTATACTTATATTTTTTTAAAAAGTTTTATGCACAATTTTATTAAGCTTATGCCTTAAACTTTGAAAAGGATATGCAAGGCCTTTGCACTTATAAGTGGTATAGTGTTAATCAACCACAAGTTCATTGAATCTGCATGCATATTGCCAAAATATACCCTCTGCAACCTGTTGCAACTTTTGTGCTTATGCCAAATTTTGTGTTTAATCTTTGTGTTTAACACAGTATAAATCTCTATACTTGTAAGATTAATTGGCAGCTAGTACTCTAATTAGACTGCACCTTCACAAAGCACTTGTCTTCATCAATCAAATGCCACACACTATCAAACGGACAACTTTTCTGTAACAAATAAACAAATTTCAACGACAGGTTGTGTAAATTTATCTCAGCCATCTCTCTTTTTCTTTAGGTTTCCACCCAACCTTGAAGGCCTAAATTCTACCCCTGCTCAGTTTGATCTGTCAAATCAAGCGGAAATTCTGGCCCAGGTCAAACATGGCCATTGGCATTTTGTGCAAATTGGTAGGAAAACTTTTAAATAACTTTGGTTTTTTTATGGTCTGTTTATTTTTAGAACATTATCTGTCTAATCTAAGGTGTTTTTTTTACTTCCAGTTTGGTCATTTATTTACCAATAAAACCCCTGTATAACCTTACGCTGCCAAGACAAAGCAGGTATTTATTCCGTACGCCATGTGACACGGGACCACCATCACAAGGCAATATTCATTTGTAACCTGCCTTGCATCATGGTCAAGTTACATGCATTGTGGGTATATAAAGATATAAATCAATTATGCAATTGTTTGATGGTCGCTTTCTTCTGAAGTGTATTGCAGTAAATGTACATTTATCCACTTTATGAAAACACTTGGAAAGAAAAAAGAAACAAACAAAACTGCAGAATGTTTTAACAATTAAGACAACGCAGTCTGTCTCTTTTCCACTTTTAAGTTAAGAGATAGCATAATAAAAGTGAAGACTTGAAATGAAATATCAAAGGTTTTAGGATAATGGTTTGAGATAATGGTAATAGACAAAAAACCATCATTCTTAACTCACCAGCAACTGGGAAGGCAACGATAGCAAAGATTCTCATAATTAAATCAAATACAGAAAAACAAAGCAACCCTTTGACAAAACTCAGGAAGAAAGTCAAGAAGTGTGCCCTAACATATCCTCTTCATTAAAGAATGCAGCTGATTGCTGTGTGAATACTAATTTCTCCTTTGATATGTGTTGGCCAGGGTACAAAGTGCTATTCAAACTCATTAGCAGTATCAGAGTCCCGATAGTAAGTTTATTAACCAAAGTTAAAAAAAGTTGCTTAATGTATGTAAATTGATGCTCAATTTAGAACTGACATGTTTTATTATCAGACATAATTTTCCATGAGCATAATTAGGTGCAGTCTTATACAATATTGCCTGAGTGTTTATAAAACATTGTGCAGTACAGCGTACAAAAATCTCCAGTGTAAACTTTACCGACTTTTATAACAGTTAGCAAGTGAAGTCACACCATTGCTTTGACAAAATAAAAGGGATCTGAGTTAGTGTGCCCTAGAATCAACAATTTAAAAAAGCCTGTGTATAAAATGTTCACGAGTCTTTATAAAATGTGTTACAGATTTCTATCTTGTAAACACAATATCTTGGTACAGCCCCTGGGTTGTTGTTTTAAGCACTTACGACAACAAACAAGTCATACCTTCTCACAAAATTTTGTCATGTATCTATTGATCTAGACTGCTATGTAACTCCTGTCTCTCTTGTGGGTAAAGGTAATTTTACATCTAAAGCTGCCTTGACTATTTTAAAAAATGTTATTACTAATATCTAACGTACAGGATATATTATATATCTCTTGCATCTCAACCACCTAAGTCTTTGAGAAAATAAACACCTACTTAGCTCTATTGTGTCTTAGAAATTCTAATACATTTATTGACTGTTGTCAGTATTAAAAAAATATTTAAACGTTAAATTTAATAATCTTTCCAAAGTGTTTAGATGATGCAATACTTATTTCGAGCTGCAAAACTATAAAAAGAAGAGAAAAAAACTTTATATCTAAATTGTCTTTACGTGAAACAGATCAAGTGATGTGATAATGCAACCCTCTAAAAATACTGACTTTTATTGATGTATTTAATTACTGTATCTGTAGATTCAGTAATTCATAAGTTTCAAACACACAAATCATTTCAAATGACATAACTATAAGGATTATAGACATGATTAGGCAACATAATGAAATAAAGTTTTAGAAAGACAGGAAACACGCAAAAATTCCAGAAAGGGGGAAAAAGCAGTTCAGTATGAATGATAATTAAAACTGTCAATAATGACAAGACTTAATTTGACAGGTATTGTCAACATGGTAAATACACCGACTGAACCCTCTATACATACCTATGCACACCTGTGCATTTCACCTGGAAGAAAAATCAGATGTACCGCTGAACCATACTTACTTTTATTAGATTTCCCTGTTTTGGTCAGTAACTTTTGTAAAACTGGAATATTTCTATCCTTTACAGCTTGAATTAAATCTTGATCCTTCACCATTGTTACAAAGGGAACTAACTCTCAATAGCGTGATTCACCGAAAAAGTAAATATTGCTACGTTCCAACATACACGTGCCATGTCCCGGTGTTTTTACATGTCTGAATGAATTTCACCTAAAATTCCGAAATATCCTGAGAGAGAAACTTGAACTTAACATGTTGTAGGGAAGAACAACGTATGTATCATACAGAACAAGCCGTGGAGACTGTTTTCAGCTCATAGACTGTTTTTCCACACCTGACTCGAGTATGACCCTACAAGATTACGCATGCGCAAACTCTTGTAATGCACAAATAGTTACAAAATACAAAAACTGTACCATAATAAATAGAGTAATGCAGCTCATACAGAATTCAACAGTTTTGCTTGCATGGGGCACGCATCATTGTTTTGTTAATTGTTTTTGGAGGGGGTGCTACCCCCCCCCCCTCCAAAAAAAAAAAAAACGCGGGAAAGAGGAAATTCATCCGATATTTTTACTTTCAGCAAAAATATATTTCCTGAGTCCTGCAGTAATATTGACCAGGGACAGATTCACCCTAAACTGTTAAAGATTACTTTTGGTTCCAAATTTTAACTTATATACACTATGCACAACACCAGAACACATTACCATGATAGATGCAAAGAGAGAGAGAGAGAGAGACGGAGAGAGAGTGGTGGTGGTGGGGGGGGGGGGGGGGGCTTTCAGTCAACATTTTCAAAATGTTAATTATGTTTGTGAAAAAGTAGAGAGCGGCACTGATGCCCCTGGCTCCCTGATGCTTCGTACCTGAACTATATTCTACAATTTGCGCAGAGTGAAGAAGATTTTTTGGGGGAAAATATGCAGTTGAGTTTGACTGATGTTTTTTATTATACCTCTGTTAAAATGTTTCCTATATAAAGTTCAGAGGGTAAAATAACTATTCTTTATAGTTTACGCATAGCAAAACTATACCCCGTGGTATAGTTTTTGCTATCCACCCTCGGAAAATTTTCATGCAATTGTTTCCGCCAATTTTGATTTCCAGCGATAAATCTTTAAACTGATGTTGTCATAATGACTTCAGTAGCATTGTGACATCATCAGGATTTCAGATTATTCTTGCAGAATTATCATACTCCAAAGAAATTCAAACCTCAGAAATTAAATTATACATCAGTATAATAAAACGCTTATCCACTGGGTGTGAGTGGGATAGCTCTTTTATCAAACCCTTGACAGGAACTATTCCCCTCGGGCAAGCTCTCGGGGAATAGTTCTCTGTCGCGGGTTTGATAAAAGAGCTATCCCACTCACACCCAGTGGATAAGTGTATAATATCTATAGAGTAGCACACCCTTACACTATAAACCTTGACTCTGGGTCCATAAGAGGGGGCAATCGGCCTTTTCACATATGTATTCATTAGAAATTATAGGCCTATTCAAAAAGGAAAAACATTGTATGTATGCAATGAGTAACCTGTTTTTATTTTACCCCCACCGCACCCCCATCCCCGCTTGGTAAGCGCAGGAGGGTTACGCTTTGGGTACCCATCTCTTATCCGCAACTCCTCTTTTATTTTTTGATAGGACACATATTTCGGGTTTCCAAGAGCAGAACATTGACACTGTCATTCTTTCTATAAAATTGAAGGCCGGGGTACGCATCTTTTATCCGCAACTCCTCCTATACCATTGAATAAAATTTAACGATACTTTCGCAGTTTCTTTGTCACATAATGCCCCTGTGCACCTTCTTTTTTACTTTCTTATCTGACATTTTTTTCGCGTCTCCCAGAGGCAAAACATGGACTTTGCCATTATACATGTAATCATATGGGAGGAGGGGGATATCATTTAGGCCTAGTGAGTTCTCGGCTCATACTCTCTACTCTTCACTGTAGCGCTAACTGAATATTCGCAAATATTTTCCATTAGAAAAAAGTTTATTTCAGAATACAATTTCTCCCTTTTAAAAAATGAATTTTGTAAATTTTCATGAAATGACAAGACAAAAGTAGATGGCAATATTGAATTCCACGTGTTAGAAAAAAATTATCGGGAAAAAAAAAAATAAGTGCTCCGGGTGAGGCTCGAACTCACAACCTCCGCATTCCTCATCCTGTGCAAGCACAGGGAAGGTACTGTCTATAAGTACGGCGCGCTAACCGATTGTGCCACCGGAGCAACTGCCATCCTAACAGAAAATAATCTACAAATGCCAAAAGCCATAATTATAATCATTGATTTATTTTCTAATTAACGAGATGCACAATCAAAATATCTAATTGAGTCAACAGTTTAATAACAACTTCTCTTTATATTCAAACAACCGAGAACAAGGAAATTAATTCACCGACAAGTAAGCACTTGCTACGTCAACAAAACAAAATGGCTGCGCCCATGTCAAACTTGTAAACATTTCTAATTTAATGAAAAATCTCTATACACAAGGTCCTTTTGAAGGAAAACTCAAATAGGTACGAATGAACAATGTATAAAAAGTATATTTACTTAAATAAAATAATTTAACACGATTTAAAATATGGAGAATTCATGAAGAATAGAATTTGTGTAGATCATAGATGGATTTCTGAAAAATGACTTCTGCATGTTGGTTTTATGACAAAGAGGCGTTTCAAAATAACAACTAGCATGTAAACAATGCCTATACCTGACAAACACTTAGTAAATAACGGAATTCTGACTATTTATTGCATACAAGTCCTTGTAGACCTACTGCTTTCATCTGACACTGTATTTATGTAATGAAGAATTGTTACAGTCACTGTGGAGTGTGGACCTAAAAGTAAAAAGATGAATCCTATGCATTATGTATTTAAAAGATACGTAATAAATATTTCCTTTTAAAGTAGATAACACATGTGTTCCTTACAATGGAACAGGAACTAGCAACTATCAATAGGATGTGTACCATACATGAAATATGTTTGATGGTGAAACTGTTAGGGCGAGCTCAGTTTTATTTTTTTGTAATAATTATTCAACAAATTTGTAACCTCTCAAATGTCTGTTTTATTGAAAGGAACATGACAAAATAAAATACTCTCTTATTTAGTAGACACTCATGGATCAGGATCGAGATTTTTAACTTCTCAGATTTTTTCAACAAAAATCTGCTATTTTTCCAGAAATACCAGAATGATTTAAGTGATGAAAATATGACAATATATTCAAAGTTGTTTCCTATTCTTTTGGTGTCAGCCTCTTGGTCAGATTCTCTGCCAGGTGTTTCTTGGTCACTATACCATTCTTATGTTTTCCTTGGAGGTTCCGGGACGGGGCCTGTCTTGTGATGTTAGTATGTGGTCTGTGTAGAGTTTGCTCGATCGCTTCAACCTTTGCTTTATTTATCTCTTCTTTGATCAAGGGTTTGTTTTGTTCTCTGCAACAGTTTGATATTGTTGATTTTGTCAGACTGTTAGATCTAGAGAATTTATTTTTGACATAGTTGATAAAAATGTCTGAATGTTTTTTTGTTGCTGTATCGGTCTTCTTTATTGTTTATGAGTATGACCCATACAAGAAGACCAGCTTAATATTGCTGTTGAACAAAACAGCAGCAGCAGTCACCTTAAAGTCATTTGATTTATAAAACATTTAGTCTTAAACATATGAAAGAGTAGATACAATTAGAATATTACTAAATAAGTATGTGCTTTTGAATCTGTTTCTTTTTTTCAGACATGTTGGTGTCAGAGCAGTAGTTGTTACTGTACATAATGAGTTGGTGGGACACGTCCAGTTTCTCCAGCTTTGCGACTCAGGCCTTGAAGAATGCCCAGAAAAAGATTGATAAAGTCCTTGACATTAGCGAGGAAGGGGGTGTGGAAGAAACTTCATCGGTATCAGGTAGAGTTTAAAAGGCTAGAGAATTTTACAGGTTAATTAACATCAATGATTAGAAATGCTGGTACTCCAGAAGTTAATGCATGTGAAACATGTATGCATGGTTATACTCAATATATTGATTGTTGACCATAGCCTTTCCACTGTAGGAAAGGTGTACATGTACTTTTATTCGGTGTTTAGTAAAATAAAACATGAATTGCAATATCTAGACTTCATCCAGGTTTAAAAGTAAGCTTTGATTGGTACATTCTTCAAAAGAAAAAAATCGAATATTGTTTTTAATTTTATGATGAACATTAAAACTTATTTACAGAAAACAAAGTTGCAAAGTCTACAGAAGAACCTAAAAAGGTAAAAGAGACAAGTTCATCGTGGTCTTCCTGGGGATCATTTTCTGTGGACAAAGGAAAGGATGAATCAGAAGAGGAAACAAGAAGTGCCTGGTCCATGCCATGGGGAATGGATACTAGTCTTACCAAGGCTAAAAAAGAGAAGTCACAACCGGATAAATCTGCCGAGGCTGCCTCATCATCTGTCAAACCTGCCGGACCGTCATCTAAAAGTAAGAAAGGAGCACTGAAATTAAAATCCAGTGTACAGAGCGAAAAGAGTGAAAACAAAGGAGAAGGAGAGACAGTGGAAGAAAAATCAAAGTCAGAGTCACAAAATGTGGGGATAGTAAAAGAAAGTGATTTATTAGAGACCACTGGAGACATTAAAGTTCAGGAAAAGGAAACTTGTGAAGATGTGAATAACAAAAAGGAGTTGAACATTGATACACTTAAACCAGTTATTGAGGAAAAAACTAACAGAGAAAAAGTAACAGATGTAGATATAGTTAATCAAGAAAGTGCTGAAATATCTATATTTTCTGAAGACAATAAACATTCCAGTTTAATAGAGTTAGAACGAGAGAGGTCTGGTAGTGAACCACCAATATCCAGTGCTTCTGAATCAGAGGAAGGATCTAGTGAATTAAAAGCTAGTAAACAGTCAGACACAGAAACTTCACAAAGCCATTCACAAGTAATTCATTCTGATTTCAAGGAAAAAACAGAAACTACTAAAGTGAAGGAAGAAGGGGAAGAGAGTATTGTGAAAGAAGACAATTTAGTGGAATGCATACCAGATTTGGAACAGAGGACAGTGGATGCGGCTACCAAGGAACGGATTCAAACAGTGGAAAGTCAACAGGAAGTAGAGAGTCAACAGGAAATAGAAACTAAACAGGAAGTGGAGAGTAAACAGGAAGTAGAGAGTAAACAGGAAGTGGAGTATAAACAGGAAGTGGAAGAAACCCAAACCAAAGAAGTGGAAGATGAAGAAATGAAAGAAAAAGTGGACAAAGACACTGTAGTTGGAGAAGAAGGCACAGTCATTTGTGATAAAGAAAGTGATGTTAATATTCCAATTGGTTTGGATTCTTTAGGCGAAGAAAATAGATCTCAACCAATGGACATTCCATCAAATAGTCCAGGTCCAGAGTTTGATCAAGAGAGGCTTTCTGGTTTACCTCTGAGTCCTTCAACAGCGAGTTCTCTTGGAGGAACAGACTCAGACACAAATAAATTAGACAGTAGTTTAGACACTTATACGTCAGATGAAACAGTCATTGAAAAGAGTTCAACAAAGATGACAAAGTCTGATGAAAGCATACCAGAAGATTACATTCCAGAAAATGTCCCTGACCCAGAATCACCCAAGAATCAAGATGTTGAATCCTCAGAAAACATGGCAGAAATTTCCCCCAGTAGTTCCTATGTTAAATGTATGATTGAAGATGCCATGGATGACAGTGCCAAAATGGAGGATAATGGAAGCGACACACCGTCAAAGTCCGAGTGTTCTCGCAGCACGGGGGGCCACGACTCAGGGGACGAGATATCCACGACGACGTCTTCCGACATAGAAATCATATCACACGTATCAACTCCCACTTCTAATGGTGATGGGTCTAAAATGGTGGACTTATCTCCCCTGAAGATATCCCTCCAGAAAACGGCACGGAGGGGGAGCAGCCCCACCCACAGGAGATCTGACAGTCAGTCCAGCTCCAGCACCCACAGCAGGGAGGGGCAGTTTGAACAGCTCAGCCCAGGGAGGGATTACCAAGATGAAGATGACCACAGGGGAAACCAGCACATGCATGAAGGTGAGGCATCATCTCAAATGAAATGATCTATTTCCATAGATTGACAGATTTTGTCGAATGTTATTGAAATCTAATTCCTTTACTGGCTCAGTAAAAGATCTTAAGGTTTCTTTGGGAGGGGAGTGATTAGAGAATATGATTTTAAAAAGATGGAGATTTGATAGAAATTTCATATTTATTGTTTTTGTAGGAGGAAAACATGATCTGTTTCCACTAAGTGAACATTTTGAAAATGATCAGCAGCAGAAGCTCATAAAGGTAATATTGTGTTCCTGTCCAGTTCTTGCTTTTCACCAGGAACAAGCAGTAACATTGGACATGCATACATTGCTTGTTGTTATGAGCATGTTCGGAATTGATAATATTGCCAGCTGTTTGCTTAGTATACTAACAATTGGTTTTAGCTTTTTATCATTATTTCAACGACATTTTAATTTGAAAGTATTTATTAAATTTCTAGGGATACTCTGCATGACACAAATACAATATCTCTTGTGAAATGTGATTGAACATTTTAAAGTTTTCTTGTTAAGCATGTAAAGCCAGTTCATGTTCGTTGTTTTAAAAAGTCATTTCTGCATGATAAGTAAATAAAATATGATTTATTTCAAATGCCTGTGAACGAATGTATACAGAACAGTTTGGGTTTATCGAGTAGTGGGCCAAAAACATTAATAACTATTTTTGAGGTGTGGTTAACTAAACTGTATTGTCAATGTGTGAATATTTGAAAAATAACATTAGAGCAGAATATCGCAGACTGGTTACCTGGTGCTGGATTAGCCAATAGGAAGTATTTATAAGACGCTGTATGTTTTAGTTACAGACCGTCCCTGAGAATACGGACACCGCAAACAGTGATGTAGTTTACCAGCAGGTCAGGGTTTGTGTAGGGGTCAAAGGTCAAACAACATCTACATTAGGGACCTTCTCAGGACTCATTACATATAGCTGCATTTATAAAATCTTTTTGCCAAATTTTTTTTGTTGAGATTTTCTTTTGACTATGAACTACATGTACGAGTATTTAACAATTTTGTTCATTACGGCAATATCATGAAAAACATGGGGGTTTGGTGTAAATTAAAAAAAAAAAGTTTTTTATAAAAAAAATCTATTACTTTCAAACCACCATTAATAAAGTGCTGAAGTGTAAACTGAAAGAGGAAAAGCTGGCTATTATACGGAACAAAAACAGGGGTATTATATAAACATTCACCCCTTAATTGACTCCTGAGCAGGTCACATCTAGATGTTGTTTGATGTTGGTGTGTGCTACAGCTTTCAGTGTCTCGTGGGGTATTTGCACTAACACTATCTGTTGAATGTTTACATTATCATTTCATTTTCACTCTTTTTTTTTTCAATTAAGCTTACAAGAAAGTACCAAAGACGTAAATGGACAAATTGGTGGAGCAGAATTTAAAAAATATATTACAAAAATTGCCATGCGTAGAAAATTTATGAATTCAGCCTTCTCTGAACAATTTTTGAAATTATGCCATAAACATGTAGATAGCGGAAAAATATGAGTTCACTTGACACTACCTGTAATTATTAATAAATGAGCATTAATCATTGGTCTTCATCTACATCAAGCACATGCAGCATTCATCATAATTTTTTTTTTAGCTTGCCTCATCAAAGTTTCAGTTCTGTAATCCTAGTTAATGTAGTAGTATGTGACTACAGTCAAAATCTGGTGCAGACCATTCTTAGCTTGTTTAAACAGGATTTAAACTTGAACTGCTTAGAGCTGGTGCAGTTTGAAGTACACGGTACATGTATTTAGACTTTTATTGCTCTGTGTGAAACTCACTAGAACAACACTAGGAATAGTCTTGATTAGCCTTAGAGTCCATTACCAGTAATATTCTAAATAAATGCAAGGATTAACATTCTTTGAAATTTGTCAGTTCAGGGAAAATATTACCATAGTCTTGACTCCAAGAACATGTACTCTGTTGAGTGTTCTTTACTCAACCAAGCATAGCTGGTTTCCAATGTTTTAGATATTGCACACCATTTTTAATTTCTAGTGTATTATCTCCACGTAAAAGTCTTTGGAAAACCCGAAGGCTTACCAAAGTAAGGATGTATTGCAGATAAGGGGATGCTAAGTAACAGTTTAACTTTGAATACTGGTCCATATCTCTCTCACAATGATAAACTAGCTAATACACAGCATCACTTATAGATTACAATCATTGAGGTGAGCTATGGTCATAAATGTTTCTTTTTTCATCCATCATTGGGTTTCTTCATTTGGGTTCCCTTCCTTATGACTGTATGTGTTTAGTCTTTTTTCTTTTTCATTTCTGGTAGTAATAACAAAGTTATCAGGCATTTTAACTTGTATAAAGATAAACAGGCATGTTATTTCTCATTTAAGAAATTCTGGCGTATAATTCTCCAACAGTTTCTAAGCAGAGGTATTCCAGGAACTTGCTTATATTCTATCTCTGTGACATTAATGCTTCATTTTCCTTGATTCAATATAGAGGATTTCAGAATAATGAAAACAGAAAATAACTGCACCTATGCTTCAACCAGCATGCAATGTATTCGGGTTTTGTTTTAAAGAACTAAAACTTACATTAATACAATACACTGGGTAGATTTGTATAATTTACAATAATGACATTTATTTTGTATGCATTTTCAGAAAATTGCAGAGCTGACAGAAATTTTACAAGCCAGAGAAAGTAAACTGGTCCAGATGAGTAAAGAAAACAATGACTTGATGGAGACCAGTAATATCCTACGCAAGTATGTCACAACACACACACATCCACACACAGAGACATTTATTTATTGTCAACATGTAAAGTACAATTAATAATTACGGGTAAAAAAATAAGTTGTATGCCATTAGCATTTTGAAGATTCAAGATACAAAATTTTTGTTAATTAAATAAGATGCAGTAATTTTGATGCTTATTTGAGCATTTCTGTCTACAGTCAAATTCAGCAGTTAGAGGAATTAAAGGAAGCAGAATCAGAAGATGTTAACAACGTCACATCAGAATTCACAAAGAGGCTGTCGGAGGCGGAGAAAAAAATAAACCAGGTCATACGGGTAGGTACACTGGCAGCTGAGAAGGACACAGTGTACAGCTGGCATCTTTTTTATGCAGCCATGTCTTGACAGAACACAGCTTTCAAACAAATACTGGTACATCAAAGAATTTGTACCAGGTGGTTCTTGTTTCATGATGCATAGCATTTAGATAAGACAAAATGTGTATTTTCCACACAGTGATTTTCCACATTAATACTTCTAGTAAGTTCATATACTGAATACGACCGCACATATTCTTTTTAAATTACAGGAAAAAGAAACCATGAAGAAACAACTTCAAGACACTCAAGATGAGTTAGCAAAAAAGTAAGCTACCAACTCCACAGAATTTTATACATTTATAAGATTTTACAGCTATTGCCTAACACAGGAATAAGTGCATTTTAATTACCTTTTTGATGGAAACAAAGTACTAAATCTGTTAATTTAATTTTTACTTTGTTACAGAACGAAAGTAAATTCCAATCAGATTCAGGAGAAGGATCAACAAGTTAAAGAACTCCTACAGGAAGGTAGGGAACTCATAAAATCTTATCAGTCAGGGTAATGTACATAAGTATACATCACAAACAGTGTTTGAATAGAAAAAAAGTGGTAGTTTTATAAATCCCTTGCTAAAATTGGCATTATTATTACAGGAGAAAAGCTTTCTAAACAACAGCTACAGAGTAATAACATCATTAAGAAGCTGAGGGCTAAAGAGAAAGAAAATGATTCTCTCATCACTTCTCAAAAGTAAGTCCACCATAAGAAATAATCCCAGCATTACTTCTCATAAGTAAGTCCACCATAGCAAGGCCTGCTGGGAAAAATGACTCCCTCATTACTTCTCAAAAGTAAGTATACCAAGTGCTTTGAAAAAATAACTCCTTCAAACCTCTCAAAATTCAGTCTACCATAGCAAGGTGTACTTAGAAATGACTCCTTCATTCATGCTTCTCAAAAGTAAGTCCACCTTAAGGCTTTTGGGAAAACTGTCACCAAGATATACATCATATTCTGCCTGTGGCTACATCCCCAGATAAACTGAACTATGTATTAGTTCTTCTGAACCAATCTCACTCCCATCAAAATGAACATCTCTTAGACTCCTTTGTCTGTATTTTGTTTACTTTTGCATAATTTTAGAATTTCTTTGAAAGTATACCGCTAATCTTTGTGATATTTGAATTGTGTTGTGACAAACCTGTAAAGAGATATTGTTCAATAAATGTATCGTCCATCACTGAGAATGATGCAGGATCAGAATCAAATACTGTCCATATAAGATGAAATTAATTTAATCGTTTGCCAACTGTTCTTACAATTGACATGTGAAAACTGAACCAGAAGTTTTAGTTAAATGTACTTGTATTTACCAGAAATTATTGTAGAATTTTAATTACATGTGGTTACCAGATATTCTTTTAAAAGTTTTAGTTACGAGTGATTACTGGATGTTATTTGAGTTCTGTCTAATTACAGGAAAAAGCTGGAGGATCAGAAGACAGAATTAGAACACCTGCGTAAGGTGTGTGAGGTCAAGGACGATTTAGAGAAGAAACAGACAGGTGAATAGTCTTCTCCTAGAAGGGGTGAAAAATCTGGCATGAAAGTCAAATATTGAATGATTTTGTTATTCAGCATTTAAAATGTAACATTTTCAGAGAAATATGTGTATATATGATGTTCAAAGTATTGGTAAACATTTTTATAACCCTAAGTCTTATTTCAGAGGCCATCAATCAGTTGAATACAGCTGTACAAAAACAAGAGAGAGAAAAATCCAAACTCAAGGTGAATACACATAGAGAAATATTGTAAACATGGAAAGCAAGTGGGTGATTTAAACTAAGTATGCAAGTCAGAAGAAATATCTGTTGTCTCCTCTCTACCTATTTGTTTTTTAAATTCAAGTGTAATGACACTGATTTTTTAAATTTCTGATGCATTATGCTGACTACATTTTCTGACATTGATGGTTTACAGCATCTGACATTGACATGGTTTCTTGTTCTAGATTTCCCTATGATTTTAAATAGATTTACATAATCCATTCTTATTACAACAGAGTGACCTAGAAGATGCTCAGGAGAGAGTGCGAGGACTGCAGACAGCCCTGGACAACTCCTACAAGTAAACTCATTCTTATTTCAAAACACTTTTCAAAAACTACATACATGTAAAGTATGTATTTGTAAGTTCCCAAACTTCCATTCATTTGAATTTACGAATGTGACAGAGAATGTCATAACTCAGTATGTTGAATTTTTCCTGTGATTGTTTTTTGATGTTTTCTGTGACATGTTTTGGTTTGTGATTTTAGGGAGATAATTTCCTGTGATTGTTTTTTTTTATGCTTTCTCTCTGTGACATTTATTTGTTTGTGTTTACAGGGAGATAGCAGAGTTACACCGCTCTAGTGCGGCTCAGGACAGCAAAGCTGCCGAGACTGCACTGAGTCTTGAGATGCAGGTCAGAGAGGAACTGAAATCTCAGCTCGAGCAGGAACGCAAGAGTAACCAGCAGGAGAAAGAAGCGCTGATCAATCAAGTATGGTCACACATCAGAAGACTGTTATGCAAAAATTATCCCACGTTTCCAACTATCGTTGATGTCCCTGCAATACTCCACTACTTAGACAGTGATTCCTTATATTTCCATTTCATTGTGAAATAAAATTGTAAATTTATACTTTAACAATATTGTGTAATAGGTTTAAGTTATACAAGGCCTCCCATATCAATTTCAATTGTCCCTGCCTACTGTTGTCAAAGTCAAAGACAACGGCACGAGATTTACAAGCATATAAGGCCTCCTTAGCTCCTGACCTTTTGCTGGGCGAAATTTACATTCCAGTAGATTGATCAAGAAATCAACTTCCCTTACTTTCAAAGAGTTATAAGAGAGAAAACAAATAGAAATGGAAATATTTACAAATTAACCCTTTTGTTGGAAGCCGACGTACATGTATGTGATATTGGTTTTACAGATAGAGGACCTGAGAATGACAGTGTCTAGAATGGAGAAGGAACACAACAGGAGGGAGGACATGTTACGACAAGAAATCTCAGATCTACAGCGGGTAAAATACTCTTTATTTATCTAATATAAGACATGTTACGACAGGAAATCTCAGATCTACAGAGGGTGATGCTATACTCTTTATTTATCTTATATAAGACGTGTTACGACAGGAAATCTCCGATCTACAGAGGGTAATGCTATACTCTTAATTTATCTTATATAAGACATGTTACGACAGGAAATCTCCGATCTACAGAGGGTAATGCTATACTCTTAATTTATCTTATATAAGACATGCTACGACAAGAAATCTCCGATCTACAGAGGGTAATGCTATACTCTTAATTTATCTAATATAAGACATGCTACGACAAGAAATCTCCGATCTACAGAGGGTAATGCTATACTCTTTATTTATCTAATATAAGACATGCTACGACAAGAAATCTCCGATCTACAGAGGGTAATGCTATACTCTTAATTTATCTAATATAAGACATGCTACGACAAGAAATCTCCGATTTACAGAGGGTAATGCTATACTCTTTATTTATCTAATATAAGACAGGAAAACTCCAATATACAGCTGGTAATCTTCTTCGTTAACCTAAATCACAATATTTTTACATTGTCATCAGTAAATTGAAGATGATGGAGACTTCTTCAATTGTTTATGGATCAATTTCTTTGATTTTTTATGCAAACTTGTCTGATTTTGAGATGTATACAATATAGAATGTACTTCCAGCATTTACAAGAAGACGAAGCGAGAAATCAGGACCTCACTCAGAATGTCACGTCTGGTAAGACAATATGGCCATCATGTACTAAGGACTCATACTCTAATAGACATTTATATCAATTACAATGGCTAAGAAAACTAAACACACCTTTATGTATGTGTGAGATATATCTGTGAATTTTGAGCTGTTATTTTTTTCAGCCACTCGCCCCCTGCTGAGACAGATAGAGAATCTTCAGTCTACATATGCTGCTCAGTCACTTTCTTGGGAAAAATTAGAAAAGAATCTCTCTGACAGGCTAGGTATGGGTTGTTATTTGTAACAGACTCTAAATTCCTTTTTTCATAAATGAGTACTTGATATCTTGAAATGACTCATAGACATTAGTTTGCAAGAAAAGAAATTTCTGAGTATACTGATGATCAAGAGTTGATAAATTATTTCAGAAAATGTCAAATAAGAGCAAGTTGTATTGCGGATGATGTTTCTTTCAAATTACAACATAAAAATTCCTTGCATATATTTGGTAATCTACAATATTATATTTTGTAACAGCACACATGATGTAGCATTATGTGATATCTGTACAAGATTTACCTCTCACCAATTAGAATCATTAAACAATTTTGTGTAATATACAATTTTGAACTTGAAATTTATTTAAAAATTGTTGTTTTTAGTGGAAAATCAGACCCAGCTGGCGATGGTGACAGATAAGGAGAGGTCAGCAAATGAGAAAGTGATGGAGTTCTCTACTCAAGTCGCCTCGCTAGAGTCTCAGAATAGTCGACTGAGACAGGAGAAGGCTCAACAAACGGCTCAAACTGAAATGTTAAAGACCCGAGTACAGGTGCTAGAGGATGCCAAACACAGGTAAATATTGTGAGATAAAGCTGAACAAATGGCTCAGACGGAGATGTTAAAGACTCGAGTCCAGGTGTTAGAAGACACCAAACACAGGTATATATTGTGAGATAAAACTCAACACTCAGACTGAGATGTTAAATACTTGAGTCCAAGTGTCAGAGGATGCCAAACACAGGTAAATATTGTGAGATACAGCTCAACAGACACCTGAGACATAGATTGCAAGAAAATGAATTTCTGAGATAAAACTCAACAAATGGCTCAGAGACTGAGATATTAAAGACCCGAGTCCAGATGATAGAGGATGCCAAACACAGGTAAATATTGTGAGATAAAACTCAACAAATGGCCCAGACTGATATGTTCAAGACTCAAGCACAGGTGCTAGAGGATGCCAAACACAGGTAAATATTGTGAGATAAATCATGAAACTCAACAAACGACTCAAAACGAGATGTTAAAGACTTGAGTCCAGGTGCTGAGGATGCCAAACACAGGTAAATATTGTGAGATAAAGCTCAACCGACAGCTCAGACTGAGATGTTAAAGACTCGAGTACAGGTGTTAGAGGACGCCAAACACAGGTAAATATTGTGAGATAAAGCTCAACAAACGGCTCAAACTGAGATGTTAAAGAATCAAGTCCAGGTGCTACAGGACGCCAAACACAGGTAAATATTGCGAGATAAAGCTCAACAAACAGCTCAGACTGAGATGTTAAAGACCCGAGTACAGGTGTAAGAGGATGCCAAACACAGGTAAATATTGCGAGATAAAGCTTAACAAACAGCTCAGACTGAGATTTTAAACTTAAAGACTCGAGTACAGGTGTTAGGTTGTATGTAGGCCTTTCAACTGCCACTAGGGGTCGGTGTTATGAACAATAACTCACTGCTGAAACTTGTTTAGAGCAGGCTCGGGGTATTTAACTGTTTACACGCAAGGCAGTTTTTAGCATTTCCCAAGTGTTTCTTTGCTCTCAGTAGAATCCAGTGGTTTTAAAATTTAGCTCCATTCTTAAACTTATTTACTGTATAGTTGCGGACACTGGTTTACTGATTATAATTAAAATTTTTAATTAAAATAAAAAGTGAAATCTACCCTTCTTCTCAGTTCTAACCTATTTAAATTTTTATACTCGGTCGTTCCCCTTCGTGCTTAGTAACACAAATAAGATGATCAATTGTTGCATTTACTTGTAAAAAGATATATATATACACAGGAAGCAAAAAAGCGCGAACACAAAAAACATGACATTAAATTTTCTTCTTCGTAATAATTGTCAAAGAGAGTTAAAACTATTGAATATAGTCTGTTCCCCATTCATTTGACCCTGTTATTTCAGGTAGAGTGAAGGCATTCTCTTTCTCTTGGTCAAAACTTTTTGTGTACAAAACAATGTAAGGAACCCTTTTGTGTATATAACAATGTCAGTGCTGAAGCAGCCTATATGTCATTCCTATATACGATAACTCATAAATCGGCACTAAGTTGGTCATTTTTCACACCTGAGATACCTGTCCTTAAACACAACATCGGAAAAGTCAATTATAAATGATTAAACTTTTTAATGATGTGATTAAAAGTATGCATAAGTTATTATCTTTTTTGATAATTTTTTGTACCTATAAATTTATCTATACAATGTTTTTTACCATATGTGCAACTTGAAAAATTAGTTGAAAGGCCTATTGTATGTTGTTTAATGTCCTGCTTGAGAATTTTTCACTATTTCACATTAAGTTTAGCTAAGATTAATGATTTTTTCTCTGCAGTGAAATGGTTCAGATTGAGGCTGTTAAACAACAGATGTCCCAGGAACTGTCTGACATCCGCAAAGAAAAGGTACGGCCAGTACAGATATTATTAACATGTCACCATATTGTCAGGTAAAATAAAAAGTGAAACAATTTTAAAAGTTAAATCAGAGAACAATCATTGCCCACATTTTTCACTGTCATTTTTATTTGTATAAAATATTAAGTTTAAAGTTAAACGTGCTATAACTTGCGTCAGTTTAAATATGGTGGGAAATTTATATACTTTGTTTACCAATAAAAGTTCGGAAAATACTGTAAATTACACCATTAAAAATGAATACATCATAAGGATGTCAAATTTTAATATATAAATATAGCCCTTTGATGAGGTCAATCCATAGATATATATATATCGACTTCACAGAAAAGCATATCGACCGAGCAGGAAGTGCGAGGTCGATATGCGTTTCTGTGAAGTTGATTCATGTATGGATTGAACGAATTAAAGGGCTACATTTGTTATATTATTTTTTACAGAGATTGACAAAACAAATTATGAAAATAATGGGGAAAAGTTTTCTCTCTTTAACACTTAGAGAGTAGAGATCAAAATAAATTACGCTGTTTAATGTAAATGTGTTTCCTTTATATCGATGGAGTAATTTAGAGGATTTACTTATTCAAAATACTTCATTTATTTGATTATGTTTTGTTTCAATATTTGACACACATATCCAATATGTTTTAATATGAAGTAGATCTTATTCAATGCATTGTTTCGTCTCATCAAATACAGAAAATTGAAAAAAATTAGTAGAAGTTGAAATAAATTTTTTTTCTAGAAACATTAAGTCATACACTGTATTGGCTACGATTGAAATCAGTACTATTTTGTTTCACAGAAATTATCTCCATTTTAAGAAACCTCAAGTCGATATGCTTTTCAAATTCTATAAATAGTAACTCAAGTCTTTATGCTGTTATATACTTAATCATGTGATCAAGCTTGAGCCAATCAGAGAGCTTGGAATAAATGATAAAAATAATATTTATTTATAATCCTGCAAGGAAAGTAATGCCTCTTTTTGAATACATTCATCACATGATGCTATAGCTACTTTTAAATTGATAAACAGAGATTGTGTCAAGAAAATAAGGTAGGCCGTTTGGGATACAAAAACTTTTGACTTGAATGGCAAACGTCTACTCTTAAAGATACGTATCTTTTAATGTAACCAGTATCAATCAACTACTCTGCCATGACACATATAAACCTTTATTATTGATAATCATAGTCAAAATGCAACGTACCTCGTTGTGTATGATTTCCCAAGGACATGCATGTCTATATATACTGTTTACGCACTTCCCTCATCAATATTCATGAAAAGACTGAATTCTTAATTACAGATATTGATTAAGTCTTTAATAAATACAATAAATTTTTTTAGGAAAATTTTGTGGAAAGTAAAATTTTTCATTGTATTTCATGTGTCTCAAAGCATTTAAACATTTGTTTCACACAAAAATCAGCATTTAAATAGTGTGTATATCTTTAATAAATTTTCACCTATAAAAACCAGCTTGAGATGAACATTTTTTTATTTCACTACATACATTATTTCTATACATTGTTATAGGTATTCCTGGAGACACAACTGGACATGGAGAAAAATAAAGTGGAGCAAGAGAGGAAGAAACTGAACCTGGCTCAGGAACAAATCTCACAAATGGTACCATACCTCTCAATCTCATTCTTAAGTGATGTAACTCACAAAATTTATGTCCTGTAGAAATGATTATCACCTTTCTAGAAAATTTTAGTCTGTACATCACACAATTTCAACCAAAAAAATCAGGTTTTTATGAGCCAGCGGCGAGATTCTTGTGTAAAGTGTTGATCTATACAATGTGAATGTGTTTGTAGGAGAAGGACCTCCAGCGGCCCCAGTCCCGGGGGTCAGTCTCCCCCCTGTCTGTGTCCAGATCGGAGAGTGTGGCCGGGGACCAGGGGTCCATGTCTATATCCTTCTCACAGGTAACCAGCGTAAAATACATGTAGGGTCACTCACCTATAAGTCATCTGCCTATAATTTGGTTGTATTTTTTGAGCTTATATTAGAAGGATTGACCCTATATAAAATACTCATCTTTTTATAACTTGCCTATAAGTTGGACAAAGAGTTTTGGACCAAAGATTAACTCCCCAAAAACCGACTATGGGCAAGTTTATACATGTAGGGTAATCAAATTTGAAAGATCAAGGTTCCTTTAAGTATTACTTATATTATTTTTTTAGGACGATTTGGAGAGAAGTTTGGTGATGTCTCCTGTGTCTAGTAGATCTACTTTATATGAGAGTATACGACAAGGGGGCGGGGCTGCAAACTTGATTGACAGCCTTCAGTCACAGCTAAAACAGAGAGATGGGGAAATTTTCCAATTAAAAGTAAGTTTGTCAAACAATATATTAATACAAGCTAATTCAGAGAATTCGTGTCATTAGGGAAAAAGTATTTTCCCCCTGACTGAATTTGTAGAATTATTAAAAGTATACATGTATACTGAAGCAAATAAAATACATGTATGTCAATATGCATATAAAGATTTGATTGCTTATAAGGTAATAGAAGATTCTTTTTATATGGAATATTTATCAACTGTAATGATGATTTTATAACCTCTTAAATTTTTCATTTCACATGCTGAATACTATCATTTAGTAAAAAAAAAAAAAAGAAAAGTATTTAAAAAAAAAAAAAAAAGGATCGATCGAGATTTGATCCCGGGACCTTTCACATGTGAAACGAGAGACATACCACTAGACCACGGAATCGCTTTACATTAGAAGAAGTATATGCAGAACAGAAGTCACATACATGTATATATTCATGTTCGGTATTCTCAAAATTTTACACAATCGATGGTGTTTGATTTATTTAGCCTTTATTAAACAGTTTTAATAGATGTAATAAAAACATGAAGTCCGCCGCCGAGAACCTGTTTATACGCAATAACTCTCCTCATGCCCCTGTGCTAAAAATAGCAAGATGTTATACTATAAATACTAATAAAACAAACGGGGCGGGGCACTTTGAGAGAGTCGAGAGAGGTCCTTGGGAGTTACCTCTCAATCTCATTCTCAAGTGATGGAACTCACAAAATTGGTATAAAATTATATTGCATAAGAAAATTTTATCTTCTTGAAATATCAACCAAAAATGATAGTGTTACACACAGACAGAATGTATAAATATACTACAATGTACCTTGAACTTTGACCTTTTGACCTAAAAATCAATAGGGGTCTTCATTAGGCCACAGGGAGTTGTTATGTAAAATTTCATTGCGATAGCTCAAATGGTTCTAGAGATATCATGTGGAAACGAAAGTGTTATAACAGACAGAATTTGCTTATTTATGACCTTGACCTTTGACCTTTTGACCTCAAAATCAATAGGGGTCTTCTTTAGTCCATAGGGAGTTGTTATGCTAAATTTCATTGCAAAAGCTCAAAGGGTTCTTATATTATTTTTTATCATGTGGAAACGAAAGCGTTACAGACAGACAGAAAGACGGACGGATGGACAGACGGACGGACGGACAAACCCAAATTAATATCCCCCACTTTTCAAGCAGGGGGCAAAAACAGATCATAAAATATTTTAAAATGAATAACAACTCATGCATATTTTAGTAATTAAAATGTTTATTACACTTTATGTGCATGTTTTATTTGATCTTTCATTTACTATTGTTATTGATTTACAAATTCCTTAAGATAAGATGTATATACTTGATTTAGTTTTGTTGTCTATATGTGAGTTATTTATATGGTTTAGAGTGATATCCAGCAACTGGAGAGAACACGGGAGTCCATGGCTCGAGAACTAGTCAATCTAACAAATCAGAATGAAGAAATTCATGAGAAGATTGAAGAGTTACCACAACTCAAAAAACAGCTTGAGGTAAACAAAGGACTTAGATTTAAAAGAACATTCACTGTAAGATTACTCTAAATTTATTGACAGAAATGACAGACATTTTTAGATTCACTTAGAAACACACATCAAGTTAGGCAATAAAAATGGGTAATTGACTGAAAATCTGGTTGACATTGGAAAGTTTCATCTCAGGACGTCAAAGAGATGTACAAATTACAGGTAGTCAAATTCTGATTGGTCAGTAATACCAATTACAGGTAGACAAATTCTGATTCGTCACTTCAGTATAAATTACAGGTAGACAAATTCTGATTGTTTACTTCAAAATAAATTACAGGTAGACAAATTCTGATCGGTCACTTCATATAAATTACAGGTAGACAAATTCTGATTGGTCATTTCATATAAATTATAGGTAGACAAATTCTGATTAGTTAGTTTTACAAATTACAGGTAGTCAAATTCTGATTGGTCAATTTTACAAATTACAGGTAGTCAAATTCTGATTGGTTACTTCATATAAATTACAGATAGACAAATTCTGATTCGTCACTTCATATAAATTACAGGTAGTCAAATTCTGATTGTTCACTTCATATAAATTACGGGTAGTCAAATTCTGATTGGTCACTTCATATAAATTACAGGTAGTAAAATTCTGATTGGTCACTTCATATGAATTACAGGCAGTCAAATTCTGATTAGTCAGTTTTACAAATTACAGGTAGTCAAATTCTGATTGGTCAGGTTTACAAATTATAGGTAGATAAATTCTGATTTGTTGGTTTTACAAATTACAGGTAGTCAAATTCTGATTGGTCAGTTTTACAGATTACAGGTAGTCAAATTCTGATTGTTCAGTTTTACAAAATACAGGTAGTCAAATTCTGATTGGGCAGGTTACAAATTACAGGTAGTCAAATTCTGATTGGTTACTTCATATGAATTACAGGTAGACAAATTCTAATTGGCCACTTCATATAAATTACAGGTAGACAAATTCTGATTGGTCAGTTTTACAAATTACAGGTTAACAAATTCTGATTGGTCACTTCATATAAATTACATGTAGTCAAGTTCTGATTGGTCAGTAATACAAACTACAGGTAGTTAAATTCTGATTGGTCACTTCATGTAAATCACAGGTAGTCAAATTCTGATGGATCACTTCATATAAATTAAAGGTAGTCAAATTCTGATGGATCACTTCATATAAATTAAAGGTAGTCAAATTCTGATGGATCACTTCATATAAATTAAAGGTAGTCAAATTCTGATTGGTCACTTCATATGAATTGCAAATAGTCAAATTCTGGAATAGATTATAAGTACTCATCCTCACAAAAAATGTTACAAAAATAAACAAGTTTAGAGATAATTTGATCATGCAGAAGGTAGAAAAACACATTGATTATGTTGATTATTTCATGAATGTGTATGTATAAATATAAATATATTAAGTTTTTTGAATTGCTTATCTGTTATCTTTTCAGATTGATCATCTCCTGGCTAAGTAGTGGACACTGATTGGACCGCTGAATGAAGACGACACGCCATTCTGTGATAGAATGGACAATGATGAAGTCCCTGGTAGATCCGACATGAGAGATTTCTCATTTAATCAGAAACTATACAAGGTAACTGGTACTACAAAGGCAGGGACCCAAGTATGCATTGTATTGTCAATAAATTTCTTGAATTTTATTTAAACTGTGTAACTTTTATTTAATATTTCTGACAATTTTATTGAAATATGGATAAAAAGTTTATATATTTGTCATTTATAATATGTTGAAATCTGTTGGTGACAAAAGCATATACAGTCAAAATTTGCTTAGTATCTTGAACCTGATGGGGCTTAGGAAAAACTTCGAGATATCCAATGATTCAAAATATCAAGTGTAAAATACTTAAAGAATATGTAATTGGGACTTCCACATCACTTCAACATATCCGTGATATTTGAGATATGGTATTTCTAGATACCAAAGTTCAACTGTATATGTTTAGCATATTTCTTAATTTATTTTGTTTTGTTTTTGGAATAATATTAAAATGTTTTAAGCAGTGTGTAGAACCCCTTGAATTAAAAAAATCAAAATCAATGTAATATAACCTTTAAATGGGATTACATAGTGAAAAGTCATGATAGTGGTACTTTCTGATCACGTGTGTTATATGGATGTAGATAATGAATGTAATACAAAGGGCTTTCAGAGTGTGGGAGAAAAACTTAATATATTGTGGTGTTATAAATGTGTATTTATTATAAAATAAGATTGCATAAGCTCAGAGCTGAGGAATTCAGAGTGAATGCTTCATATTAGTGTGTCTCATTGTGTATGTTCTCATTTCCATGTTTACTCACTTGTTGAGCATATAATGATATATATGTTTCTGAGTCAAATACTTTGCTTTGAAGGTATACCTGTATATAATATGGTATGTACAGTCAATGTGAATTTTATTTTAAAACCTGATATGTTGAAACTTACAGTATTGTATATTCATAAATAATTCTTTGTAGGTATTAAATATATAAATAAAATATATAAACTGGCAGGTGTTATTGGCTCCATTGTAAAGAATTTTTTTTATAGGAATGGAAACTTGAATTTTTTAAGAAATCTTTACCGAACTCTTAAATCAGGCAACATTTTACCATGTTTTGACTTTATGTATGAATTTCAAGTTAAATTTATTATTACTTCTCTTTGTTACTAGTAATGCCTGTTTTACTGATTGTTTACGACTGTCAGTGAAATAAATCTTACAGGTATGAAAATTTTTGTTATTTATTTAACCATACACTCAACCTCATTTAATTTAAATTAATTGCTCCCGTTTGTAGTGACTTTATTTATCAAAAATTCATTCTTGATAAATTAATTCCAACCAATGAGCTTCTGAGATAGTTATCAGTTTACCACAGAATTCCATCACATACCCCCAGCTTCTCTCGGCACATTTCAGTAGATTAGCCGAGATTTGTCGAATGTCCCGTGCTTAGAACTGTTTTTGGCTGGATAAAACAACAGATGACTTCACACACGTTTTCATTAGGACAAAAACTTTCTCATACAGAAAGGTGTTTAAAGCATATTTACTCTAAAATAATGATATGATTAAAATTTATAGATACCAAAAAAATATATAAGAATAAATAATTATAATAATCCATTTTACAAATGGTCTGTGAATAGGATGAAGCAATCGTCCGTAACGTGTAGCAGCGTGCCTCTGGGATATCAGCTGTTTTGCTTTCTTAGCTCCAACGACCACGTGCGTCTTGTACATCCTGATCCAAAATCGGATCATAAAAAGATTAATGTTGTAATGACAACAGATTTGAAGATAAGATCAAATGACGTGAACACTTGTCAGATAAGATAAGTCAATGATTAATTACAAAATGCATGATTAATGGATTATTTTTTTGCAATAAACGTGCTATAGTTAACCTGCAGTGATTAACTTTGATTTTTAAAATGGCTTTTGATTGATTAGAAATGTCAGCTGATCGCACTCTTAATTGTCTTATTCAGTGATCAAACTATATTCGTATATATATTAAAACAGAAACAGTCAAAATTTAGAACAAACAGAATATCTATTGGTGAAAGATATTATTTATTTCTTTATTTAATAAAAATGATGAAAGCACATACATTTCCACTCTACACAGTTGAGAAATATGACTTGAAACATGCACATAAACAGGAAAACGAGAATATTATCAAATGTGAAAGCACTACTGGGGCAGGTATTGTGGTATTTTGTGTCAGTTATACAGAACACTGCCATTTGATACTAAACCACTGTCACGTATTATTGCACTGTGATTGTAATAAGTAACAATTATTACATTGTAACCAAAATTCACATTTACTTTCCAAGTCGGACTCGGGGTATTCCGTACACGGTGAAATCCGGCAGCGATAAGTCTGTTGAGGATTTGCGCATGCTTTTGGAAGCTTCCTGGAAACAATTGGCGCTGGACGGCACATCCTCTTTGACGTCACTGTCCATTTCCGCGTACAACTGGTCCACGACCAATACGTTATTGATCAGTTGTTCGTTCACTTTGATTCGCCATGTGGACCACCTCTGAATTTCTTTCCGGTCATCTGTTGCAATGTCTGCCACCTCGCAGTAAATTTCACTGGCGTCGCTCTGTGAGGCGGGGGGATAGTCTGGTTTTTCCTCATTGTTCACACTTTGAACACTGTATTTTTCACAGTCCAGAAGCCACTGGCGGACGTATCTGTCATTGTTGTCCATGAAGACGATGGTGGGCCTCACCCACCCAGAGTCCGGAATCTCGGAAGGATAGTGCTTCATCTGGAATGGAATAAAACCAACAATGAAGTGAATTCGTTAAGAAAATCAATCATCAAAATTAGAATTGTCCTGGAAGTCAAGATCTGACAAGTTACATTTATCACAGAATTCTAGCACCCCGCCCTTATATAATCAGGTATAGTTCAACCCTTACATATGTGGTTAAGACAATGACAAAGCAAAACTGTAGGATCACCAATAATTAGGTTCATTAGTATAATATTGTGAACCTACTCTTATGTTCAGTGATTTTGGATAAGGGTACTTGAACTCCCCTGACTTATAAAGGTCAATATAGACACTGTGGACATAGTGTTGCGCAATGTCCAAACATTACGTAGCATTAAAGTTAAGCTTTGTTATACCCGATCCTTATACTATACATCATAACCTTTTGACCCAGAGTTTAAATATAGTGACCTCTTGCTCGTCGTCATATAATGACAATAGTTTGTTAGAACGCCGCTCCAAAGGGGGGATATATAAATAGTTTAATCTCTATACGAATATAAAATCAGGAAAATAAATTATATAATGACATACAATAGTTGGGTTGACCTGTGGGTTACGCCATCATCAATCAATCGGACATAATGTTTCCCCACCCGCTGTCCCTGAAAAATCTGTGTACCCAAGTACATAAATTAAATAAATAGTTACTTTTATAAATAAGGTCCTCAACGATAACGTAAAACGGTTAAGCATTTTTATTAAACGATGAACAATAGGAGTTCGAAAAATTTTACATTTTTATGTACATGTACTAGTATTTGAATTTAAAATTAATACATGTACCACGATGACGAAAGCACGAAACAAAGAATACATATAAGCATGTCCTACCTACCTCTTTTTCTGTAGTATTTAGTTAGATATACGTGCACTTACTTTAGAACAAATAACCGTGAACACTGAAGGGGATAGAAAGTTAATTTTAATACAAGTAGGACCTTCATTTTCATCACCTAAATGTCAATTAATGGATTCCTCCAATGTCACGCTGCGACAGACAGACGCATAATATGTCAAAAAAACTATTATTCTGAGAATCTACTCTTAATAAGTGGGTGGGGCTCATAGATTTCCGTTAATTAATAATAAATTGTTGATCTGTCTGCCCTTTTTTTTGTTTTGAAACATCATTATGCATGTTGAAAAACGCAGTAACAATAATATCGTTTAAGTAAGTTTGGTTTATTGTAGACCGATTGTCTGCTGTTGTCAAAGATATAAAGTTCCTGGAATCTAATTTCAGGAAACAAATCATCTGATTACAGACAGCAATCACATTTTTAAAGAACTTTCATATCCTCCATTTAAAAATAAATAAATAAGTTATATAGTTATAAATTATAATTAATTATTTAATTACAAGGTGTGGACAGGTTAAACTTACCCTTTCCTTTTTTATAATTTTCTTTTTGATTAACTTTCAGTCAACAATCACTTCCATACAGTGCGACTCACGATTCCAATTATAGCAGTGAGATAGGATCTAATCTATTTTAATCATTCAACCATGTTCAGCGATCGAACAGCTGTGAAGTATGCTTGATTGATTTTGGACTATGATTTAACTTCCTTGACATAGTAAAATGAAATCTTATTTTATTTCAAGCATGTCTGATTTTTTTTCTTTTTGAAAATAAACCGCTTTTTCAATTCACCATGCAGTAATTTTTTTTACCCTTACCTTCCTCCCAAAAATTGTATTTTTCCTGAGAAAATGATTTTTCATTTGGACTTTGTTGTTCACACAAGTGTTTGCAGAAAAAAGAAGCCAAATATTGTCTGTCTGATAGATAATACCCCAATAATAAACAATATGTTGACTTAATATATATAGGCCACCCTTCCTCCGGCCAGGTGTCTGTTATCAGTGACGTAATCATCATCATCGATGTTTTGTCGTGATTGATTTCATATCGACCTCGAGATAGTCCAGCTAATCTCACAGCACACCTCGGGTACTATTGTGTTGTCGACTTATAGGGAACTAGTGAAATTAATGTGTCAATATTGACATTAATGGATGTACAAATGTTACCCTTCGTCATTTTTTTTTTTTTTGGATAAATAACAAAAATATGAATTTCTTTTGAAGTTTAAGACTCACTCAAAAGCAAAATTTCATGTTACAAAGTAGATTGTAAATCAAATTAAACCATTTCAAGAAAGCAGAGAGAGAGAGAGAGAGATTACCTTTACTGGTAACATGGAGACGTCGTAGCCCAGTATCACTAAGAGACAGTTTTTTTATTAGGCCATTTCCCCCGCCCCGCGGGATTGTAAAGTACCTGTAATTACTGGTGATAAAACACTTTGTTAAAAGCTGTCCAGCGCGTCCTTGATATGTTGCGTAAAGTAAATTTGCGACATGACATCATAAATATTTGATTAATTCCTCCTCTTATAGTTCTGACACGATAAGCAAAATATGCAGATTAGCTAATTTGTTTTACAGCATTAATTAAGACAACCTTTCTTTCTTCCTATTTCCCGTAATGGACTGCGAGAGAAGACAAACGGCTACGCTTGTTAAAATGTCTGACTAAGATTGTCCATCTCCAAATGCTTCAGTGAACAATAACTAGTTAAATTTTATAGATTATTTCACATAAAAGTTTAACGACACGGGTCTTGTCATATACATTACGACAATGTCAAACTCAAAGACATTCTTAAAACAGCTATGACAAACGCCTGAACCATTTCAGGAGAGAGAGGGAGAGAGAGAAAACGGATGAAAAGGTGAATGAACAGCATCGTGCGGTATGTTTGCAGTCCCTGAATGGGATATCATTGCCAACATAAAATCGCATTCACACCAATAAATATTTCAAAACGTAGAATGATTCAGGAGGGGAAAGTAAAGGAGAATCAAACAGAAGTTTGCACGGAAAAAATTTCACTGAAAAAATGTATAAATTGTTTCTTATGCCAAAATTTGCAGTTCTTTTGTTATTTTCCCTAAATCTGTAGCAGATTAAAAGAAGAATTTTTATGTTGCAGAAACTCATATAATTTTTGTTCAAATGCAACAATATATAAAGCACAACGAGAAACAATATTTGGAAGGTGTGTATTGACTTTCAATTTGCCATAGAATTATGTGAAAATTACTCTTACGGCAAAATATATAAGATTTTCCGTTTTTTAAATAGGGAATCCCCATTGTTCTGAAAAAGTGCCTCCTTGAAACAAAATAATTTTGATATATACACAAAGAGGCAGGAATTTTCTTCAAAACTGCCATTTCCGATTTTTGTTTCGCATATTTTTGAAAAACGCAAAAATCTCTCTCTCTCTCTCTCTCTCTCTCTCTCTCTCTCTCTCTCTCTCTCTCTCTCTCTCTTTTTGCATTTTTTTCCATATTTAATGGTAGTGCGATGAAATTACATATATTTTGAAAGAGAGGTGGGAGGTGGATGTCAAGAATTAATTGAGTAATAACTAATCTATATATTAAAAATGCAGGATTAAATTGTTTTCCTTGATATGCTTTGACTTAAAACTAATGCTTTATTTGTTTTGTCTTGGAAAATAAAGTTACTGTATTGTTTGAATAATATATTTTTTATTTTTTTTTTTTACAAACTGTAGTTATTGCAATTTTGGTCTCTTAATTTTTATATGATATTTGAAAAACCAACAGTGTGATTATGGGACGCAGTTTTATTTCATGAAAAAAATATTTTCGCATGATGTCTACAGTATATATTTCAAAATTCTGCTTTAGCCATTGTGCTTTTTGTTGTTCCAACCTTTTTCGTGCAAAATGATGTTTTGCTGTATTTTCCTAGGTAGCTGTATCTATAATAAGACATAACGAGGGTATTTAAATGTCCTTCTCGATATATAGGGAATAATCGCGAGTTTCTGCAACACCCTCTTTAAAATATCATTAGGTTATAAATGTCTTATTTTAAACAAAGGGTATTACTCGTCAATCCGAGTATTTGCTGATCAACCCATTGTCTCAAGCCAGCCCACGGTCCGGAGTCCGCATATAGGCTAGCTAGCTCTCTCTCTCTCTCTCTCTCTCTCTCTCTCTCTCTCTCTCTCTCTCTCTCTGTATTTGAGAGGATAGTACACTTTGGCCGTGGATTGCGACGATGTGATCAACCACAATAACTGGAAAATAATTTTGATATTTGAACGACATATGCCTGCAAAAATCATGTTCATTTTTACGTGTGAAATATTTATCTTTAGGAAGTACAGGTAAATCAGATTTGCTTAAAAAAATATTTAGAGAGTACTGGACTATCCACATTTCTATACTTTGAAACGTGGTACTAAACGAACCAGTGTCAATGATTAAACTCATCACAATGTGTGAAAAATAGTATTTAAGGGATTTGTACGTTTCCGTCTTTTGTATATCAAAAATAATATTGTGATATCGCATTCAAAAAAAAAAAATTAAAACAGAATCCCTAAAAATTTAACTGTAAATATTTTTGGACGATATGTGCACATATTGTAGGCACATATTATCGCCGGCGACATGTTGTACATTCATACTTTTGAATCGTCGACAATATGTGACGATGGACGACAATATGTACAGTGGCGTTAGAAGCATTTTATCACCGATGACAATACCCGGTATATACAGGACTAGTCACAAGTTACAAACAGTGGTGCACAGTATAAGTTTGGGACCCAAATGTTTTTCAGTTAAACATAATGGGTGCGTTCAGAGTATCTCCAGTGGTACCCTCACCTCTTTGCCAATGGTAACAATTTGTACCGTTGGTACCATTGGACCCATATGTACTCTGAACGAGTTTTGGGTAGAGTTGGTAGGAAACTCACAGATGTTAACAATGGCACCATTAGTGTACCATTTGTGACATTGGTATATACCATTGTTAACAATGACAGATTTCTTAGAAGGAAATGTCAAACCAAGATTATTATTCTTGCTTCGAGCATCATTTTGCAGCAAGAGCATGTTTTCAGAAATACTTTTTTAATACAGAAAAGTACTTCTCCACAAACAGAATTTTTTTCCAACTTGTCTTCCGGATTGTCAAATGTAAAATAATTAAATAAATAAAATTTTGATTCTACATTAAATACACTTAAAAAGATTCTGAAACTTTCAGTAAAAAAAGACCTTTCATACACAGAATTTATGTATATAGGTGTGGTAAAAACATTAAAATGATTTGTTACTTTTTCAACTTTTTTCCCGAGGGAAAACTTTCATAGAATAATCTTGTTAATATAAATTTTATAGATAGAAAACGATTTATAGAGTAAAAATGAACTCAATTATGCATAAAATTTATTTGAATTTACCAAATACCACCTGGTAAACCTAGAGATCTCTCAGGTTCTCTGTTAAGTAGGATGAACTCGATCAGTACCCCCCATTTTGTTTGATGTCACTAAAAAAGTTACCATCGCTAACAGATCTCTAGTTCGTCTGCAGTAAAATCTACCTATGGTAAATTTTTTCGGCAAACTTTGGTACCATTGGCTTACCAATGGTAAAAAATTCTACCAGTGGTAACTTTTGTCAGCCAACCGTAGTACTCTGACGCACCCACTAAATTTCATGTAGAAATCATGTAGAAATTATTTCAACAGAAAATGCTACAAATTAAACACACATTCTGCTATAATTGATATGCACGTATCCAAATCATATAAAAAAATGTATTCTGTAAGAAAATCACCTTTGGTGACAGGTTGCAGCAGGATCCTCAGGTGTCTGTCATGGCCCAGAGGTGTCTGAGGACCCTCTCCCAAATTTCAAACTTTAAATTCGTTTTTTTTTTTATGCCCCGTAATTGAAGATTCGGGAGTATATAGTTTTTGCCCATTCCGACCGTCTGTCTTTTTGTCCGCAAAATCCATACTTTTTGACTGGTTGGAGCTGAGGCATTCATGTTTCACATGTGTATTCCTTGTGACAAGGCCTTCATTTGGGTGCCAACATATTGGACCTATTGACCTTGACCTAGGAGTTTGACTCACTTTTGCAAATACGTTGGCCAACTTTTGAACAATTGTTGACAGGACTTTCATATTTCACATGTATTTTCATCCCTGGGTGTAAATATTTTTTTACCTTGACCTTGGAGTTTGACCCACTTTAGAAATCACATTGCCCTTGGCCATAATTTTTGAACAATTGGCACTAAGATTTCAAATTTACATACATACCTGTATTCCTTATGACAAGACCTTCCTTTTGGTACCAACAATTTTGACCCTGACATACTTTTGAAAAATTTTAATCTTCTTTTTAACAGTTGAGGCATTTTGCTTTTATATTTTGCAGGTAAATTTCTTATGACAAGGTCCTCCCCTGCATATCATTAGTTTTTACCATTTGACCTTGACCTTAGAGTTTGTCCCACTTTTAGAAAACATTAATATTTACCATAAATTTTGAATGGTTGGTGCTTGGCCATTCATATTTACCAGGTATATCCATTGCCACAAGACCTTTCTTTGGGTAATAATACTTTGATCTCTTGACCTTTGAGTTTGACTTGCTTTAGAGAAACTTTAACCTTTGCCATAAGCTGCCATACCGGGGCATCAGTGTTTTACAAACACATTTTGTTCCACTTATTTCACAAATAATCTTTTTATGATGTATTGTTTTCTAATTCATACATTCATTAGTTACATATTACAACTTACACAATTAAGTTCCGGTATTGTAAGTGGCCACACTAAATTATAATTATGCAAAGTTTGTTTGCTTGATATCCAGGAGTAAAGAGCAGGATTTTTTGGATTGCTTTCATTTTTCATGGTTTTAACCCCCCCCAACTCAGAGTCAAGGGGTGGAGTGGCTGGGGAGGGGGTGAAATTCAAATTTTTTCGTTGTCCTTTACCCATTGATGCTACATGTATGTACCAAAAAATGGTTGGAAATGTACAGAAATCATCTGATGACTTGGTGTCAGATCACATTTTTGAGTAAGACCGACTTACTAGTTTGACCATGACAAGTAAATAGCACATTTTGGTAAAGCTGTCACAGTTAAGCTTCATCTCATTATACTAGTTAATCCAAAATGAAACAAATACAGGACTGAGAAAAATGGAATTCTTTAATATGTAAATGATGAATATACTAAAACATTTTGAAAAGTAAAACAAGACTTAAACAAGTGTATTTACAGGTATAAACAAACTTTTTATATCACTTAGGAAAAATCAATGTTATGTAATAAAATAATAATGGAATTCTTTAATATGTAAATGATGAATATACTAAAAGATTTTGAAAAGTAAAACAAGACTTAAACAAGTGTATTTACAGGTATAAACAAACTTTTTATATCACTTAGGAAAAATCAATGTTATGTAATAAAATAATAATACATACAATACATGTACAAATGCTTTGATTTATTTATATATACACATTTAGATATATGAATTTAAATACAAACTTGTTGATTTATTTCATTTGACACAGAAATATTTACATGTATACAGCAAAAATAAAGGCTCTGGAATTCATTCTTCTTTGCTACTAGATTAAAATACAAGTTTATCCTCCTTTTTGAATGTCACCTACAAAATCTCTCAACAGTTTCAGCAGCATGTCCCTCTGTACTTGTTGTGAGATGAATCTAGTGAGGGCCTCTATGGAGGACGTACCGACTAATTCCTGTACGGCCTTCACAACCTTCTGTTTCTCCTCGTCATTTAAATTACGTAACACTTTTATCATAGCTGTGTACTCATCAGAACAAATATAACCAATCATGGATCCTGCTACTCCCCCAACCATGGCTCCTGGGGGGCCTAGAAGGACTCCTCCTACTGCCGTCCCTCCTGCTGCCCAAGCCATTTGCTTGAAGATACCCCTCGCACTCTTCCTGAGTTCATCATTTGTCTCCAGGATTGTCATTAGTTGATTATAATAAGGAATAAAGGCCATTCCCATCACACCTGCCATTTCTATTTTTTTGCTTCAAAAGAAAAAAAAATGAAGAATCATCCCTAATCCATTTCACCCATGAAACTATGGAATGATTGAACAATTGTACTAAAAAGATTTTAGCATAAAAGTTACTGAAAATAGCAATGGTGGCCATTAAATTTTTGTGTTTTTAATATAATCAAGACAAGCTCAATCAGAATACCGTATAATCCCTATTAACCGCCCCTGACCCTCTAAATGCCCCCTTAGGTCTTTTTCAATTGTCAGGAAATAAGGGCCCCTGTACAGTGATTAAAATCAAGAAGAATTGTATCAAAAAATTGAAGAAAAAGAAAATGAAACGTGTCTATTATCCTACTTCTCAGTAAAAAATAAAAAATTTAGCTTAATTTGGGTAGACTATCTTCACTTGAAGTAAAGTTTGACATTAATTTAGTGGTTCCTTGTATTTATTTTTTTTTTCAAAAGATTTCTTGAAGTTAAAATTTGACATTAAATATCATAAAGAGAATACCAAAATAACCGCCCCCTTTTTGCATTTTTCTAAGCGCTCGGGGCGGTTAATAGGGATTAAACGGTATCATATCAGTTTTGCTGTACATGTATATAATCCCAATTTTTGTAGGACTTCCTTGGGTCTTCAATTACCTGTAGGTCTTCAATTAGGCAGGGTGTAATAAATGGAGTTGGTGGAATTATGTTTTTAAAAATTTAAATATGAAAAGTCCCGTATATAGTAATGTTTTTAATAACCGAGAAGATGTACAATTCCCGTTTAGCATAACAGTTACTGAAAAAGGAATTGGGCCCAACCTTTTTAATGTTGTCATCTCCAAACAGGGCTCGACATTCACGCTTGTCCGCTAGCAGTGAAAAAAAATTATGGACAAGTGAATATTGCTGGGCACTTGTCCATGTGGACAATTGCATTTAATGTAAAGGATTCTCTAAATAATAAAAAGAATGACTGGTGAAAGTTAATTGGTAGTTTCAAGATGGAAGCTGCACATAAAAGCGGACTTCAATCCCAAAAGGGATCGCTATTAATTGAGTTTGATCGGGATCAAAGTTCACTAATTGCATACTACATTGTATTGGAAAGGCATGGAACTTGCGAAGTTTGGATTCTGTTTGATGTTGACAGGTTCACTTGCGAACTTTTATGTTGTTGTCAGAACAGAAAGCCAGGATAAATTTCGTTTTTATGTGTTTGTTGTATTTAACAATTATACCACGCATCTATCAAATTTTATTGAAAAATTTTTTGACAAGTGAAGTTGAATTTCGGACAAGTAAATTTCTTGGTCACTTAAACGAATGAACAAGTAGGGAAAAAAAGTTAATGTAGAGCCCTGCCAAAAATATCACATCACCTTGATTAGGGACATAAGTCTCTGATAACATCCATAGAAATACTTTATGATGGCGTCGCCATCACAGAAATAGGTTCACTGGCAGTTGTATATCACTTACATTTATGTCAGTGCATAACAGATCCTCCTTTTTTCTTTTCTGACGTAATGTTTACAATGACATTTTCTTTCTTGTTCATGGATATGAAACTGGAAACTGATGTTTGACCCTAATTGACAAACTATTTTGAAACAAGATTGAAAATTCCGGAAAACGGCATCTCATGAACGCTTCAGAACACGTTATCCGAGTATATCTAAAAATCGATGTCATAAACACGTTTGCATTTCCAAAAATGGCATCCGGTAGCCATGTGGATGTCAATGAAAGGCGTCTTCGTCCGATTTATGATTGTCTGGACAACGGAAATAACAAGAAAGCCATACAGGAGGCAGAAAAAGCTCTAAAGAAACACAAATACTTCCAATGTGCTAAAGTATTGAAGGCCCTTGCCTTGTTGAGACTCGGTCGTCATGATGAGAGCACGGTGATCCTAGACGAAATCCATTCTCAACACCCTACAGATGAAGCTACACTACAGGCATGCGCTGTTTTTATTCTGTCTCTGGTTTGAATAAGAAAACTACAAATCAAACTGCCTCTATGAATAGTTGACGGATTGAAATGCCCGTCTGATTCAAAGGGCAGATAAATCATATTTAATACATTTATAAGAGTTTAAAAAAAAGTTTTGCTGCACTTTTTGTGCTGTAAAAATATTCACAGTGTTTTCACTTTTGAATAATTTTATGACAATTTAACTTAATGGCATGAGATTTGATGAGTTGAGAGTGTGACCATAGGGGCAAACACAGTTGTGTATTAGCGTTAGCCCTTCAGCCCTTGGATAATAAACTGCACTACTGTACTGCCCTTTCACAAGGCTAAAATTGTCAAAGTTAACGTAAATCACAATTTCGTCTAGAAAATGTAAATATGTCTACTTGGTAGACCTCATTTTTACCTTACAAAATCTCTTGAACCCAGGAGCTTCCGGGGGCTTCGCTCTGGACCCACTGGGGGCCTCAAGGCGGCCCCCAGACCCCTTGCCTACTTTTGGCACCCCCTCTAACTTCAATTCCTGGATCCGCGCCTGTGACCATAGGGGCAAGCGCAGTTGTGTATTAGCCCTTACATATAATAACCAGGTCCAGTCCAAAGACTATTTCTACCTACGGAGCTATTAATACTACGTAGGTATTTAAACCTATCCAAAGTAGCAATTTTTACCTACTCTCTGCTGTACTTGCAGTTTGTGGTCAAGTGCAGGAATGGCGCAACATGGTGAGCACAAAATTCCTTGATACAGTCACACTGATAATGTATATGACAAAAATTTGGCCAAAAAATGATTACTTCGTATATTATCAATTTCGCATAGAAACTAATGTAAAATGACTGTTTCAAAAAATATGGTATTCACCATGTTGTGCTGTTTGTTCTTTTGGCCACAAAATGCAGATAATACAAAAAGTAGGTAAAAATAGCTACTTTGGGAAGGTTTAAATACCTATGTAGATATGTTGGTAGAAATACTGTAAATCACTAAATTTTCGCGAGATAAGCATTGATTCTTGATAAGCGAGACAAAAAATTTTCACGAATTGCAGTTATTATTCTATATAATCCTAAGGAATACAATTATACGTGAGAATTAAATTTTCGCGAGCACACTGTCTCGAAAATAAAGTTCTCGCGAATAAAAAGTGAATTACAGTAGTCTTTGGACTGGACCTGATAACTGCACTATTGTACTGCTCTTTCGCAAGGCTAATTAATAATGTGTAACAAGAAAGGAGAAAATGTATGGATGGACCCGAAATTGAACCTGAGACCCCTGCTGAGTACCAGTCAGGTGCTACCCAGGCCGATATCCATGGCCAAAACCATCACATTTCTCCCTCCATAAATGGTCTTCACCCTCAAAGACACAACCCAAGTTCTTGTTAGCCCCTGGCAGGACTTTCGCCTGCCATTCCAGGGGTGGTCAACGGCACCAAATCTGTAACAGAGAAGGAGAAAATGTATGGCTGGACCGGGAATCAAAGCCGGGACCCTGCATTACAATTTACTAGTCAGGTGCTCTACCGACTGAGCTACCCAGGCTGTTATCCACATCTCAAACCATCACAAATGTTTAGTCAAGTTTTCAAAAAGATGTTGACTGTTCGTTTTAATCACTGTTAATACTCCCTTTCAATTTCTGTATGAAAGGCCCATTAAAGGCAGTTCATGAATTGATTAAATAGACAACCAAACTGGACCCGGCCTGGATGCACTAATGTTAATTTGCCATATAATATCAAAAACAAGTTAAATCCTAGTTGAAGCATGGTATTTGGGAGAACAGTTATTTTGCTATTGGCATTGACTGTGGTCCATTGTTTCAGAGGGGCAACCTGCCTGAGTTATTCCTCATAATAAAGTGCTTGTTTGTTAACTTATGGAAAGATGAAGTTGAAGACCTTTGTGTTATGAATGTTAATAATATTATTGTTTATTTTGCAGGCAATGGCGATATGTTACAGAGAGCTGTACAGACTGGAAGCCATCGCAGACCTGTATGAGAATGCCCGGAAGAATTGTCCAGAAAACGAGGATATTCTATCAGCTTTGTTTATGGCTTACGTTCGCCTGGGTGATTACAAAAAACAGCAGCAGACGGCCATGTTGCTCCATCGACTCCAGCCCAACAAGAACCCGTACTACTTCTGGGCTGTGATGAGCATCGTCATGCAGAGCCAGACGAGCGATAATGAAAAGCTAGCAAAGGGAATGTTCCTCCCACTGGCCGAGAGGATGATCAAGAAATACATCGACGAGAACAAGATCAATGCAGAGGCAGAAGTACAGCTGTACTTGATTATTCTTAATCTTCTCGGGAAGTGGGAGGAAGCGTACGAAGTAGTAACAGGGCCTTTAGGGGAAAAACTAACGAGTGAAACCTTCTTCAAGGAAAAGAAAGCTGCAGAAATGTTTTCCGAATTAAGCAAATGGCCTGAAGCAAATGCAAAGTTCAAGTTTCTGTTGAAAGAAAATCCAGATCATTGGCAGTATTGGAAGGACTATCTTTCTTCTTGTTTGAAAACTGTGCAATCAAAATGGACCCCACCACAGGATGCTGAAGACTGTGAAACTGATCACAGCATTGAGATGGCATCTGCATTCATTAGTCAGACCATTACGTCTTGTTCAGGAGAGAGGCCTTTGCGGGGCCCTTATCTAGCACAGCTAGAACTGATCAGGATGCTTCGAGAAAACAAGGAACTTTCTATTGAACCCACAGGATCACCCATGGAGCTTTTACAAGAATACTTCAAGACATTTGGAGACAAAAGCTGTTGTTATGATGACATGAAACTGTTTACTGATTTAATTACAAAACAACAACAAGTGGAAATGATTGACTTATTTACAAAATCTCTAGATCTTCATAATACTGATGGCAGCATTGTGTTCGCTTCGGACATGAAAGTTATGCAACGTCACTTGACCATTCTGCAGTTGGCCAGGTATCTTGGAATCCTTGACACCAAGACCTCAGAAGAAAAACTTGCTTTGTCCAGAGAGTGTATACAGAGGTATCACCACGGCTTAGAGTTTGGCAAGGATCTCCTTATCACAGACATTCAGTTTTCTGACAATTTCTTGCTGATGGCAGCTTACCTTTTAGTAGAAGTTTGGGAGGAAACAAAGGATCAGCATTACCTTATAGAAGCCATTGTCCAGCTCCAGAGAGGCTCCAAAAACTGTCCAGCCAACTTCCAGTTCAAGGTGCTTCTCATTCACTTGTTCTCCCTACTGGGTGCTTACGGCCCCTGTCAGCAGCTGTACGAGAGTCTAGAGGTCAAACACATCATGAACGACACACTCGGGTATCTCATTTCCAATCACATGATCAGGTTGGGACATTTTGCCGCGGCTGGTGCAAACTTTGGAAGCATGCTCAAATTCTTTGCCGTAAACCACAAAGAAACAGCAGAGTATTTGATTGCAGCATATAAATATGGCTCGTTCAATAAAATCTTTGAGTTTGTGAGATTCAGGGACAAATTACAGAATTCCTTACAATATGCTTGTGCTAAAGTAGAGAGCATGCTTCTGGACCTGATTCTGGAGACGTCCAGTCATCAGAGCGCGGAACAGATGGTGACCTACATGGAGATCGATCCGTCGGAAGAAGGAGCACCTGCTGCGGATTTTGATAAACTCTGTGATAATCGAGATCTGCGAATCATGGAAGCATGGGAAAAAGAATGCTACAACTCCAAAGCAGCCTCCGATTTCTCCTTTAAGGAAGAAAAAGCGTGGCTGAGAATTAGAAGTTTGACTTTGCGAATTATTGCCTGTGCCGTAAGCCTTGGTCAGCAAGTGGGATCGAACACCAAAAACTTGAACAATGGAGTAGATCCAGAGAAAAAGGCCACAAATGAAATTCTAGAATCACTTGGAAAACAACTTTGTGAACATGTCAAAGAATATGAAAAGGAATTCAGCAAAGTCTACAACTACTCTCTACAAGGCCCTAGTCCTACACGGATATCCAAATATCTCGCAGATGGACATTACCAAGTTGTGTGTTCAATGATTGAGTATATTTTACATGTGTTCAAATTGCAGTCAGAGGATTTAGAGCACTCAGAAAATGAAAAACAAGAATCACCTTCCCAAAAAGTTCCAGAAATTCTCACAGGCCTTTTAACCAAATACAGAGGTACTCTGTTGACAGAAATCGATGGGAAGAAATCCATTAATGCTGCTGTAGCCGAAAACCTCTCTCTGCTGGTGGAGACTCTGTCCCATTCAGCCATCTTAACGGGGGTCTGCCACAAAATCTTAAAACCACTGAAGACCTCATGGAACAAGAGATGTCGGAAGAAGAAAGCCGAGACTCCCCCTCCACTTCCTGCTGTCTTCACCAATTTTACGAAGCTTGTGGCTAGTTTTGACTCTTGTGCCAAGGACATGCATGTAGCCATGCGTGACCTTGACCCTGTGCTATTATCGGTAGACTTGAGCAGTCTGAGTATAGTCGAGTCAGAGGACAGTGATTTTCCTGAGGCTGGCGAGGTTAGGAAGGAGGTGTTGAAGGGTATTGAGACTAGTTACCAGACTTCATCCCGAGAAGTGTGCGAAATCATCCATAACAAATTACAATATTTCAGTAGTCTAAGACTGTGACATTACATTTTATAGAATATATTACTATGAAAGGGTTTTTAAAAGACCACACAATCTGACTTACTCCAGAGCTTGGAACATTATCAATACTGATTTTGATACCATTGGGATGTATTTTTTGTTTTGATTGATCAATATACAATGGTTTTATACAGGTATCATTTTTTTTTTTTCATGAAGTGTTAGAATATTTTATATTAATATTGCATGTTGTTGAGTGTAATTATATTGAAATTTCTCACCCCAAGAAAACCATTGTCAACCGAAGTGCAGACAAGGTTGACAAATGTTTTCAAGGGGTGAAAATTTTCAATGTTACACTCCATACAGTACTAATATTTAATATGCTGAATGTTTTTATACAAAAACGTTACAGTGAACCTTGTGCGCATGAATTCTGGGCAGTCAATTTTTTTTTACTAATGTACATGTATAATATAAAAATTTATGTAGCCATGACCTGTGATATAAAGGCCTGCTATTTCCAGGTGTGAGGAAAATGGAATTAAAATGTTCAAGACAGGCCATCAAAAGTGTGATAAAGCAGGATTATCATTCAAGCCTCTATTTGGATGCAGTATCGGTAATTCTCAAGATGAAATGGGGATTAGAATACACATCGTTCTACCGAGTATATGTATCAGTTCGAAAATTATGATTCACTAATCTGGTTTCTTCATTATTTGAATGATTCCTCTTTAGTAGAAGTGCAGATTCAAAGTTGGTATTAAGAGAGGTCTTGATACAAGGAACTGAAAGTTTACTGGTGCCAATAGCCACCAAGTTATTGGCAACATTTTTGAACTCTACTAGTCAGATTACCAGAAGAGCAATTTCGATATAAATTCATCCGGCTTTGAAGTCTGTAAACAATTTTTCAAAATGCTACTCCTCCTACAGATTTGGTCCGATTTCAATATACATTGTAACTTGGCACACAAGTAGACTACACTAAGATACATAATTCTTTGCATCGGTTTTTGATTTCGATGAACGGTGTTGCCATGGTTACTAAAAATATAAATTTCTTTGAAATTCTTTCAAAATGCTACTCCTCCTACAGTTTTAGTTCTATTTGAATATAAATTGGCACACAAGTAGACTACACTAAGATTTTTACATATATTCTGTGCATCGATTTTTGATTTTGATGAACGGTGTTGCACTACCTGAGCATGCTTCCATATAAAATAGAATTATTTTGTCATTCTGAAATTTTTTCCTATATATTTCTACTAAAACTCCTAAAGATTTGTTCCAATTTCAATATAACTTGGCACACAAGTAGACTACATGCTTCCATATAAATCTGATGAATTTTTGATGGCTGTTGTCATTACTAAAAAAGAAGATTTTTAAAGAATTTTCCAATATATTTCTATGTAAAACTTTGGTTTTAGGGGGTCATGATTTGAATATAACTTGGCACACACTACCTGAGCATGCTTCCATATAAATATGATGAATTATGGCTTTGTCATTCTTGAAAAGAAGATTTTTAAAGAATTTTCCTATATATTTCTATGTAAAACTTTGTTGGCCATTTTGGCCCCGCCCTACCCCCGGGGGTCATGATTTGAACAAACTTGAAACACTACCTGAGCATTTCCATATAAATATGAAATTATGGCTTTGTCATTCTTGAAATGGTCTTTAAAGAATTTTCCTATATATTTCTATGTAAAACTTTGATATATTTTGGCACACAACCCCGGGGGGTATGATTTGAATAAAATTGAATACATACCTGATTGTTTCCATTGGTTTTTCTTTCCTGGCACAGTGGTTCTTAAGAAGTTTTTAAAAATAGAAATTTTCATTAATTCCCAATTCTCCCCTTCAATGAGGGTGGCCCTTCATTTACAATTTCCCCTTCACCCAAGGATACTTTGTGGCATTTGGTTGAAATGTGGCATGGTTCAAGAAGACTGCAAATGTGAAAAGTTTACAGACAAGAGACTTAATCAGACAGACATTATTCCGGACAAAATGTGATCAGAAAAGCTCACTTCAGCTTTCCAACTGAGCTTAAAAGGTTTCTATATTTCTATTAAAACTGTGGTGGCCATTTTTGCCACACCCTTACCCCGGGGTCATGACTCAACAAACTTGAATCTACACTACCTGAGGATAATTTCACATGAGTTTCATCTTTCCTGTTTCAATGGTTCTTGAGAAGAAGATTATTTAAAGATTTTACCTATATATTCCTATGTAAAACTTTGATGCTTTGGCCCCGCCCTACAGTTTCATGACATGAACATAACTTAAATCACACAAGGATGATTCCACATGAGTTTCATCTTTCTGTGCATCAGTTTTTGAGAAGATTTTTAAAGATTTTTCCTATATATTCCTATGTAAATTTCTTTGAAATTCTGCCAAAATGCTACTCCTTCCCCCGGGGGTCCAATTTCAATATAACTTGGCACACAAGTAGATTCCACATGAGTTTCATAATTCTTTGCCCAGTGGTTTTTGATTTCGAAGAACATTTTTTTGCCAATAATTTTTCTCTAAAATCATGAAATTTCCCTTGAAATTCCCTTCAAAATGCTACTCCCTTCACTCAAGGATACTTTGTGGCAAGTTTTTGAAATTGGCCCAGTGGTTCTTGAATATAAAATGTGAAAAGCACACAACGACAACGACAACGACGACATAAGATACATAATTCTGTGCATCGGTTTTTGCCTTGATCAGGTGAGCTAAAATTTTTCTATTAATTTTTCTTTTTAAAGTCCCCTTGGAAAAGGGTGTGGCCCTTCACTGCTACTTTTCTCTTCCTTTCACCCAAGGATACTTTGTAGCAAGTTTGGTTGAAATTGGCAGTTCTTGAGAAGAAGAAAATGTGAAAAGTTTACAAAATGCTGGACAAAGAACTATATTTTCCTGGGCAAACTTTGATTTATTTAATTAAGTTTTCAAGGTATATGCAGAGACTTCAAAGCACTGAATAATTTCATAAGTTATGACGTCATATGAAATGTACAAATTTATGACAGTAATTTCAGTTTTTTATGAATTTTGCAGAAAAATGTACATTTTTCATCGATATTTTAAATAAATCACAGTGTGTGTTCAGGATAAATATTTTGATATAATGTGTAGAATGATAATATCAATGAAATATGTCAATATTGTTCCTAACACACATCTCTATAAATTTTAAAGCTTAAATTGTTGAAATTTTGTCCATTTTGTCCTCTTTCTTTGGATATAAAATCGGACTAGTTTGCCATAAAAACAGAAATTGTGAATACACTGCTCTGGAACTATAATATTTTCTGTTAACTTATATTTCTCGTACAATTTATTGAATTCAGCACATTTCAGGAAGTTTTCAAAATTTGACTTTTGAAATTCCAAACATAACTTATCAAGACATACATTTTGGTTAAAACACTCTGAAAAAGCCCAGAATATAAAAAGGACTGTCAAAGCTTTGGGATTCTAAGCCTCTAACATATTAAGATATAGCCATGAGATTTCAAAAGTAGGTCATAGTGACCTAATTTTTGGTAAAATTACTCCGAGACCCCAAAATGCATCATGACAAAGTTTGATTATCTTGAGACTCTTAATATTTGAAATATTTAAATAATGCCTTGAAATTCCAAAAGAAGGTCACCATGACCTGATTATTATTTTAACACATTTTGAGGACCCATGATGCATCAACTGAAAGAGTTGGAAGATTCTTATCTTAGATGTACCTGAAATATTCTAAAATTTCCTCCAAAAAGTAGGTCACCATGACTATAACATTTCAGCTGACATTCTCCGAAGACCCAAGATGCATCAACTGACAAAGTTGTTGCAAGACCGAACGCATTAACCAATATGCTACAAAGTATATGCATTATCGATGTCTGTCAGTGTGATTCAAATGAACAGGTATTTTGACAAATAAAATAGATTTCACATTTACATTTCCATCATTTAATCGTTAAAGAAGAATGGAGACTTGACCCATTCATGTTCATAACTCATTTTTAATGGCTCTAGTTATTAAACCCATTTTCCACTAAATATAATCAACTGTCAACTTTGAAAAAAGATTGTCAAATGAAAAGTTCAGTAAAATAAGATAAGATGTTTTAAGACGACATTACTTACATCATGATTATAGAAAAATAGTACTTTTCCTTGAATTTTGAAAAAAACTTTTTAAAAAGTGCCATTTTGAAAGATATTTAATAAAAGTAGGTCACCTTGGCCTATTTTTTAATTGACATTCTCCATAGACCCAAGATGCATCAACTACCAGACAAAAGTTTGACGATTCTTAGCCAATAAGTACTTGAAGTAATTTTAAAATATGACCATAAAATTTCAATAGTAGGTCACTTTGACGTACTTTTTGGTTGATATTCTCTGACAACCCAATAGGCATTAACTGTCAAAAATGATTATTCTAAGCAAGTACTTGAGATAGTTAAAAACAGCCATAAAATTTCAAAAGTCACTGTGACTTAATTTTTGGTTGACATTCTCTGAAGACCCAACATGCATGGACTGTCAAAGCTTGATTATTCCAAGTACATGTGAGTACTTAAAATATTTAAATATCAAAATAAAATTTCAAAAGTAGGTTACCATGACCTACTTTTTAGTTGACGTTCTCCGAAGACCAAAGATGAACAAACTGACAAAGTTTCATGATTCTAAGCCAATAATGACCTGAGATATTTTAAGTAGACCAAACACATTATGCAGTGCATTACACACCCAATCTCCAATTAAGGGGCATAAAAAAAGTAATAAAAAGGACAGATCTTCCACTGCAAATCTTTAATTTCAAATTGGCGACATTATTTCTTAACAATTACAACAAAGATATCAATACACCTTCATAAAAGTTACTTAACAATCAGAAAAAGCACGCAAAAATTCTAAGGACAGCAAAATGGCTAGCTATAGAAGACAAAAGAAAACAAGAGGCCCAGGGGCCACAGCGCTCACCTGAGCACATCGGGCTTGATGATCCCCCCTTCCAGGCATTCATCATTTGAACAAACTAGAATCTACACTACCTGAGGATGATTCCAATAAATACCCCGGGTATCACTAATCATAGCTTTGAAGTACTTGAAAAGAAGATTTTAAAAGGTTTCCCTATATATCCCTGTGTAAAAACTTGGGTATTTTGGCCC